AAAGGATGAGGGAAGTTGCAAAGTATCATCATACCTTCTTACAACTTTTTTAGGCTAATCATCCGTAGGATCTCATCTAATTGAGGTCTTTAATGCATAAGAATATTGAAATCCCGAGATGGTGTGGTGGTATGGCACGAAATTAAGTGGTGGCCCAATATACTTGCGTTCAAGCACGTGAAGGCAAGAAATTGATAATGGAAAATTTTTGGATCACCACCAGGGTAGGGTATCTCAGGGAATATCGAAAGACAAAACGTTGTAGGAAATGCAACAAAAAATTAACCTGACGGGTATGTGTAATGAAATTCGGAAGCAAGAGAAAAAGAGAAAAGGTAAAGGAAAAAAAAATTGCCAGCGATTTTCTTAAGAATCTTCGAGGATTACTTGTGGTTGATAATAAGGGTCGCACCTAGCAGGAAAGGATAGGGCCTAGAGTGTGGGGACTGTCACCCTATAGCTTCCGCTAAATAATGGAGACGGTACTTTAGTCGAAAATGATGAGCCACTGATGATTGAAGTTTTGTGCCTGCAGCTTAACGAAGGTGATATTCATTTATTTTTGGTGGTACTAAAAATGCGGGACGTAATGTCAGTCTGCGAGTCGATTTGGATATATGCAAAGTATATGTATGGAGAAAGCAGCATAGATTAAAATCCAAGAATTCCGGGTATGCGGTGGAGAAATACATGAGAGCAATCATGGCTTCTTGGAATCCCAGAGACTGTAGGCTGTATAATAGGCTGTTGCGGTCATGTCCGGTACTTGCTTCGTGGCGCTATCATTACTGAAGCCCCATATGGTCATGATTGTATAAAGAATTGGGCCGTTTTGTCGGTCATGAAATAGGCATATGACTGTGCCTCTGGAGTAGCCGATGAGACGAAGATCCTAATATGAAAAAAGCTTAGTGACCCTCGACTGAGGCCCAAGATATAGATCCATAAAGCTTCGTCATTTTCCACTTGCGTCGTGGATAAGAAGAATTCTCGGGTCCTGTAAGATTACCTGCATCATGAAAAGCAGGGCAAAAAGTAAAAACCTCAAGCCCATAAAATATGCATGTGGAGCTGCAGAGCCCTGTAAAATTCATTAATTGATATTATGCTGCGCCAACGGTCATGTACAGTATGTACTTGAAGCCTATAAGCATCTTCTTGGGCCTCATAATAAATCCATTGGTAGACGGTCAAGCTTGGTGAGGCATAATATCATATACCTACCTAGTTAGCACTTCGTAGGTATTTTTTCTGTCGTTGCGATGAACGAGTCGATTTTGGTTAAGATCCGATTGAGGGGTTTCCTGTTAAACGCCAAGTCATCATTCGTCCGGTGTAACAAGGTCACATCGGTTAAAACCCCAAAGTGATAGATCGAGAAAGAATCACTGGAATATATGATTCGAGAACTTCAATTGGTTCATGGTTATCGAATATTTCGTAGTTCAAGGCGCGCTTGTTCCACAGATTGGTTTGGTACTTTTCTTCGTCGTGAGCTGCGGGTCTTGCGCTTCTGCAATCGTATGTTGGTACCTGATAAGTTGGTAATGTTGTACTTGGTTACTTCCTCACCGTTGTTATCGAACATCTTGTGTGTTATGATGGGCGTTGTGAAGCGCCCTACCTAGATAATTAGACGACATCAGCTTTCAGCGACAATCCCGTAAATTGGCCTCTCACATTGTGACCGGCTTAACCCTAACAATGCGGGGTTTAGATGAAATGACACGGTATCTAAAGCCTATAAGACCTAACATGAGTACCTGAACCTTGTACCGCACACGGACCGGGTCAAATTAACCTTTATCCTTCAATCCGCTTTCGGGGTAATATCAGATGCTTCTTCTCGTGGGATGAGTGAGAAACACCTTTATCCATATCTTCAACCATACAAAGTTCTCACCATCGTGATGATCCTGAAGGATCTAGATGTAAACATTCGGAGATGCGATTTGATCGTTAGATGACATAGCTCGGCATCACCCCCGATATTTTGAATGGCCCTAGACATCTCAAAGTCCTAATTGGCCTTGGGTAAATCGTTACTATCCAATTGTTCGTGAAAACTTTCGTAAGTCTTACGAATGGACGGGTCGAAAATTTTTCCCCTGAGTAAGCCGCCCACAGAAATTGCCCAAAGAGGAGAATAGGGATTTTCTCTAATGGATTAAATGTGCCTATCACCAACTAGGAATCTTAATAATTTTGGCAATCGTGGGAAAGCCTAGACGGGGAATATCATTATGATTGGCACGAGAGATACAGGGATAAAAATTGCGGCAAATCCTGCCCTTGGTATGTATATTGTTGTTCCCGAGGTCTGTAAACATAATTAGTTGCTTGATGTTGCGAGCCTACCTACGAGGAACCAATATACGAAGCTATAATTTTGGGTCAACAAGTTCTGGTCTGACACCCGCAAGTTGGCAGTTGAGGCTGAGAGATATCGTGTAGTATCTCTCACGTTCCATTTGGTGGCCTGAGAACGCCCTGGAAGTTATTCACGATCTCCGTTCCTGAGCAAGCTGAGTTTTGCCAGCAGTGGAGGCGACTGTGCGTTGGCGGCGTAAATCACTGGAGACCTGTGGCGAAGTACATAACATACGACGATGAGAACGCCACAAGTGGGAATAATAACATCTGTACAAGTTTGCTTGAACAAATTGTTGGAATATTCTATGCGTTGGCAGGCAAAATCTTTTTTTAAAATCATCAATTTGTGATATTCATGAGACGCTCAGAGATAACCCGAAGAGAACCGTTTCTGGCAATGGGACCGATATCTTTCAAAGCCACAAAAGATGGGATTCAATTGGGCAGGGTTCTATGGCTCCTAATTGGATAGCTGATGGTGGTCTGGTTTCCTTAACTTCGGGTCCAAATCAGTAACGTGACGGTGATGTGTGTGGTTGTAAACCTGGTTTCCTCCATCTTTTTCTATTTTCTGGAACAGCAATGTCGTACAGAAACGGGGAAACTGCACGTCTGTGAGGTTATTGGTGAATGTTGATTCAAGATAGCCTTTACTGGCGCCGGAGAGGGTTTCTTTTTGTGTTTTTATATTCCGTCAGCATTTTACCTGGTAGACCTATCACACCTGCAAAAGTCACTCAGTGAACCCCATTCGCGGTACTTTGGTACCACCAGAAGAATGTCGCCGATCCTACGGGAAGCTCGAAGGATAATCGTTGGATATGAAGAATTGAGTTGCGCTTCCCCTGGCACTATCAAAACCTTATTGTATCGTTTACTTGTAGCACAAGTGGTTATTGGCTTCCTTCCAGTGCTCTCACAACTGACGAGTTGAGCTATTGCTTTCTCAAAATGAAATTTGACCGAGATCTGAGCCATGCACGTAAACGTTGACAACCATTGAATAGAAAAGACATGACTGCAAAGTCCTCGTAGAAGGGGCAGTTGTTTATTATGCATGGACAGAGCTTGTTTTGACGTATACAGGAGAAATCGGAGTGTGCACAGGTTCCAGAACAAGGAAGAAGAATGATTGGTTTCAATGGTATTCCGAAAATGCTTAAGGCCGCTGACTTCCGTGGAAAGTAAAAAAATGACTAGTATACAGTAACGCTAGCTAATCGTGTTGCGATAGATAGCTGTATGACACCTTGGTATGTAACTCCTTATTCAGCAGTCGCAAATCTCTTTGCTCTTGCTTCCGCCTTTGCCTTCTCTGCCGGATTATCGGTGACACGGCCTCCTGCAGACTGTTTAGGACCAGACTTCTGTGTATGCTTTGGGCCAGATTGTGGTTTCCTGGAGTCTGGTGTTTGTCTTTTTGCGTTTCTTCCTCCTTGCCTACTCTCTTCCCGAGCTCTCTTTGGTCTCCTCTCTGGTAGCGCGCTATCCAATCCCTCAACAATCTTGCTGTTATCCACTCCAAACTTCTTCGCTCGTTCTGCCAATTTTGCGGCCTCCTCGCTCTCCGGAATATTGAACCTTTTGGCTCTTGCTGCACGTTTCTCTGCCTCCTTCTGTGCATCGGACTTTTCAATCCCGGCACTGAAGTCCTGTTTCGGTGCTTCCGGTGCAGCTGCGACTTCGGTCTCTGTAGGACCTGATGCTGCGACTGCACCATCTTCAGCTGTTGGAACACCTTCACCTCCCTTAACTTTCAAATCTGTTGTTTTGGCAGGATCAATCGCAGGTTCCTGATTAGGAACTTTCGTAGGGTTTGGGATATCTTCTTTGGCTCCAGCAGCTACCAGCGCGGCAGTAGTTGTAGCTTTCTTTTCATCCTTTTTCTCATCATCTTCGTCCCAGTCGATTTCGTCTTCTCCGGTGGTTGCTAAGAATTCTCAGTTTTGAGTCTAGGTCGTATTTGTTGATTGACATACCTGTAGCTTCAGCAGCTGGCTTCTTTTCGGATTCTTGTAATCTCGCAATAAGATCTGCTTTGTTGCCAGAGATTGGTAAGGACTTCTCCTGAAGAAGCTTCTTGAGTTCAGGAACCTTGAGTTGTGAGTAGTCCGTCATGTTGGCTGTGCTGTCGTGGTGTATTCCTGAGAATTGATAAAGTAATGAGAATCACAGTGCCAAAGCTGTATATTGATTGAGTTTGATAAATGTCGAGGTCGAAGTCGTAATTGAAGTTGAGGTTCAGGTGGTTGTTTGATGGAAATTCCCTTGGAGCCAGAAACGCGTTGAACGTAAATGCGACCAAGTATTTCGCGACAATGTGGCTGTGGCTGTGCTGTACCTCAAATGTTTAGTGCAGTGTTGTGGCTGAAGTTGAGCTCGGACCATGCTGCCGTGTTGTATTGTCCGCGCGCATATATCAAATTCTTGACAAACACACCATTATTACTTCTCTACGTGGATATACTATAAATTCTGTAATACGGACAAACTCCTTGGGTATTGTAATCTGAATCATGATCAAGCCTCAAGTTGAGGCTCAGGCCTGGAACACAATGTACCAGTCTAGATGTTTCGCAAGAGTGCCTCGAGTTTCTCGAAATATTGCACGTCATGGGTGGATCTTTACATACATTACTACCTTACTAGAAGACAGTTAAGGCTCCTGTGCTAGAGCAATGAAGTTTTAGATTATTGGAAAAAAGGCTCTGGGTGTTCTATTGAGCCCCCTCTCATTCAGTACCAGCGCATCTATCTCATTCCATCACATTAGATCTCAGTACTTCAACCTTCTACAGCTTTTGGCAGTTTGATAAACCAATCAGCAACAAACCCTCATGTGCAGATCTTCAAAATTCTTCAACGGTGACAAGGTCCCGGAGACTGGCTGAAGACATGTTTAATCGTGGTGCTGTTCGTGGTTTCTTATTTCAAATTACTTCTCGAACCTCCGGATAATGAGTAGTATGATCACGGAGGTCTGAGAAACTTTCGGCAAGCTGGAAATGTCTTGTTCAAGACATCTTGAGGTGCTATAAATATTAATGCAAGCCAGCACGATGCTCCTCTTAACTATGCTCCCTTTAACGCCCAAGCTCTGATCGTCCTATTGCCATTCACACACCATGCTACCATCCACTATAATACATCTGATGAGACATGCTCAGGTATGGACATCCTCATTGACACCCATAGATCTGTTTTTGACGTGTTGCTCACAGCACAATAGCTCAACTGGACGCTTATCTGATAATGGAATGAGCCAGGCATTTGCCTTTGCCAAGTCATTCAAAGACGCACATCACATCACCCATATATTTTGCTCTCCCGAGATTCGATGCAAGCAAACTGCGGAAGTAGCCCTTCGTGAGGTGATTGCTCGTGGAATTCCATTTATGGTTGTACAAGAGCTTTCTGACAATCGAGGGATAGGTATCTCCTTTATTTGGCGATACCTTGATCCTCGTGAAAGGAACGAGGTTGTGATGATAAGTCATGGAAGTGTTCTGCCAACACTTCTTCGACAACACCACGCCGGCTAGTTTCTCCCTCCGATCCACTCACATTATCCCGTTAAGTCATGGCTGATATGGATGTTCCTTAGATTATCGAGAACAAGACTTCCCTAATGTCGGAAGAAGAAGCTATGTTCTGATACAACGCCTTGAGCATGTTGTTCCTGAAAGGTTGCCTAGGGAAAGGGGAGAACCGTATCCACCGCCTACCCCTTGGGCTGTCTTCAAGCGCAAATCTGCAGCATTTTCCAGGGCTCTGGTTAGATGTGTTTCTATCTGTTGATTTGTTGTTTGTATGGTAGCTCTTTAGTTCTATTTGATGAATCTATCATGTTTTCGTGGGAAAGTTTCGATCCTTCACGATAAAGCCCCGACGGCTGGCTTGCCGGCTAAGATCTCTACTTAGCCGGCGAATTAAGGATTTGGAACATGGTAGTCATCCTTGCCTTATTACTGTTTCTCTCGCCACCCAAGTTGTATGCGTAAGTTATATACCGGTGTCTGGCTGCTCCCAACAATGGCTCATCCATAACTTTCAAAAGCTTAGATACCATAGTTCTTCTCACTTGAATATTGCCAAAGCATCTTAATTTTAAAACCATGAAGCCCTTATCAATTAATCATCTAGCTACAGTAATAGCAACAAACACAGAGAACATTGGCAAGCACTTGCTTAATAATGATTTACCACTTCCTTAGTAGAACCTCCATATCTCATGATGCTCCAGTAATTGAAGCCGCTCGAATTGCAGTTATTGACGCGACGCTTATGCTTCGTGACCTCATTCTTAGACCTGAAGAGTACCTTATGGATTTTAATGTTAGTGTATCAAAATATCCCCGCCACCTCCTTAGCTAAGTAGCTGGAAGTATGATTCTTTGCTAAGCATGTAAGCGATCGATAGTTCTAACATCGCAACAAGTTTTCCTATTCATGAAGAGGCTTTATATACAGATATTACCAAATCATATAATATAATAAGCTTAATGTGGAACGCATTATTCGCTACGCTATGAAAAAAAACGTATATTTAGGAACCTCGAAGGAGATTGTGACACATACAGCTGCGGATATGATGTTAGCGGAGGACTCCCAGATGGCTGATGAGGTTGGAGCAAAAACTGATGAGCTTTGGCAAGTTGTATCACAAACTCTAATGCCATGGTGAGATATCCTAGATTTCAAGAACCAAAGGAGACGGTATGACGATTCTCAAAGATAACTGACAATTTAATCCATGGCGTTTGGCCTGGTTTCGTGCTCGCAAATGGAATCGATAAATCCGTGTTTGATGTTTTGTCCTAAAACACATCACGGGCATGAAGGTTTTGGAAACGTAGTGAAGCTTTCACGGAATGAACAGATTTTGATATGCAATACGTTTGTTGTTGACAACTGCCCATGGAAAGATATCTGTCAAGACACCCTTGTTGGTATATTTTCCCTCTAATTCTGTATTATTTATTCCGCTGATTAAATTCATAGCTTTGTAGCTCTCATGGCTCCACATATTTCCCTCTTGCCAACCCAGGTCTCAATTTCATTGTCTAGAATATTTCGCTAGTAGTTGAGCTGCTGCCAAAAATATTCCTTCGGAGCTTGTAGGAAGATTACAATTCGTGGCCCATGATTCCTTCAAAGCACAACCGGTCAAGAATTGTTGACCTCCTGGGATCTTGGCAGCATATGCATATATACTGCATGATGCATATAAGGAGCAAACAAAACTCAACTTTTAATTCATTCTTTCCTTTTTGGTATACTGTTTGTTTGCTTTCAATATTTTGATTTCAAAGCACTTTAATTCCGAAGGCTGAATACCTAACCTTATTCCTTCATTTTTTGAATATATACTCGCAGCTTAACTGCTTAGCTAGAGAATCAATCAATTCAATCTGATGCTCTTTCTGGTCTCAAGAAACCCAATAAGAATGCAGGCTTATATTTACTTCGATGGATTTTTCGCAATTGGTCTCATAAATACTGTATTCATATTCTTCGTAACCGAGTTCTAACACTAAAAAAAATGCACATATTGTCATGAAAGCTAATGTGCTTCACGAGCTAGGTTTTTTACCTATTTGGCGCGAAGAAAGGTTGAGATCAATGGATCTTACTACGATGGAGTTGCAGAATGTGAGGGAAGGAATTGGACGACTAGGTTTAGCTTTTTGAAGAAGCGGATAAAGGTGTTAGATTTAAGGGGGAAAAGAAACGTGATGAGGCAAATCTCTTGGATTTTGGAGGCGTCCTGGGAGAGGGATTCTATGACTGGATATTTCGGGCGCCATATGATTTTCTGGAGAAAGAATTTGCCACAAGCTATCTTTAGCACTTGCTTCCAGATATGTTACAAAATAATCAATGGTTGGGACATGCAACAGGGTTCTCCTTCATTCTCCAAATAGATTCTAGTAATTTTTAATATGTAAAACTCCTGGCTCATTCCTATTTGGTAGAGCTTATATCTGCATTTGGAATAGTCAATCAATCAAGGGCATTGTTTTCTTCGACAAAGAACTGAATAACTCTAACTCTATATAGAGGGTCATTACCTCAAAGAACTATTTCCATACAGCCACAGTCCTCACAATGAACAACACACCAACAAAGAAAACCCCCCCAAAACAAACCCCAAACAAATCCTCGCCAACCTCCCCACTAAACGAGAACAATTTCCCACCCCCTAATATAAAAGCCCATTCCCCTCCGAACAACCAGGAATCCCCATCTCCAAAAGCGAACCCAGAAAAATCACGTACTAGACGATGAAACTCTGATAACCAGAGGAACCACCACTTTTGTTAGTAACAACAACTGAACTTTCCTGACCCCAAGAGGAATTGAAAAAAATGACCCAGCACAACTTTCTTTGAAGAGTTAGATGTTGTTGGAGGTAGGTAGATTGCGCTGCGCATTCAGAAGTGAACTTGCTAATCGTTTGATAGGGCCAACCCGAGGATTTCGGGAGATGGGATGTAAACATGAACCTGGAAGGGGGACTGCGAACCTGATTCTCTCTTTTTTTTTAATGGAAACACTCTTGATTGAGGAAACTTTGGGACTTTTTTTTTTTATTGATGGTGATTTTTGTGATGTGATGTGGATGACCTAATGGCTTGAAATACTTTGTGAATGTAAATATTATGCATGGATTTTTATGAGAACTAAGATTTACAATCTATAGGTTACCTCAGAGATCATTGCAAGTTTTTTTTGGTAATTAAGACTTATATTTTGAGTGGAAGGAGGAAACCCACTCGAGGCTGCACTCTTGTGTATACTTCGAGCTGTAAAATGACTGATATATTTGCACTGTCTGATTATATTAATCTGCTTCCTTTCACTAGGTATTAAGCGTCATATCAATATTTCAGACCAAAGTGTTCGGTGCAGAGACTCAGTCGTATCTCCGGATTATAATACACATCACTCACTGATTGTGGTTGTGAAATTATGGAATGGTGCCTAAAAATGTATCTCTGATATATCCTATTCATATAACATCATATTACATACATCGAGTGTCTATCTAGCTCTCTCAGATCAAAAGGTCTCAAATCGGCTGCGATTATATGACTGTCAATCCAAAACTTACAAACACTAGTATGTGCATTAGTAAAAAGTATATCATGAGGTAGAAGACGAAAATCATATTTTATGGCATGTCGCGTGAGTTTCGAGGAACTATCGTGACGTAATCTCAGCTCTCTCCGGGCGGCGAAGAGTCTATCTCTTTTTTTGAGAATCTCACATGGGCTATGTATGTACCATTCCAGTCACTGTAGATAGTAGCGGAAAGAGCCAACATTTCCTTTTTAATGAGAATTTCTCATTCCATTTTTAAGAGCCATTCGTTATAGCAAATGCTGGATACTCAATAATATAGTCTAACACCCAATGTATGAACTAACATCCAATAGCCTGGTCTGACAACGCTATACCTCGTCTGTCCACATTGCAACCTGGCAGGTTGGCCACCCAAGTCTTCGAATTATCATCTTCCTGTGCACAGATGACAGGGCTGGATATGTCGACAATTCGGCGTCCACCACCGTATATTCAATCCAAACGCGCTCTATACAACTTGACATATGCGCAGACCTGAATTCACCTGACCCTGGCTTGAACTCTCAATCTCCATAAGGTAAAAACATATGCTCAACAAGAACTTTCGGCAATAGACAATAAGCTTTATTCCATGCAATGAAGTTCGTTTCCCCCGCGGTTGTCAAATGCAGAAGAGTATCGAACGAAAGAGAACATTTTTGAATGTGCGTCTGTAATGGGACTATACAACTTGCTGATCTGGGGAGTCGCATAGATTCACCTTACGCTGCCATCTCTGTTGAATCCTCGTATCGCTGTCTATTCGACAACAAGACAAGTTCATTTGTGCATAGAGAGCCTTCAGACGTCACACTAGCAGATGTAGTGAAAGCCCTGAACTTATAGTGATATAAATATGACTACCAAAGAACATACATAGTCTCTGTGAAGCTACTATCTAATTAGCATTGCCACGATATGTCCTTGCAATTTCAAATTCTCACGCAAAAACGAGCAAGTACACGACGATCTGACACAAAGTCCTTCATGTATTTCCGCTGTCGGCCACGACATGGACAATGCCAAAACACCTGCAAATATAGGAAACTAAAAGGCAGCATTGTGTTTTTCACTCAACATTGTCAGTACCAAGTCACGTGCTAGAGCAAATCCAGTTCACATGATTTCAACCGGAAACATATCCGTCAAACACCGATATACTACCGAAGTTTTACCATGACTTCATGATCATGAGAGTACATTGAAGATATGCTGTGACAGTGTGCTTGGATGAGCAAAAGGAGTGCGTATTGTATTCCCTCCGATTTCACGCTGACCACTAGGCCTGGTATTGAGAAAATATCTTTCAATGCCGTTGCAAAACAACGATGGAACGTCTCTGTACTATGGTCACCTAGGTATCTACTTGCTGACCTATACTCGAGCTCACTGTAATCTTATATCACCAACAGAACTTAGCAAGCCCAAAAACCAAACTCATGCACATCATCCATCACCTTAGGCCGAAACCAACGACTACTTTGTTGCATATCTGTTTCGCCTGAATCCGCCCCTTCTATATCCATATACTCCGTAGATTATCATATAGCTTACACGGGAGAAATCATCGGATATATCCGACATGACACAAGAACATGCAGTGAGATCTTACATACCATACATACACCTAGCATTTGAAAGAAAAGCAAGCACTTACCAAACTCCCAAACGATCATTCCAACAAACCACCAAATCTCTCGGTATACATTACAGCGATAATGCATAAATATGCAACAACGCAGTGTCATAAAACCCTAGAAAATGATTTGAAAATCGCACAGTAAGTAAGATACAATTCCACCATAGCATACCTACATAGCGAAATCGAATCGCGTCACCCCACTCGTCATACGAGAATCTCATTCCATAACATCATTCATTCATTCATTCATTCCTTAAGCTTATAATTATTCCGTAGGTTAGTTAAAGAGATGAAATTTTTGTTGCATATCGCATTTTACGAGATGGATGGAGTTGCTGTTTTTGGTAATTTTTATTTTCTTTTGTTTCTTGGTACTGGTGAGGTTTGGGGTGATGAGGATGAGAAATTGGTATTACTTGAGTTTTTAGACGGTAGGTGAGGATGACGGGTTGAGAGATGTGAAGGATATCGTATCCCTGATATGATCTCGGATACTTGCTGAATTGCGAGGTGAGTGTGATTCTTTTGGGTATTGTGTATTGTAAGATTAAATATAAATCGGGGTAAGGTTATTATTATTGTATAACATATGTGTTTATGCGATGCATATTCCTCGATTGACATTCCATCCGTCCTCTACTCTAATAATAACCACCATCACCAAAAAAACAGAAGTAAAAATATGCCACATTAAAACCGTTGTATATTCAACTCCCTTCCCTTCCCCCTTAGGGATAAAAATCCTCAACCTCAAACCCCCTCGCTCTTGACTCGAACCCCAAACCGTCGCCCCATATCCTGAGTCAGTTCCTATAAGCACCCCCAAAACGCACGTCAACATCGACCCACCAGCAACGAAAAAACCGGGGCATCAATCCAAATTCCTCACAACAACTGACTCGACCGAGGATTTACGATATGCAACAAAGAAATTTACACACCCTGGAAAGTCAGTGATAAGTGGACTCTTCAAGACTCTTTGAGAAGAAGCAGGACAGGGAAGGGAAGGCAAGATGAGCTGAATATGTACTCCGTAGTGAATGAACTGTAGGGAGATGGGAAGGGAAGGTGGGGTTCGGAAGCGCTGGATGACTGCAGCGGCATTGGCGGGAGGACACAGGTAGGTGCAACGGTTTGAGAAGCATAGCATAATCTTGCGTGTTTATTAATATTCTTGCTTTTCGTGGTGTACGAAGATGATATGTATGTATGTATGTATTGATTGGATTGGATTTGATTGTGAAATTATGACATCGACTGTTACACGAGGAAACCAAGAGTCGAAAACGAGGGAGCCCCAGTGCGAGGAATTGTGCGGAAAAATGAAGAAAAGGTATACGCCATCGCAAACCAAACGCCCCCATTCGCAAACATGGGAAAGAGAAAACCCTATTACCACAGTCAAACGCTTGAAGAACGAGAGTTTCTTCTAAATTATCCTTCCTTTACAGCTTCAATTATACTTCCAGCCCAACAAGTTCCCATCCTCTCGCACTCTTCCACAATTCCAGCATCATCCCACCACCACTTACCACCTTCGACATAACTTCCCCACAATTCTTTCCACAACATTCTTCCCATGACACTCTTTAGCTGCCATTCTACCTGTTCTTCTCCATTTACGATGCCAACACAAGCTAGGAATTTCAGAGACGATGTGCAGCTTCCCTCAGCCCATAGTCCGGCATCTGCCAACCATAATGGAAATAGACGGGTAGGGTTTAGACAGCGAAATTGTTTCTCAAGATTTACTGTTAGGTGAGTATCGAGCCAAGCTCGCAGGCGCGGGCCAAGTGAGGAGGGAACTGGACAAGGATCGAGGATGGTTAAATAAAGAATGCCAGGTTGAGTGGCTGCAACGGCACTAATTGAGGCAGGCGAGACTGGGATTTCTGTTGTTGGATTTCGAGCGGATATGAGGGTTCGATGACACTCTTTGAGTATATTGGGGATAGAAGATGAAGGGAGTAAAGATGGTAGACCCAAAGAGTGAATTGCTACAAAAATATTTGAGGCATAAGATAATTGTGAAGTAGGGCCTGGAATGGCGAGAGGATGAATATTCGGATAAGATCTTGGCGACAGAGGGTTTGTCGAAATATGGTGTATTTGTCTTTCTGGATTTAAAGCTGATAGGAAAGATGCAGAAGCTGTCTATGTGAGTATGCGACTAGGGACAATGGAGAGAGAACTCACCGTGATTTTCATACAATGAAAGCATCTTTCCAACTTGCGGTGCTCCAGTGAGCGCCCGGGAAGCATCGCGGGTTTTAGCAACGCGGTTGATCGCCCTCAAGGCAGTGAGCATCCAAAGCTGTTTTTCCAGCTCAAGTTCTCGATATACGGAAGCGTCGGCTACTTGCATCCATTCTTCCTTCAATCTTTCAAGAATAATCTTATTGCTTGCGGCTTCCATTTTACGAATATTCATTTGCAAATGTGTCTGCTCCGAGTTAGAAGGTGAGCGATTACGACCACGAGCTTTTCTCCTTCGTCGCGACCCCGAAGACTTCAATGAGGCTACTGATGATGCCGTTTCTTCTGCCGGACATGCCCATGTTTCGGGAGGTCTCCACGAATCTGAGCGTCTGTTCCGCGCTGTAATTGACCACTCGGTGGTTCTAGCACCGATGTCACTTCTAGAGCTTAACATTTTGGGAGAGCTTGGTATCTTTGGAGTTTCGGGATTGTGTGTAGGTGGAAGTGGGAAGTCATATGTTGAGGAAGTTGATGATAAAGCAGTTCTAATGTGTCAGCGAAAAGTTGACAGGGGGTAGGATAATATTTCTTACTCTCTTATGGTGGAATCTTGGATCTGGATTGGAACTGTTCCTGAAGTGATATGAACGACTGTAGCAAGTTGTTCCGAGGCACTGAAATCCTCACTTGGGGCGACAGTGATCTCAGTACTTTGAGTGACAAAAGAATTTGGGCTCAGAGGCTGAATGAAACGATTCTTGCTTTGTCCATCGGCCATAGAGCCCCATGACGACTTGGTTCCGGCTGATCTTCCAGTATAACCGGAGAAAATAGACTCTAGTCAAGATCAGTTTGAGATCAATGTCAATGGAGTAGAGCTTACCGTCCGAAGGACTTCTCTCGGATTCTTGGTACGGTTGAACTGCTGAAAAGAATCCATTTACTGGAATACGTGTGATAGTTGTCGTAGTCGTTTCACGTACCTCTTGTGTTGATGTCTCCGAAGTGCTGGTATAGCTTGACATTCGACGAGAAACTTTTGAAGACTGTTCGGTTCTGAATGCGGGCGATTTGGGAGAGGTCACTGCTGCTGGAGCTGATATCTTCTTGTTTCCACTGCCAAAGAATCCAAAGATAGAGTGCTTAATTGACTTGGCTGAGTCGCTGGAATTTGAGCTCCGTATTGACGGCGATGATCCTCTGGTAGACGCTTGGTCCTTGCGATGTTTCCTCTGGCCAACGGTTTCCCGTGTAGGATCAGTCCACGAAACGTCGAACATGTTTGGAAAAAATGCGGTTTGTAGCAGGTTGATTCTGCAATTGGAAGGAGGGGAAGTACCCTTGAAATTCAGCAATATGGTTAAGAGAAAAGAAACATTAGTATACGTGGAGATGATTCACAAGAACGCAATATGATATATGTCCTCCGGTAGTCCTACCATGATGTTTGTTTCAGGAGGTCAAATATGTTATCGCTCATGCGAGGAGTTTTTCACTTGCATGGTGGAAGTGGCGGGATGTGGACTAGTCTCTCTCTCTTAAATATGGTCTCACATACTTTTTTTTGCAGAATATCTCATCATTGAACTGCATCATCCCGTGCGGCGAGTAAGATCACGTCGTCAATCCGGCTAGTAGCTTTGAAAGGTGGATGATGGAAGAGTTTTCTGAAGAACACAGCATTGGGTAAGCAATAGAAATTGAGAAAATATTAAATACCTGCTGTACATGGTCGGACGACTCAATGAACAATGAATGTAATTTGGATGAGAATAGAAGAAAGGGGGAATAAGAGCATGAAGGGAGGAAGGAAAAGGCATCTTACTTTCCACCTAAAAAAGTTCAAATTCGGGAAGGGCCACGATCATATTTTGCAAATGTGATCAGTAACAAACATTTATCAAGCACCAAAAAAACAAAAAAACAATCAAAACTTTCTTTTTACTTATCACAACACAAAAACCGGTATGGTCAATCAAACACTTAATTAATATTTATTCTCTCAACGTTGAACGCTCTTCTTCTTTTCTTCCTTTCCATCCGAATTAATCAATAAAACCCGATATAGATTTTCGTCCGATCCATTCTGTAACTCAATATCTACCAGGTTTTCTGTGGTCACGATTTTCAGGTGATTATTGTATAACATGCATGTTCCCGTCTTCATCCATTGTTAATTCCCCTGTAGTGTTCACCACATTCTGCAAATCTCATGCTGCTGCGGTCGGGACCAGGCCCAAAAGCTGTGTCCTGCAAGCCATAAAAAGGCATCACAGGCTGATCAGTGGGGTTTATGTTTCACAGCAAAAGCCACAGGTTCACGAGAGCCCATGATGAGATATGGAAAAAGCGGTGGTACCTGCATTCATTTATTCAATATTTCCAATGGGATCATCCAATTCTTATGAACCTCATTGAGCTGCTGAGAGTTATGCCAAGAACCATGACCGGAAAGAATAGCATCACGCCCGGAAACGTTGATTCATAGGATATTCCGATCTATCACAAAGAGGCGTTCTCCCAACCATCATTACTCAAATGTCATTATCCGTTCATTAGTATGCGAACCATACTCAGCCTATCATTGTGTTCCCATTGTATCCCTTGCCGAATTATGCAGTCCGACGCGGTAGTCCGCAGTGTTGCCCGCTTAATCCCCAGTTTCAAAGAGCCACAACAAGGACTACTTTATACATGGAAAATCTACTCACAAAGTCATTGTTGTTTTTGATCATGAGGGGCTGGCAAAATTGATTGAGCTGCAAGGTGAAGTTTACTTTCCGATCATTATCTTCAACTGTCAAAGAGTTCCTCTTTCAGTCCAGATGCTTCCGCTGTCATATCAGAAGTTTGTTCCGAAAACCACTCAAGCTTTTTACCGTTACTGTATAACTTCTACCATTTTTCCACGTTCTTCTCGTGTGCTTTAAGCTTGGCAAAAAACTACGTATCGCTGTCTACAAATCATGCTTTCTATTAAAGAGTATATCGACAATCTCAACACGAGAGCCTCCAAATCAACTTTTGGTAGAGTTTTTCGCCTTGATGGATGTGGTCATGTATGTATTCAAGTACTTGATATGATCTTTATGAGATACTTACCAGTACTAGGAACAACAAAAGAAGAGTGCCAAATTCGTCACGGAAATCAGAGCTGGGGTGACAACCTTTTTCACAATGGCATATATCATTGCCGTCAATGTATGCAAAGTTCTTTGAATACATAGAACATCCCTCTAATATTGCTTCAAGTCAACGGTTATATCACAGAGCGGTGGCCCCTGTATCTGTTCCGATACAGAAGATCCGTCATGTGCAACAGATTCTGACTACGCCGCCTGTGTTCTTGGTTAGTAAAGACCTGGTTCTCGAATTTTTTGTTTCCGATACTGATTTTATCTAGACATCAATCGTGATATGATTACTGCCACTGCAGCAGTAGCAGGCATAGGATCCTTAGCATTTGGCTTCTTCACTAATCTCCCGGTCGCTTTGGCGTGAGTATATACTCCGAAATAGTACTCTACAGAAAGAAACTAATATCCTTAGACCTGGCATGGGCCTGAATGCATACTTTACTTACCAAGTTGTTGGATTTCATGGAACTGGGACTGTTCCTTATCGTTTGGCACTCACAGCAGTATTCATAGAAGGATTTATTTTCGTTTTCTTATCTTTAATCGGCATGCGACAATGGCTTGTAAAGGTCATACCTGCTTCCATCAAGGTCGCTAGCGGTGTCGGGATTGGCCTGTTTTTAACAGAAACCGGAATGTCATACTCTGCAGGAATTGGTGCTATGACTGGCTCCGCCGTAACTCCCACAGCCCTGGGAGGGTGCCCTCCCCGCTATCTCGACGTCACAGGGGCTTGTACCAGTCATCAAATGACGAACCCTACTGTTAGATTCCTCCTCACTATTATCCTCACCATGAAAATTTTACTAATTTTCTACAGATGTGGATCGGAATTATCTTCGGAGGTTTCTTAACCGCATACCTAATGGCATTTAGATTCAAATCAGCGATAATTATTGGCATTGCAATTGTATCTATCTTCTCATGGCCGTAAGGAAATCCAAGAGATTTTGCTTCATTAGCTTACATATATGTCAGGCGCGGCACGACTTTTACGTATTTCCCGTACACTCCTGATGGTGAATCACGTTTCCAATTCTTCAAACAAGTTGTCGCATTTCATCCCATCCGCAACACACTCGCGGCACAGGATTGGGATATCACTGCTGCAGGCTCTCACTTTGCTTTGGCACTTTTCACTTTCTTATATGTCGACATCATCGATTGTACCGCGACTTTGTATTCCATGGCACGCTTTTCAGGAGCAGTCGATACGAAAACTGGAGATTTTCCCCGCTCTACCATTGCATATTGTACGGACGCCATGACAATTTCCATCGGCTCTTTATTTGGATGTTCACCTGTAACTGCATTCATTGAGTCTGGTGCAGGTATAACTGAGGGTGGCCGGACAGGCCTCACAGCTATTACAACTGGTGTCTGCTTTCTAATATCCATTTTCTTCGCGCCCATCTTCGCGTCAATTCCTCCATGGGCTACGGGATGTACTCTTATCCTAGTAGGATGCATGATGATGCGTCAAGTTGTTTCAGTCAACTGGTCCTATATTGGCGATGCCCTCCCGGCTTTCGTCACTATCGTCTCAATCCCTTATACATACTCCGTTGCATATGGGTTAATTGCCGGTTTAATGACATATACCGCTCTCAATGGATCCGTATACTTAACACAAAAGATTTCAATGGGTAGATTAACTCCACCAGATGCTGATAATGCTGAATACTGGACATATAAACCGAGCGGTGGTACGGCACCATGGTTTATTAGAGTGGCTCATCGAAAGTTTTGGCATAGAGGTGATATGGAAAGTATTGATGGAAATTCGGCTACCATGGAACATGAATTAGCTGAGAAGAGACACTCCGAGATCAGATCTTCTGATCTTTGATCGAATCGATTTATACACACTGTACTCTTCCGCTGGAGGGTCACAGTTCATGGATATTGCACGGTGAGTATTGGTATAATAGGACTCGAAATATGGTGGTGACATAGAAATATTCATCGAATGATAAGACTTATATTGAATGGTATATTATTTTGGGTTTTAATGGAGAGATGAATTATGGGCACGATAGCTTGCGTGAGGGTATGAACTATGATGGAAAAGGTTCGATGGATGGATGGATGGATGAATTATGGATGAAAGAATAGATATATTGTAAGATTAAGATTTAGTTAGTTTCTTTTGTTTATTTTCTTGAAAAAAAAAAAAAGAAATCGGTGTAGGAATTAAGATAGGCATCAAAATTTGTTTTCTAAGTTCTGACCACTTTCCTCTTGGATTTCTATAAGGATGTGTTTGTAGTAAGATTATATACAAGTATCTCGCAATTTCTGGGAATACTTCTAATTCTGCTCATACTTACTTACTTACTCTTTTACCTAAGGGCTTGAAGTCTTAAGCAGAGGGCTTAAAGCAATTTGTAGGATTAGAAGTTGCGGGTTTAGTGAAGGTAGATAGATAGATGTAAGATCAGTTTTCCATCGATTTCGACAAATAAATGAATGGGTGATTAGATCGAAGGCCAAAAAAAAAAAAAAAAAAAAAAAAAAAAAAAGCTAAAAAGAAAAAAGTAATCTTGGTTTCTAAAACCCACGAGGATCTTCTCTATGAAAGTATTAATAATACTAGGTAGTTTTTATGGTATTTGTAGGAGTTGGGTGTTAGGATCCGTACCTGAGAACAAAATCTCCCAGTCTTAGTCAAAATTTCATACATACCTAACTTTTTTCATCGTTCTGCTAGCACAGTACCTTTATCTAAAGTCTATCAGAATTATTGACTATTCTTTAGGCGGACCACTGAATTGAACTTGTATATTTTAATTTATTTTGGTTTTTGAAGGAAGGAGATGGTTGGTTTATTTATATGTGAGAGTATATGTTTGATGCTTTAATATACTGTCTTCCCACATCATCAGATTCACATGTAACCGATTTAATAAGATCACATTGCACTTAACATAATGACGAATTTCCGCTTTAAGTATCACGAAAGGGAAGGACTAGAAAAGATAGGATTTTACTTGCTCGAAGTCTATGGTAAATTTAACATCATCCGAGTGCTCACTTGTGCGATGATGTTAGGACAATAATTTTGCTTTAAACCATATTAGCGCTAGCATAACTCATGAACCAGCAATGATGCCACTAATACCAACTGCAGTTCGCAAAATATTTCAAATCTACCCAAGAGCCAAGAATCAAGCATCTTAACACCCCTACTCACCTCTCAGACTACACAGCAACAACAGCAGCCCTCCCTCCCAGGCGTTTGAATCCGAACAATAAACGAAAGCAAAAAGCCAGAAACTAAAGAGAAAACTCAAATCATCAATTAATGAGAATATTAAAAGCTCCAGAATATATCTATTGACACCCGTCGCAAAATCAAAGATAAAACATGATTATGGTCGAGCCGAATGATATGCAGTCTAGAAATTTTGGTCCCCGTATTTGTAAACCTGAAGATGCGATCCTTATTTTTAAGCATCCAAGACGATTTATTCTTTGATTGTTCGGATATGTTAAAGTCCTCATCCTTGAATGCGAGTGTAGCTTAGCGAAGATACTTGGGGACAACCTCTAGGAATCGGTGTTGAAAATTAAGCCCGAATTTCTATATTCATCAATGACGATAATTTCTGGCAGCAACTTATTACTCACCGAAAAGGGCTTTGTGGTAGCTGAAATTCTCAGAGAAGCAAATTCTCCTGTAAGATTAATCTCTTGCTCTCTTCAGGTTCATGCTCAGCCATCTTTCTCATTTCGCTTCCTAATTCATCCGGAAGTTGCTTCCAGAAAGTTTGCCCCGGAAGAATTGACAGACTATCGGCTGGATATCATTAAGGGTCCCTGACTGTCCCCAAATTCAAACAGCATGATTGAGGGTCGAAACGCAACATTCGGTATTCTACATAAGTCAGCAACAGAAGTTTTCGGGGATGTGTTGTTTGGACAAGTAGAGGGAAGAAATTACTGTTCCTCATATGATCATAAACAATCGTACTCTACCTGAGACTCCTTTGGCCTGAAAGTTGTAAGCCTGGCATCTCGCGCACCAACACCGCGGATGACTCTGGTCTTAGGATTTATGCCGTTGGCATTGAAGGTCACCCGCAAGCCAATGAGATCCTCCTGGTCAGCATTCGGTGGAATCTCAGTCCGCCAACGCCTAATGACCCAATCATCTAGTATGCTAGGAGGGAAAAATGTGGAGGTTGAAGTGTTGACATTTAAAAGCACCGACCCGACAGCAGGCCGCATCGATGTGAAAAAACTAGTTCTAACTAGAAATGCTGGTTCACTTATTACTGGAACTTTCGGGAGGTTGTAAAACCCCCATCAGCAGGATAGAATCTTTTTCCTACAAGGAATCCGTCAAAAAATGACACATTCTGCGCATTTTAACCATTGATATTGAACCGTGATGTAGTATTCATCATCCTCAATTCCGCGTCCAGTCCATTACGAATGACGAAGTGTTCGAAGCGACATGAGCCTGCAAGGCTTTTCTTTAAAAAGAGCCTTCGTAGATGATGGAGCTTTGCATCGCGAACCAGGTTTCATTCTGACCAGGACGATAATGCAGCACATTAGTGACTGTGCCCACTGAATCGGAAGAAACGGGATAAAAGTTTCCGACAAAAACAATGTATTCAAAGTAGTCGGAAACTCGGATTGCTGAAAGGGAATGCTGTTCTAGTAGCGCTTTGATAAGAGAACGACGGAGTTCACGTTTGATAATGTCCTTTGAATTGATTTGATCGAGTGGATTGGATATCTTCGAAGATCTAGGCTTGAACCAAAATCGACTTTGAAGTAGTTGGCTTGAACGGCCACACGTTGAACATTGATAGATGATGCCTCACGATGTACCAATTTTTGGAACCCACCGGCCCATTTAGCCGCTTCAACCTCCTTTTTTGTCTTTGCTAGGGCAACGAATTTTGCGCCCGGTTGTATTGAGCAGGGTGGACGAGCTTGAACTTGAGATTATGGGTGCGCTTGTGGCACAGGGCTAATTGTCGAAGGGACGTTTTGTGAACGAATAGTGTGTGAATTCGGTGGGACTGACTACGGCTGATTATTTTCAGGATTAATTTTCATGTCCGCCTCATACCTCTTTTGTGATATTGCTCAGAATCGGGAGCTCTCTGAAAGGACATATTTGCTTTTTATGCAGATGTCCGCAAGTATTACACATACTGTGTATAGCATCATTCTTATTGGGACAGCGGAAACATGAATGGTCGTAGCTGTAACAGATGTCACAAACTTGATCTTTCCAGAATGGCCATTTTTCTTCACAGGAATGGGTAAAGTGGCTAGTATTCTCCGGCATATTTGAGCATTTTGAACATTTACGTGGCGACAACGAAATTCTTAGTAGGCTGAGATGTTTCTAGGAAAAGGATCTCAATGTAATCTTACCGTATGAGCAACACTGTGCCCTTTAGTATGCAGACATTCTTGACTACTTATGCTTCATATCCCAGGAATCTTGCTGGATTGTTGCTGGATTGCCCGATCACGAGAATGGCAGTTGAAAATGATCGACAACGTGAGAAATGACAATATACAGTATTATGGAAAGGTTGTGGAAATAAAACAGTATTGCCTTCAACAAATGTGATGACGTAAACTTCCACTTAGTTTATGTGAACATAACATGTTTGATATTTAACAGCATCATGGACATGAAGAATGACAATGGTAGACTGACAAACAAATTTGCGGCTTTTACTTCATAGGCTTCTGGCCCAGGAACAATCTATATGAAGTCGTTTGCGGGAACTGAAACAAGAACTAATTGAAGAACCACACTATGATCCTTATCTCCCCTAAACATAATGTTTCAATATTGCCATTTCCATGCAGTCATACGTACACATCTCGTGTCTTTTTGAGTCGCAAGGCGGCGCACAACATTCCTTCTATAACATCTGCTCGATGACTAAAGTCTTGAATTTGGTTTCCGTCCCTTACTGGTATTTTAGATTCCTCATAAACAGGGAGGTTCCCGATCCTCAATTTGGCTTCGCCGGCATCATATTATATTCAACTGGTATATTTGCAGTATGTGGCCAATTTCGAATCATACAAGTGTCTCGATGCTGCATGCTTGTTCATAATATCATTCGGAGGTTGCTACTCTGATGGTGGATTGCGGTCGGCGTGAATGAGGACTGAATTGCGAACTACATGCAGTTTACTGAATGCATCTGATTAGATTAAGAGCCGGCTGCCACATTAGTACACCCCATATGTTGCCGACGCAAGTCTGCGAGTAGTTGGTGGTCTACTTTGAATAGTCTTTTTTCGTTTTTGAAGCTCTTTTCTGGAGTCCGATGATTTTGGGAAAAAAGTGGAGCGACGCCACACGTGAGTTCCCCATAAATACTGCCAAAAGCTACCTTTGCGGCACCCAGCGAAGGATACCAACCATCAAGGATGGATAACCTTTGTCGGTTGAAATGAAACTGTGTTTCGAAGTTTACATTTTACATGTATGCAGGATACCCCATCGAGTGTTGGGAGGCTGGAGCCGTGGCGTTATCCGCCGCCACAGTTAGTATCACATGTTAAAGCATTGAAGTCTCCGTTTTACACTTTGCTGGCAGGATACTATAGTCCTTCCTGTCCAGAAGATATGTGTCAATCGAAATGATTGACATAGGGCAAAAGCCCTGATTTAAGAACCTTATTGTCTCCATTGAAATTCGCACTCTTGTGGCGCGTACCTTTCCATGGCTCAGGTCATGATGAACATGCAAGCTACATGTCTTCCAAAACATTCAGAGACGAGTTGTCTCAAACTTCCAAGCTAAGTGGGAAAACAGGATGGAGATCAGGGTATATTGGATTCAATATCAACGTCTTGAGCGTGGTATCTGTTAAAATATTCAAGTCGAAAAGAGTCATTTACCCACGATATCTTACCGCATACGTTATATCACTTTTCGAAGTCTGCAATGAAATATTATACGTCGTAATATTCATTAAATCATAAAACAGCGCAAACTCCTTGCTAGTTCGATTCCTGCCTGATCGCTCATTCAAAGTCTATCCGAAAGGAGATTTACCACCTCTTCCATTTTCTGTCATCCAACTCCGTCAAATAACTAAAGTTACCACCTGTATCCTTTAAATTTCCGAATCTACCTTGATCAACCCCAATACGAAAGCTCAACGGACCGCTCGTTTTCCTTCCCAAATATACCCCGGAACATTCATTTTTCAGGTGAAGGCTGCTCAACTGCCTTCTTGACTGTGCGTTGAGTGGGAACCGATCCGTTTTGCTGTGCCGTACCCGATGAAGTCGTATCTGACTTGGAAGGGATTAGATAAGTCTTAGAGCCTGGTAGGTTCTTAAGGTTTTCCTCTAGTTGAGCTACTAATTTAGGGTCATTACCCAGCTCTGCCTTGCGGATGAGATGGTTTTTCTCGGCGACATCGCGTGCATCTGCGCAGTCCTTCAACTCTTTGTTGTTCGTTGTGTCCTTGTCGTCGTTCAACAGCTCGAGAAGCTTCTCGTCATATTCCTCCTTCCGCTTGAGATATATACTTTTAAGGCGCTCTTCTTCTTCATCTGCAATTGTTTTAGCTGTTTATGCCATAATTTACTTAGCATTCAGGGACGCTTTACCTATGCTATCATTTCTTGTGTGTGCTACCTTGCTGGTTGTTGTTGCCATAAGGTTTGGAATGCCGAGCAAATTGTCCTTTTGTATCGATCGAGCTCCAATTATAAGATCGCATTGTGAATATGGTGAGACGAGAAACCTCATGTCATGGAAGACCCGTGTACTTTTATCGAAATACCAGGTTAAGTAGATGGCTCCTTCTGGTACCTGGATCAGAACCGATTAGTTCAAGTCTCAGCGAACCAGCGAATCGGCATCTATCGTTTCCTTTCTTTGGTACCGCCACAATAAAAAAACTTTAGAATCTTACAAGTTTATGCCCTGTCACTCCGAAGCCACCTTCCTTTTCTGCCGCGGTCAAAGAGACAAAGTTCGCTTCCGAATACTGTAGAACTTTCTCAACGAATTCCCTCGATACAATGTTGCCCTGCATGTTACCGGTATCGATGGTGCACTTCGCGCGCTTGATCACTGGATGCTTGTCTGTATCTCTACGTGTCGATACAACATGTACTGGGAGTACCCACGGAGAGCTCTCCATCTATCATGTTCATTAGTAGAGCTTTGGTGCAGAGGAAATATCCGTTACTTACATCGAACGACACCCGCTTGACGGGCCCCGCAGAGCTCTTTTCCATTTTCTTCGGAACTGGAACACAGAAGATGATTCGGAAAATTGCCCCTAGATGATCTAAAAAAGTATAATTTGACGGTGTGATGGTAGAAGAATCTTCGAACTCTGGATAAGGGGCGATCTGAGCATTCTCCTCAACGTGTGTGATTCTAGACAGGCTGGACCTCGCAGATCGTTCGGAGCCAGGGACAGATCCAGATCGTTCAAGCTTTGTATTTGCAGCTCTGGATTCAATGGGAGGGGAGAGGAAGCTGTTGGCATTAGTGTTTCTCGGATAACCTATGAAGGTTAGCGTCAAGAAATGTCAAATTTCGCTTCGCATGGGTGTTACCTGTCATGTTTTTAATTGCCGCCTCTGCAGTGTTTTTGTTGTTCTCGCAATTAGTTGATGTGGAAAAATATTAAAGCTGGCAGTTTTACGATTGACTGAGCATTGAATGGATGATTTTTTCGGCCTTTTATAAGCTTTTATGCTGAGTCCCAATCACGGAGGAGCCGCACAGTTTTTGCCCAATCCGTTCACAACAGTGGCTTATGAGTATGAGTCCTAAAAATCACCTCTCAAGTTGCCTTCAATTGCCTTTCCAGATGTGGCCAGCAGACATTCTCTGGCTGAGCAATTTACAATGCCGAATTGAGACATGAAGTTGGACCCCAATAGATGATAACGGGGCGGACTCCAGGTTGCCGCCCGCCTACCAATCATTTATGTGGCTTGATTGCATGACTGGGTTTGATTAGCTGGGAAGGATTGATATTCCTTCCTCCAGAAGACAGACGAAAGGCGCAGAAAGTGGAAAGATCCAAAACATACCGCTCCACAGGCTGGAATTGTCGAAAGGATTCGCCGCCACATTCGACTGCCATGAGAACATTGAACAGGATCCCCAAGAATGTTTGTGTAATATTGGCATAACTGAAATATGTAACCAGTAATTAAGCTCTGGCGATGATGGATAGAAAGACCGTGTAAAAGCTTCAGTTCAAACAACATTAATTCTCGAAAATATTGAGAAGATTCGAAAAGAAAATGCCTAGTGGCATGCGCTCTCATATATCTCGAACTTTTGAGATCGCAAATACACAGCTAGAGTCTTATTGCTGATTTCATAGGGAGCCTACATTTCCGATTTTTCTGTCCAATTGCATTACATACCTATGTAATGCAATTTGGGTGTGCTTGATATGCGATAATTCACCTGGGCTCCGTTCATTGGACGCCAACGCCAACGCATCCTGCTTTCATCCGAGAGAATTATCTTCACCGTGTAGCACCCCCAATTAGCTTTTTGGAAATGTTTTTAAAAGAACTCATGTTGGAATGATATTCGATGCCGTGCGACTTTTCAATGCTTGGAAAATTGAAACGACTACACCTGACATTTTCGCTGCTTCCAGAATGTCAACATCAGTCAGTACGTATACACGACCCTGAAGTTTCAACTGTGTGACCAACTCGTAACTTCAGCCTTACTGCGCATGAAACTGTATTGGTAGTCTTTACACAGCCATGATTATCGTCGCTCCAGACACAGCATCAATTCATTTCTGGAATTACACTTTTTAACTCTTTCTCAGTCTGTTTTTCACATTTGTCGCGAGTATTCTCAGTTAGATACTAGATGTTTTTGCTTCTTCGCAGAAAAGCGGAATTATCCAATATACAGTTTGGAGTTAGATTTAATTGCATTTAATTAGAGGTTCCTAGATTGAAAATCACGTATCTTGTGCTATTGATGGCGGGTTCTTGCTCACAATATTAGATGTAAAGTGCCTATTTATCCGGCCACAAATGATATGCAAATCCAGACAACCATCATCTACAGCCCATAATTGACCATGCAATGCTGTAATCAGTCTTTAATGTTGCATCTCTTCAATTTTTAACGAAGAAATATGACAGGGTGCAGTAAATATAAGATGATAGAGCTAGAAGCCCTTGGTTTAGCTATTATTCTCCTTTAGCATTGTATATACACCATAAATTACACAAAGTTCTCTTCAACTATTCAAACAGCATATGTGCAACAAATCTTCATTTATATTCATACTACATAGTCTCAATGGCCAAGAAGCTTCGTAAGATCGCGACAACAGGCGCTTTGCAACCTGTTGAACTTGTGAGCCCGACTGCGACATCGCAATCAGATGAGACCGTAGTTGGTAGTCCGATATCTCAACTCCAATTTACGTCAGGGCCATGGGAAAAGGCCACGGATCCTTCCAAAGATCTAGAGAAGCCGTTGCCAGGATGGCCGCTCGTGTCTAAGCTGATTGCAGATTATCCGGATCTTGAAGCGTTCAAGGCTTTCCGCGCTCTCAACATCAAGAGCCTGCTTTATTATCAAGCAGAGTTGGAGAATTTACGGATGAAACTGCATCAGGCAGAATATAATGAACACCGTCAGGGTGAGGCAGAGGGCATAAAAAGCGCTTCAATGATGTCGGAGAACCTCGGATACTATCTTTTCCATGCTCGAATGGACGACGACAAGTGCAAGTCTCAGCAAGTAAAGATTATGGAGCAGATTAGAGTCGTCCTCAAGGAATATAGTACGATATCTGATATCTCATTTCATGGTTACTATTGCTGATGATATTGATTTTTAGACGCTGCTTTGCTGCAATACTCCCAGATTACGGCATTACCACGAGCAGACCCGTATAACGTGGAAACTTTAAGAGTCTGGATAAAGAGAGATGGTAATCATTGTATTAGCGGCCCGGCTGCAAAAGCGTGGGGAGATTATACAGAAAGTGTACGCAAAGAGAAACCCTTAAAATGGCAATTCATCAGTCTCTTGCGCAGCATGTTTTGGCCTGCGGCTCCTCAACCTGATATTCTCGACCTCGTTGTACCTCGACAGGGTCATAAGGTGGATAGCCTCACGAGATGGGTTGCGAATGAATTTGTCCCGTTTTGGCACAGCCTGAAGCAAACTCTACGACGCAAGAAGGTAAAGACATCCTCAGCAGAAAACGGGCTACCAACTACCGAAACAAAAGCCCATTCGTCATTGGGGAGTGGAAAAAGTCAAAGGAGCCTTTTCTCCTGGCTCAGTCGTAGAAATAACTCGACTGGCACAATTCAAGCAGATTCGAAGTCGAAAAATAGAGCAGGACTTACTGTTTACTCCGAGGCTCGCATGTTACGTTTTACCTCATCTGTAGCGACAGTTATTGCGTGCCTCTTACCCACGGTTGCAATCGCAGTTCTCTCGAGTCTACAGTCTACTGCGGAATTACTTGGCGTAATCGCGGCATTCACAGCTATTTTTGCCATGGGGCTTATGTTCTTGACAGATTCTGGTACATCAAGAGTTGAGATTTTCACCGCTACTGCTGCGTAAGTTCAAAAGCATCTCACTGTTTCACGAAAGTAGACTAATGTGGTTCCAGCTTTTCTGCAGTTATGGTAGTATTTGTGCAGAATCAAAATGTATATGTTGGCTCGTATGGAAACAGCCCCGGAACACGAATCATGAACAGCACAAACACAAGGAAAGGATGAAGACAGCAATGGACAATTGTAATCACCTAATCCTGTCTAGTGTGCTCTAGCGTCCTTTTACTGACACGCTCCAGTTTCAATCCTCTGTATATGTTTCAATTTTGATGTTGGGCACTGGAGGACGAAGTACCTCGTATTATAAATCCTCATTGACGCCACCGGTTTTGTATCATTCCTCGCCAGTTTCATACTTGGATTATCCGCTTGCAGAATCGTTTTCTTAATATACGTTTTGATGTCACAAATCATTTAAATATGTGACCTCACGAATTATGATATCACGAGTTGCGAGATTTCAATTTAATCATTTGCTTCTTGAACAACATTTGCTCAAGATTCTGCCCCGCGATTAGCCTTTAAGCAGTCACTCTGCAAGCACCTAATGTTGCATCTTCCATTCCTGGAAAGAGTTACCTTAATGCTGTATCACCAAAGTACTACCCCTCATATCATTCAACCATTAAAAATGCCCGAATAAGCCTCATCCATCTTCGGAAACTCAGTGCTTATTTGTAATACAGTTTCGCATGATCAAACAAAAGTCGCCGACACACAGGTTGGACCAAATTCCAGCCCTATCTTCTCTCTACTTTCTTTACCGCTGTCTATCAGCTGTGCGAACCATGGGAAACTCCGTAGTGATATTGCGAACCGTCCGTGAAAGTACGATATCCTTCAAATTAGACCCTAAACCATAAGTGACTAATACCGGGTTTCTCCCAATATAGGTGTGGTTACACCAACAAGGAATAAGCAGCTGAAGTGGCATGTGCCAATATTACAGTTGGAGGCTTAAAGAGTCTGTTGAACTTATGGTTGGTCTGAGCGAAGAAAATGAAGATGAGTTGTTTGACCCCGCCTCGTTGATTGTGAAACTGACGATAATGCAACGTTTGTGCATGTGTAATGTCACATTTGGATATTTCCCGAGGGCGGAGGCCTTAATTCCTGGAAATTCTTCATCGTTCGATGATGCAGGTGTTTGTGTTACGCAATGCATGATGTGGTGGCTCGCGCTGATCTGGAGTAGAGATGAAGAAATAAAGGGAAATGTCACGGTAGCTATAGGCTTTAGTTAATACTCAGTTGCTCGCAAGCTTCAGTCTAAGTGTTCGATGACTACTGTTTGACCAACAGGTAGAGATCAGAAATTGCTTGTGACAAGGCATGATATTCTCAATCGTGGGATCGTCAACTAAAAGATTTTGTGCTATGCCTAGTAAATCGAGAAAGCTCCTTGTGAAGCCCAACTCTGCAAGGTTCTTTAACGAATTAGCCCTACGTGGAAAGCATACAATTCCAATGCAGTACAGGTGAATAGAAATACAAACTTCGAACTGATGATTTTCATGCCAAGTGCGTGATGGGTCAATCTCGGCTAATAAAGCGGTGTAGACAGGCAGTTTGACATTACATAAGCAGATCGATCGGTCCTGGTGGTCCCAACTCTCCTATTAGACGCAAATACATCATTCTGTGAGAACGATTGAACGATCTCGATAGTTTAGTTCCTATTGATGAGTCTTCGATGGTAGTGTCACACTCATTATTGATGTTTTTCAATCATCACTAGCTGTGAATCTGATTACTCCGATTTGTTTTCATTTTGATAGTCTGAGGAAATAAAACGTTTCTTGGAACTCGGGCCAGGTTTTGGAGGTGCTATTCGCGACTGTTATTAATGAGAGTATATTTCATTCTTCCATATTTATAATACTTCACTTCTGCTGCTTGAGCCTTTTGTCAAACACTATACCTCTCTAAAGGCTTTTCCCCTTTCTTCACTGCTGGCATCATATTCATATTCGTCTCCATCGACATGACAACGACTTTGACAGGGAGCCTCATTTGCAATTCCTGTCATCAAGCTTTTGTTTCCCGTTGTCATTTTCATGAATCTTGTCGATGTTCTTACTCGGTTTCACATTTTCAATTTTATCTCTCAGGACATTCGGCGACTCTGATTCCTCTTTTGCCTCGTCTGCTAGGTTGTAGCCTAACATACTATCGAACTCAGTCATATACTCGACTGTATCTGTAGCCCATACACGAACTTCCTCGTCTTCATCTTGCGCAAGCTTTTCAAAGCGCGATTTCCAGAACATCCATCGCTTCAAGCTAAACCCGTGGTAGGTAACTCCGCCCTCTTGTGCTAATTTTCCAGGAATCTGGATCCATGCTACGTCGATCACAACCTTCTCATTAATCTCCTGATTTCTCCATTTCTTTTCGAGCATTGAGAATGTGAGTAGCTTAGGACCGGCTGTTCGAATCCAAATGATTGTTACCGGCGCCAAGCGCATGGTCTTTTCGTCGCTTGTCTCAAGAGCCTCGCCCAGGTACCATAGTGCAGTAATACCAACCCAGTCGTGAGTACCGATCGCCAAGGCCGTAGCAGCGAAACTAGCAAGATTGCATTGTTTTGCTAAAGTGTCATGGGTTGCAAATACCAGTTCCTCCCATGAGTTCTGCATAACTCCTAGCAAGTGCTCACATTGCCATTCCGAATCGGTCTTCGTTTCTTGTGGGCGAAGGCTTCTGCGAAGAACATCAAATTCTTTCGTCCAAAGGAGCAAGCAAATCAGCCTATCATGAAATGGGTCGTTCCATTCAACATTTTTGGCGACCTCCGTAAAAGTTTCCCAAACACTGGCAAGCGCTTCTTTCGACTTCTTCTGTGGTTTTCGCAGAGCGTCTTTGATACAGCCACAACAAAAGGCGAAGATGGAATCCAAAAGCACTTCCCTTTTCTGAGGCGTTCGAACTTCTGGGGTCCCCTTCCTGAGGAACTCGACTAGCTCTGTTAAGCCCATTTTTGGATCAAGTTCGTCTGCATCTTTGTTAGGACGTGCCATCTCCATTCTTGCGTTTTAGATCGATATATTGAATGAATAAACCACCAAATTATCACTGCATCTAAGTTACCTAGAGGAATCGTCGACGATATTTTGAGGTGATGAGTTGTGTGTTCCACAGCTCAATTGAAGCTGGCATCATTTTGTTGTTAGTGCATAGCCCCTTCCTTGTTGAAATCTCATGAGTGTGGAATCTATGACTTAGTTGTTCCTACTTAGTTTGAGAAAAGGTATATAGGCTTTGGATATTTGGAATCTGTGTACTGAATCAGTCCAAAACAAAAGTAGGCGATTTATGCTATAAGATATGGAAAGAGCGATTCCCGGCACTTTCACAACTAGACACGATCAATCTTTCCTACTGCAGCCGAGCCATGAGAAATTCGTTAATCCAAAATATTTAGGATATCACAGATCAAAATAACTTCAAATATCCAATTTTTCGGACAAGGCTGCAATATGAAGCATAGGAGTTATTGAGGCTCTGTACATCAAGATATGAACTCTTATTGAAAGTGAATATGGTTCGTGGAAATACGTCGGATTCTAACTGGAAATTTTAGCCATCCCTTCAACTAGAGAGAATGAAAATGACAGATGAAGTGAGCTGCAGGTTGACTCAATGTAGACACTGAGAAGAGGAGCCTTAAAGATAAGTGATATGCATGTAGAAGAACGAACATGGATTAGAAGATAATCCCATTGGCCAGAGACGGGCAAAACTGACAAATGAAGTTCAGTGAATGCTATGGTTAAGGGCCAGGAAAAGATGCAGGCATTTTCGATCCAAATGTAAAGCGTGGTGTCGTGTCTAATGTCTTTATCAGCTTGATTATTTGTAGAAATTGACACCAAATCTTGGAAATAGATGATTGTTGACTATAGGCACGATCAACCAGACCAAAAGAGTCCATTCGGCATTTTTGTCAAGCAACGCGGTTGCGATTCTCATCGGCGTAAACAAATCTTTCATTTTTCTCAGTGTTCGAGCGACGAATACCGTGAATTGGGAAACTTATTGCATAACCAAGGATTGTTGTATCAGATACCTAATTTGCTGTAAATTTTCTGTGATTGAAAAAAGGCCTTCTGGTAAATCTTGACATTCCCGCCATGGATGCAACGTGCCTTCCAAGTTCTGTTACGCGTTCTTGGGGATCTGTTTTTGCCTCAACGCTGCGGGGGATATTTCAGATTGCATAAGCTGAATGAAGTCCTCTGCCGCAAGCTTTGATTGTTGCATTATTCTTTTGCCACATAAAATTGATTTACTGCTTCTCTGCCAATTTTCAGCATTTTCCTTCATCAAATCACCTAGTAATATCCACGCTGTCCACAAGTGCGGATAATTTTTCTCAGGTTGGTACTGATATCATAAATGGAATGATGAATTGGCATGATTGAGTGAATAGCGTCAAGTATAAGACGTGTTGCCAGGTCTATCAGTGCTGGATTCTCAAATTGAGTGCGTTCCTACTCGGTTCTTAAATTATCCTCAGCTCACTTCGCCTGCACTTTCAAGTGTTATATCATGCTCAGACTTTGGATCCTGAAGGATAGTCTCCGGTAACAGGTGGCGGGAAAATCATTTTCACGCCTAGCTGGCCTAGTCGACGGGCAAAGAAATGATAAATGAAGGAGTTTGCTCCAGATAACTTCGTCAAGAATCTCAACCAAAACCAATTGCGCGATCAGTCAGCGGATATGTTAATTGAGACAACTCTCTAGTTCAACTTTATGGCCTGGAACTGAGTTTTCTGAAAGCAGGCCATCAACTGCCAGGCCCTTCCATAAGGAAGACCTACAGTTTGGCCTCGTTTTTCTTGGCTGCTTCAGAACGCTCAAATAAGAAACTTATAGATGGGATCATTCTTTGAAAAATGGAGTCTTTGGCTTGGTTATCATCATATGCTGACTCCACGTCAGTAGATAGGTGGCAATAGGTTCAGTGTGATCTCATTTTCCTCAAGCTACACTCGTCGGTTCGTCAGATGTCCGCGAATGATCCTGAAGCTTTGAAGGGTCTCGAGATGTTAATCTGAGATCCTCACATAGAGTGACTTTAAAGGACCAGTGTAATGGAACTCAGAGATAAGTTACATTGAGAGTAACAGAAGATATCGGTATTGCAATCGATATGGCAGTACATTCGATGGTAGTGATATCAAGCGTGTTCTTGTAGTGTTGCTAAGATTTGAAATTTGGAAAAGAAATCACTTGATGAATGCATGTGGGAGCAGATAATGCTATTTATTGCACCTCTTTGAATTCTGAACGACATTTGTCGAAAAGGGTTGGTACAGATCTTCAACAAAAACCCTTAACTCGTCCATTCTTCTACAGATTCACCAGCTGATGCGATTACAGATCAAAAGATACATTGGATTGTCAACCAGTATAAAAAATGGGCATTAGAACTAAAGAGTATCCACATCGAGAATTAGGGTAATACGAGAACGAACATACAGAATTATTCCGCATGGAAAAACAAGGTAGCATTTCACGGGACTCGCGATATACCAACAGAGCGCTGGATCGCTCTGTGGCCTGCTTTGAATTTCAGCTGAATGCAATAATGCGGGGATCAAATATATAACCTACGTGTATCTTTATGTCTTAGTCCGGACTTTCACGGGAGCTCGTTAAATTTTTGGGCTCGTTGACTATAGTATTATAGAACTAGTCGATATTGATGCAGATGGAGATACTCGACGTCCCGGTTACGACTCCAAAATTTTGCGAGGGAACTGGGGTGCTGTAGTATACCACTCATCTATACTTAAAACAGATTGAGTACTATTGAGTTGATGTCCGAGTCACGATATACCGAATCACATGGCCTGATGAGATCTTCATAGCATCTTTGCATATAATAAACCAATGAAGATCATACTTCGGAAAGCCGGCTCTTCCCCACCCAAATCTCTAGATCCACGATTAGACCCTGTGCCTGAGTTTTCATCGCTCCACAGTATTGAACTAAAAGCTGGCGTTAAATTAAACAACAATTCCCCCCGTCACTATTGGACAGAGGGGGTATTCACATGCACAACATAAGACACAACTTCCAGCCACCTCGTGTTACCTAAAAAAAATTCTCGACGCAAACTTGGCTTGCAGATAATAAATAATCAGCGCCGATTAATACTGAATTATCATTTCAGTACATCTATTTGACCTCGACTTGTCAGAGCGGGCAACCCTATTTGGACGCTTTGAGAGTGAGGAAAAATTTGTGGATACGGGCTTTTTGGGGGTGAGACAAAAGGTGGTGACACTGCATGTCGTGAGATCTTTGACAGGGAAAAAAGGCGGGATCTTTTGTTGACTTCTGACGTTTACACAGATCGTTGCCAGTCCCGAATTTTTGTGCTCATATAATTCCTATATAAACATCGTGATGGCTGCCACTTACGTCGTCCTCTTCACCCGATTTCTCAACTACCCATTCACCACCTTCGTCGGAGACCAAACATAACAGAATTATCATTGGTAGTTTGTTGTTATCATTTCTGAATCATGAAGCTGCAATTTGTTCTTCTTGCTGGTGCCATTGCTTTTAGCAATGCGTCTCCTCATGTCAGTCAACAATGCCCTAACATTTAGACACCGGTGCTGACTTGGCCAAGCCTACATTAATGGAAGTTCGCCAATACGACGATGATACTCCTGATCAAACTTGCAATTGTACCGGAACAACCCCAGGGCCGCTTCCCTCCTCCGCTCAATACATCTGCTATGATTGGAGGCTCGGTCCGAAAGTACTTCCGAAATATCTTCCTCTTTCTAGCGAGCTATCATCTTATGATAGGTTTGGGGGATTGACCCCAGGGGAATTTCTCGCAAAGTGGTGGGATAGCAGTAAAAGTCAATTTATATACCCAGGGGATGAAACCCAAGGGTTTTCAACGGACATAAATGGCAAAACTATCAGCGGAGTGATAAGCGTCCCTCCTAACACTTATCTAGACAGGTTTGGAGGTGAAACTGGTTCGTTCTGCCGTACCCTAAATCATTTCACTCATTATAATCAGCTGACACGTATAGGAATGTTTCTGTCCTCCGCCGATACGCCATATTCACAACGGTCTCTCCCGCCTTCGAACCTCAACACTCGGGTTGAAGATCCCGGGTTTCCCAACGAATACCATGTCTATCGTGTCACGAAGGACTTGCAGCTCAATGCTGGACCCATTGCACCTGTCAGTATCTTCGATTCTTGCATATCACACTTTTCTATCCTACACATCAATCTCATGTTTTTTCCTCCTGTTTTCTCTTGTTCTATCTTTACCTATAATGCAAATTTGAGACTCGCTCTCACGAGGAAACTTCATACCAAGCAAATGCTGACTATAAAATCTTGTAGTGGTTCGGTCAACCAGGACTTGGAACGCAACTTTATTCGGGACCTCGAACTGTTGCAGACTTAATTAGTAACGGAACTCTAGAAAGGGTCGATCCTTCTGTTCTGATCTCCAACAGGCAACAAAAGGGCTGTGGATACTAAGCGGACTTACCTGATTTGTAAACTGGCTAAGATTATTTTGTGATTTCAGGTTCGCTGTCAATAGATCATGGGACTATTTAATTATGATATCTAATGATGGAATTTTGCTCCCAAAATCCTTGTCTCGTTTCCAGTTCATGAGTCTCTCACTGTCGAATGATGATTATTTCCTACTCTGCAAGGCATCCTGTTTTGACAAGTGCAAATTAGCATTGAGCAAACTTGGCAGGTGCCCACTGGTGCCATGTCCTTTTGCTCATCATCCAACTTCGGCCAGCTATAACCTTCATTCAATTGCAAATAACTACATCAAACATATTTCCTTTTATTAACTATCCTCTTATTAAATTCTTTGCCAGGAATTATCAAGGAGAATTTCTCACTTACACCAGCACGGCAGCGTTGTTCTAATAATTAACCAAGTCAACTGCTTCTTTACGAACTTACTCCAGCCTGCTGCGCACCTGAAGTCTTGAAGACAGATCGTTCATCATCAATGTGCTAGACCACGATATGAATAACAACTCGAGCATACCTGATGAGAGAATTCGGATTACGGATGGGATTTTTCTCTCGTCCTATTCGCCAAGTATTAATACACCTCCTGGACCTTATTTGACCTCGCGGCTGAAACTCATTCCACCCGAGTTAAGAAGAGAGATCTGGAAACATCTCTTATTCAATCCTGATTTGGGAAGAGCCTCGTCCATTTTAAGGAAGGACAGTTATGGTGCCAAAGCCAAGTATGGATTCGCACCTGTTATTCTACGCGTTTGCAAGCAATTTCATGAAGAAGGAATGCAGATACTATATGGAGAAAACCAATTCCTGATAGAATGTGTCAAGAGAGTTTGGGGATAGTGATATCCACTTCACTGCCTTGACAAGGTATTGCGAGCGCGTCGGTAGCTTAGGTTTTCTTTCCGATACTTGGTTATCTGGTAATCGCTTGTGGCTTACGCCGCGGTTAAGGTGTGTTAAGCATTGGAAGGTACTAATAGCTCCACCACGTCGTACCATGCGAATCAAACTTATGGAATTTTGTCACTCCATATGTCACTATCACATCAAGTCGATAGAAGTTGTTATCATTTCTTTGGGAGACGCGACTCATCCCCGCTCTGATCATTGGATTGATGTAGAGTCAGATTCTGGATGGTTACGTTATGACTGGAACGAGAAATGCTTCGCTGACTCTCCCACGACTGAGAATATGCAAGAAGTTTTATTTCCCTTGGAGATGCTTCGAAGCATTGGGAGAGTCTGCATTCGTGAAGCAAAATTGAACGAAATGCCTGATTTTTTTTATTCAACACGAATACCGAAGCGAACAACACTAACACCGAGACCTTCAACGGGGATGTTTCCCTTCAGCTCAAGTCTTTGTTGCCACGTGCAACTTATCAACCATATCTTGTCGCATTGATGCAAGGAAGCACCGAAATCGAACGCTATCACGATATATACTTCAAATTTCTTATCTACGCTCAAAGCTTCGAAAGAATTGATGAATTCCGGGACCACATGGCCCTTGTTCACAGTGACTCATACGAAAATCCTTTTCATGGAGAGTGGGCTCTTTTCGGCTTTCCTCTCGGCTCACATCCCGTCGAGTCAGCCTTGCTCGAGGCTGCAAGAATGCTAATTAGGGATTGGAAAGGAGGGCAGGATATAATAGCTCAATTAAAACGCCTTCGGTCAAACACTATTAAGTTTCTCGAACGCCAATATCAAAAAATTCAGAAGGCTGCTGATGAATTGGTCCAATTCATCAAGTACAACAAAAAACATGGTCAACTGTTCGATCCCGCGAATTCGTCATTTAAATTTCTTTACGGAGATCAAGATGAAGCGTTTGTTCTATTGCATGACTATGCAGAACCTTTTAGCAGAGAACTAACAATGGCAAGTAAAATTAAAATCTGCAGACTGAACGGTTCGTATCAAAAGAGGTTTGATATGCTTCCCATAGAGATTGCCCTAAGGAAATGTACAGATGCTTATAAAGCCCACGATGGAGAGGGATTTATTAAATACTTCAAGATTGCAGTCGACGACATGGATGCGCAATATATCGAAATCAGGAACGCTAGGAAGCAGCTCTTTAAATGGGATTTAAAGAGACCAGGAGATGTCGCCGAGATTGATGTCCAGCCACTCAGGTGCGATGAGAGGATTGTCTGGGATAAAGTCGAGCCGGATATGATTTTCGGAGATTGCTATGTGCCGACTGATAATGAATACTGAGCTGGTCAGATTACCCAGTAGTCATGCATTGCAAAATTAAATGGCCACTAGCTTATTCTACACTTTCTCAATCCGATAGCTGCTCATTATCTGAAAATTTGACCCATTTGAATGGAATGATGTATATTGCATATCATGTAATAAAAGTTCTACAACAATAAGATCTTACTATTGCCTCGCCTAGTCTCTAACCAGATTTCCATGTAGAACAGCCAAGGAGTATTAGCGAAAGAGTCCTTAAAGCTCATATAATATTGGCTATACTAGCGCTTGAAACTGAGGAAGTCGTTTCCAATCTATTAATCGTCACATTCCAACATTATAGCTTGCCATGACCTGACAACTTTCTCTTCGCGGTTCTATAACTCAAGACTATATCTAGTTCGTTGTAGAAGAGCTGAGTGGTTATGAGGAAGGCCTTGGGTGTTCCTGCACTAAGAAATGTTGAGTATGCAATTGTTTCACATGCATAAAACGGTGAAATGATGGGTTCTCACTTAAGTATGTACATTTTGGATTCGTAGAAAGCAATGAGGCTAAATTGATGTCAGAAATGGGATTAATCTTAATTTTGTCTCAATCTATCCATCTGTCACGATTTATTCAACACCCAGTAACTTCATCATCGTTATATACGTATATGTCTTCAGGCTAAATAATTTAAGGAAAAAGGCGTTTGAAAAATCGAATTCTAGCATGTGATGTACAAGTTAAGATACTATATTTTCCTGCATTTCATCGGTACCATGAGCCCGTACAGTTTCTAAAAGAGTGTATTTAATTAAAACTAGGCCTTCAAGTAGGCTTTCCCTCCTCATAGCTCAAATAATATGCCTCTAGCCTTCTCGGCGGTACAATGACAAACCGAAGCATTGGCGATGTATTTGGATGCGATTGCTGACGAATTCCGGTACCCATTTTGTGTGAGGGTTGTTGTTTAATCTTGCAAGTCCGCCAGCCACGGGAATGCATGTGAAAGAGAACTCTGGGACTCCTCAAGCCAAACATCGACGTGGAGAATGGAGTCGTCGCTGTTGATGTGCGCTTGGGTACTTTCGGCGATTTCTTCTTCATCATCATCATCATCATCATCATCATCCTCATCATCCTCATACTGTGAAGACAAGCTCTCATCGTCCCTGAATAATGCCTCAAAGTAGTTTGTTTCTGAAGCTTCATCGGTACCAACAGCAGCAGTATGAGTAGATGGTAAATGAAATTGATTGTCGTCCATTTGGTAAATTGACGAAAAGCAATCGTCTTCGTTAAAGAAAGGTAACGATATCCAACCTGCCATTTCAATATTAGGATTTTCCATATCAACTAAATCATCCTCACTAACTCCATCAGCATTATTCTGGATATCCATGCCGTAAATCTCTTCTTCATCTATAAAACTCTCATCCTCAATATCCTCGGGAACATCAATCCCGGCTTCTTCTTCCGCGAGTTGCTGTGCTAGATCTTCGTCATACGCGATTTGATCCCGAGTGTTCTGCTGGATCCGAAGCATTTCTGATTCTGTTGAAGCAGTGATTTGTGACTCCGATAAATCCCAACGAATATGCCAGTCATTTCGTTCGAATAATGGTGTGAATTTGGTATCAGGAATATTTCCTCATAAATCTTAGTCGTAAAGCACAGCCCTAGCTTTAAGTATCTCGAAGTATTGAGACTCCATATCCCAAACAACATACCGAAAATATTCTCGAAAACCAACAGCATCCCCATCTTGTATGCTATCCTGCATTGTTCGAGCCTAACTTCCCTTGGCATTGAATTATACCGGAGCTCAAAGCGACCATGCTGAGCCCGCACATGTCTCTTGGTTGTTGTATCAAGTTCGCGATAAAATGAAGCGACGTACTCTTCGAGTACTACAATAGCCTCAGTATGCACATTTAAGTCAAAGAAGAGGTCGTTGACACGGGTAAGATCAAATATAACCCTTATTCTCTTTTCGCGTTTGACAAACTCCACCACTTCATATGATGCGGTGCTTATTTTGTCAAATCGACGTTCCAAGTACTTCAAATGGTCGACCACTGCCGCTTAAACCAGGTGGTGTCGATGATATCCCTGTCTCCCAAATCGATCTTGTCTCTCGCTAACCCAAGACCGGCTTCAATAGTTTGAAATATCCCCTCAGGGCAAAAGATTGTATCTAAGAATGGATTCTCGCATAATCTCAAGTGCTCTCGACGCGATTTACTGACCATATGATTAAGACCCATGCTCATATCCTTCCTGAATTGAATGTCTCTCTCGAACTGAACTGCGTATCTTTCAACATTTTCGTACTCAATTCAACTTCCGAGTTTCCCTGAAGTAGTTCAATGAGCGAGCGTTGATATTAAGCTTTGGGTAACATTAATATTGTCACAAGTGGCATTTGATTCCAGTCTTCGTTACAAAAAAAATCCGGTATTTCAGATATGTGTGCTGTCCGAATCGACACTTTGGGTATATTTCATGGTAGTTCCAGAGGCTGAAGCATTTCCCGCATATTGCACACATCTATAAAGAGTAATAAAGCGTTAACAGTTGTTAAGACGCAGCAGATTTTGGGAGAGAGAAAGAGTGCTTACCGACAAAATTATCATTGGTTTCCACACCCTTTGGGATAATACAAATGTCTAGTTCTGTCAAAAACGAACCTCCTGTGGGTGTCTGATGCTCGCAGAACGATATACACCATTCAAAAAGTTGCGTTTGACTTCGCCGCGAATGATACTTGGCACTCAACACCAATTTCCACTTCTTTACCTGTCTTGGAACTGGATTTCCTTGCAACAAGCCCTTATTAAACAGCAAATAATGATCTTCTTCATCACGCTGATTGCTCCAACGGGTTAGCGGACTACATAAGGTTAGTGGAGGCTCTAAGCCGAAAAGGGGTAATGATTTGACGTAAAAACGATTGGAGCCATAGGGAATTTCCCTTCTCTCTTGATGGAACAGGCGGCAAACGAGCAAAATCTGCGGGCTGAGTCCGTATCTTATTTTGGCTCCATAGCTTCCAAGCTGGGATATGGAAGATGCTTCTTCCAGCTCAAGATTGACTAGTAGACAATGAAATATACCCCTGCGAATCTCCACCGCCAGTGACTGCAGTGTATTTGTTTGTCCAGTATTCCTAAGAACTGCTGCTTCTTCATTAAGCATCCCTAGAAGGATCTTGATGCAGTTTTCGAGCTCTCCAAGACCAGCAAAGGGCTCGAGTAACTTAAACATCATTGCCTCACCGGCCCCCTTCGCAAAATCATTCCAGATCATCTCTTTCGCTTTCCCAAAGATCACTTCTACGCTCTCTTGATCTTGAATTAGGCTTTCGAACGCTTTCTCGGCAGCTGGATCCATCTTGGGAAGTTATGATATTCCGTTATCGATATTGATGGTTAGAACTTGTAGGCTGTAGATACGACTGTGCAGTTTTTTTCCGTGGTATCTGTGCAATGCTCCTCGTTATCATAATGTAACTTATTAATCAAGAAGCTCATTGTTTCTGTGGTTATGCGATGTCTCTTACCATTTTGAACAGAGGAAATGAAAATTGAGATTGTGTAAAATACGATATGGATATCGATCAGTGCACCATATAACTCTAATATTGTGTGCTGATAGCATCCATTCATAGCAGTCTGGAAATTGTGTGAGAATATAATAAGCTTTGGTCTTTGGCTAATCATAACAACAAACTTCAAAACGCCTATAATACCTCTACTGTGTCCAGTCACCAACTAGTGGTGCGAAAATGAAATGCGAAAATACAATGCGATTGCTAACAAGGTGTGTAAATTTTCAGTTCAGTCAAATCATAAAGGCTTTCAACCATGGGCCAAAGTATTTTGCGCTTTGATTTGCTCAAAATAGATAGAAATGACAATGACTGTCACTCGAAATTGGGAGTAACACTGATCATACTCACACAAGTGAGATTAATAAGTGAATCATTCTTGTCAAATGGCTAGAGTTCTGATACTATATAGCACCCACATTTCCCATTCTTAATAGTCTTTTCTAAAACAATCAAATTTCTTTACAATACCTTCAACATCTAAAGGTTGCATGCAACACTCACAACTTCACAACCTATTTATCCTACTAATTCTCATAAGTTTGAAGATAGAATAGTTTGCATCTTCCAACAGAGCAATTACTGTTGACCTCCTGGGATCTTGGCAGCATATGCATATATACTGCATGATGCATATAAGGAGCAAACAAAACTCAACTTTTAATTCATTCTTTCCTTTTTGGTATACTGTTTGTTTGCTTTCAATATTTTGATTTCAAAGCACTTTAATTCCGAAGGCTGAATACCTAACCTTATTCCTTCATTTATTGAATATATACTCGCAGCTTAACTGCTTAGCTAGAGAATCAATCAATTCAATCTGATGCTCTTTCTGGTCTCAAGAAACCCAATACTAACGTTCCCGCCTAGATCAATACTTAACTCCTTGTATTAGGTAGCAAATGTTTTCTTCTTCCTTTCTGAAGGATATGTAAGGCTAGAGTTTTGCACCATTTCAGCTCGTCAATGTTCACTTTAGAGACATATTAGTGAGACTTACTCGGTTATACAGGAGGATGGTGATGCAATGAAATTGATTGTATTCTCCAATGTTAAAGAGTGGAATGAAGTAGCTGCCGGGAAGATTCAATTGGACTAAAATTCCTACACTAAACCGTTGATTAACCAACCATTCGGTCTGCTAGACTCAGATGGCACGAGGCTGTAGTAACTACGAAGCCGACCAAGGGAATTGGTTACCACTATCGATCAATTCAACATCAGGTTTATTTATGTACTCAAATGCACACGGTTATTAGCCTCTATAATCCATTCTTTAAGGGTAGTATTAGATTTCATGTTGAAGTAGACTAAGGGCCTAGTACGCCTCCATACAGCTCGCTAATTTAAATATTTTCCAGGGGAAATACAGTGTAGCTCATTAGTTGTATAAATCCCCTAGTTAAGTTGTAAGTATAATACAACTCGCTTACCGTGTCTACCTCCCTGATTATAGTATATACGGCCTATATTTAGTGATTCTGTAAATCTTTCCAACTACGATAAGATACGGCTTGTAATTATTTCAGTATCATTGAGTACGGTGCAATACAGCCCTACATCTTCCCTCGTCTATCTGACTTTGGTATTTAAGGACCTCTACTTTCCACATCCAATCAACACCTTCTTCTCACATCTTACATTCATCTTCCACGCAAATACCTAACAACCAAATACCAATCCAAACGGGACAGAAAAGGACATTTACCACGGTGGCAATACAATTCGCTGGTTCATCAGCATCCTTTGCATGAATACTTATTTAAATCTTCTCAGTTCCTCCTCCAATCAACACCTTCTACAACATTGACTTTTTACTATCATAAAAAGAGCGAAAGCGATTCAGAACGCACCGAATAAGAAGTCGAATATCAAATAAGATATCTTCATTATGCAGAATCCAAGACAAATCGCCAAGAAGAAGTCCTCCACTTCAAAGGGTGGTAGGGATAACAAGAAATTTATGAGAGTGCATTCGAACGGTACTCTCGCATATAAACAGAGCACTCTGGTCCAAAGTCAACAAGCCTTTCCGGTACAGAAAAGAGTCAAATCCGGCATTCCCTCCCGCAATTCGAGGGCATACTTACTCAACATGCCACCAGAGATCCATGATGAAATCCTTTCGTACCTGCTTACCAACCCTATGCTGGGTCAAGGTACTTCGGTGACCGTGGAAGCAAGACCATTTAGAAATGGCAAAAGAGAGGTCATTCCACCCAAATACGAGCTCCATCCAGCCGTCCTCCGTGTATGTAAGAAAATGTATCAAGGAGGCTTATACATGTTATATGAGTGCAACACCTTCATCATGGATTGCACAAATTGGATGTATCAGAACGATACACGCATGCCTGTTGATGCAATGTACGAGTATGCTCCACGGTGGGCAGAGGCGTACTACCCCATTACGACAGCTCTAAACGTGACGCCATTGAATCGGTACATTGAACACCTGAATGTCAAGCCAACTACTTCGGACTGGGAGTACAAAGGAAACCAGTATTTTTACGAGCAGCCAACATTCAGTCAACTCGTAGGTCCACAAGCCAGTTATGTCAAAAAGTGGAAATTCGTCGTGCGCGGAGATAGCGGAACTTACAGTCGTCGATTCAGTCGATTTGCTTTACAGCAGTTCTGTCACGCAATATGTCAGCGCCCAGGGCTCTCCCTTACCTTTGTTGTTTGTAGAGATAAGACGTCGAAAGCGACGAAAAAGGCAAATAACCTAGACTCAGACAGGGAATTGGGCTTCGAGGAGATATCTTCTCCCCTGAAAGTACTCAGGAACGTCAAGAATGTTGAGTTTAACGAAGCACATGCCGACGTTGACCAGGAAGTTGGTGGAGAAGAGTTTCCCGAGGCACTCCCGGTGTACTGTGACGAAATTTTCCAAATGGCCGACGCAGCTGCTAGCACTCTCACGTCGGGAAAGATTGTGCAGAAATACACCAAGTTGATGAAAGGATCATCACCATTGATCAACCCAGTGGATCTCATGTGTGATGATCTCGTGACATACGCCAAGACTTTCCAACGTGTTCCGGAACTTGAAAAAAATATGGACCTGGGTAAGGTTTCCGATGAAGTCCTATTCCAAAAAGACGTTACGAATACATATAAGCGGCCATATGATTCGGCGGAATGTCTACTCAGACAGGCACAAGTAGCAGCATTGGTTAATGACATCGAAAAATTCAAGGGTTTTCGGAAGGAGTTGTTACTAGAAATAGAGGGGGAACGGTACAAGATCATCAAGAGTGGTTATGCAAGGTTTTGCAAGTTTATCGAGCAGAACAGGATCATCCGAGGAATTCTATGCTCAGGAGAGTTTCATAATGATGTGTACAGATGTCAGGAACATACACTGGACCTAAGCGAAGACACAGCCTTGAGACGCAATTGGCGAATCAGCATCACCGAAGCCCTCATCGTGCTAGAAGATTATGCTTCCTCCTTCTTTAGAGATACATCGAACAAGAATTTCAAGCTGCACGCTGGACGCCGTCTTTATGACCCCATCCACCTCTACCATGCATTGCCAAGAGAGCGACTGATGCGACGAATCCAAGACGCATATTCTTCCTGGAATTACAGCTCCTTTCTACAATACTACAAAGAGGCTGTTCATGACATGGATACACAGTACATGGAGATACTGGAGGCCAAAAAGAACCTCTTTCGATGGGACACAGGACGTACTTTGAGAGGAATCGAAATCGTTTCTGGGGATGAGAAAGACTTTGTAAGCCGCGAAATTGAGCCTATCGAATGGACCACCCTCGATTTCGATCACAATCATGTGCCGGGGAGGCGGGCGCCGGCGGCCACCAAGCGACAAAAGCGTCGAGGTTAACGGCAGTGGTGAAGGAATGATCATGCGGGGAATCCAAGGTCGATAAATGGCTTTATGTAGAGGACCGGGGCTCTTGCGGTGAAGAACGGATATTGATGATCTCAGTGTGAGGACTTTTTGATGGGAATATGAAACCTGAGTATATCTTATGGTACTCCCATAATGAAACAAATTCGATAGATTCGGCGACTGTTAATGAAGAGTGTGTGAAGTGAAATGAAGTGAATAGTGATATTTCATTTTGAGAGCTCTAAATTTTTGTGAATAGAAAAATCATCAGGCCATGTTCGCTTGTATTACTAAGCTCCCCCGACTCCCACGCAGACAACCGAAGCAAGTCCTCTATGGATAAAGGAAAGAACACTCCACACCCATTAACATCACAACATCTCTCCCACACCATATTACAGACAACGTTTATCATATCCATACAATCATGTCATAAAGCATCCCTACTCCTCACAAAATCCAAATATCTTCCTTTGGTCCATCTTCTACAGCTCTTTCCAAAGCGCATCATTGGCCATGTACACATAACGAATACAAAATCTAAGACTCCAATCGCGATGAATGTCTGTTTAACTCCTGTATCCAACCAATAACTTGCTGCGAATGTAAAGATACATCCGATTGTATTGTTTATGACGCTAACTCCCACCATTCCTTCGAGTACCATTTCGGGATATGCGTCCATGAGGTAAGACATCGACAAATCTCCCGCACAACCCCATCCAAAACCGATAAACCCAAGTCCTACATATGGAGCCGGCCATGACCACTTATACGCCGTCCCGAGACCAAAGATAAACATCCCCAAGGGTGAAAAGATAGCACATGGGTACATCATCCAGAGACGATCCTCGGCTTCGAGAATACCATGGCGGTATCTTTTAGAATACCAAAGTACAAAAACATCGGAAAGGTAACCACCCCAGAAACAACCAATAATGGCGCCGATCAAACAAGGAACGTTCATGAGACCAGAACCAATAGTAGAATAGTTCCAAGGAGCATCAGTCCAGTTATCTTCTTCGAGTGTAAGGTAGAAGGTGAGCCAAGCGTCTTGGGCGCCCCATTGCAAGCCACTGTACCAGACAGCGGGGAAAGTGAAGATGCGGAGGGTGTGGAAGAGACGCGAAAAGTATTGTTTAAATCCCGTTCCTTTGAGATTAGATGCAGGCGTAATTAGCTGGATGCGTTCACGGAAGGATTTTTTGGCGGGGACTGGAGAAGGTGAAATGGGAGGTGTGTCGGAGGGGGTCGTTTCTAGAGCTGTTTCCTTCTCGTTGATGTTGCGAAATGGAGTTTCGTCAACCTTTGCTTGGGATCCAATCCCGTTTATTGGGACTTCGTATGCAGATTCGGGTCGGTCAAACATTGTTTCTTCGAGGGTAAAGTAACACACGACGATGGTGCAGGAGGAAATGATGACGGACCACCATCCAATCCATCGCCAGCCTAGAGGTCCGCCAGCAATATATCCAGCAATAATTGGACCTAAGTAGGTACCGATACTAGTCGACAAAACGTAAATACCTAGGACACTACCTCTTTGATGTTGAAAGAATAAATCCGAAAGGGAAAGCTGCACATTGGCTTCGGCACACGCTTCAGATGCTCCCACAAAAAGCTGATTCCAGATCGAGTCTCTTGTAGATTGCACACGCGCCATCCATATAGCACCAATAACTCCTAGCGTCAAACAAATGATATATGTGACTCTTCTTCCATATAACCACGCAGCAGGCGAGATCAACAAAGTCCAATAACCAATTCCAACAAACAAAACTCCAGCCCCAGTATTCATTGCATCATATGTAATTCCGTATTCTGCATTCATACCATCTTGCGCCGAGCCCGCGTCGTTAGAGGTAGCAGCCGTCAGACCTGTGATAAAACAAACTAGGAAAGCATGCCAATATTTTCGTGTACGGGACCAATTGAGCGGATCGAGAGGTGATGAGGTAGGCTGAGGTTCTAAAACGATGTTTCCGTGTTTGAGGAGGTTGGGGTTTTGGGCTTGTTCAACATCTTCTACCAGCCGTGTGGTGCCCGGAAGGAAATCTTCATCGTGCATTTGAGTGTGGTCCATCGCGGATGGCGATTTCTATATCGTGGTAAAAACCACGACACGAGAACGGCCTGATCTTTGCTGGTAGTCAATAATTGACTTGTGTGTACTCGAAATGAACAAGAGTATAGAGAGAGTAAGAGAAAAAATTGTTCTGGAGATGCGAGGCTCTATGTAAAATGACGGAAGTGCTGCGAAACCTTGAGAAAACTAGGATAAATTCATAAGAATTTCCGCTTGGAATTCTTATCTGTGTGATTCCCACATTTTTATTATGAAATGAAAACTCTCATGGTAGGGATTAAACACTTGTTGTGTGCCCGATAAGAAGATCAATCATTGGGCTCCCCATGGGTTACAGCATGGCATTATTTTCTATGTTCCTGGGACAGGGTGAATAGGAAAATTCAAAGGATGAGATCTGCAATCGGCGAATATGGATGTTTGTTTGTATTCCTCTCACTTATCAGGTTCGACTTTGGATCGGAAGGGATGGTTGTTCATCTGAAAGGTTTGAACAGCATACTAAGTGCAGCAGAATTAGCACGATAGGCTTAGGGCTTGCTAAATTGCCCGGATTGTGAATGCAGTACCTAGGTAAGGCCTTATCAAGAGGTCGGGTCGGCCCTGAAAGGAAAAGCGGGCTACCTAACGGGAAGATGCCTAGCGATTGCTTAAATTGCTTCATCGGGACCATCGAGCCAACCAAATGATATGTGATGCAGGAATTCATCCATGTTCTAGCCATGTTCCACTCAATTAGTGCCACTACCAGCCATTACGGATACCACCTAACAAAATTTGCCGTTTAACATTGAAACTTTGGATCATCGCGGGATTAAACAGTTGCATGCATCATGATTCATTCATTAATCATTACGGTCCTCCACGGGTATATTTCTGGTTAATTAGATAAAAATAAATTTATGGTTGATCTTGGAGACGGGTACGGAGTTATTACTAGGTTCATTGAATGTGTGCATTTCTTTATATCTCGGCTATCTCCCCTTCATTGCTTATTACTCCCCCACCGAGAATCCGAATCGAGCTGATCTCTCCTAATATCAGGTATCACTTCACACAGCTTGTACTTTCTTCCTTTAGCTTAGTAACGATATAGAAGGAAGATCAACTGGACCCTGAACCTTCCTCCGCCTGGATTTACCCAATTAGGTTGGATGAGCTTGGTGATGAGCGATAAGAAAGATAACTCGGTTTGCATGAACGATAAGACATTCTTCGACCACCAAATTCTAATCCATCCAATCCCTTCAATCCCTTCAACTCACCAATGTCTGTAAAATCAACAGAAATCCCCAACCCGGAGGCAACTTAATCTTGGAACCTCAGGGAAACGAATCATGCCTAATTCTATTTCCATTCCATCTCCACTAAGATGTCATCATTATCATCAGGTGGACAAACACTGCATTTGATACTTACACCCACCACTGCAAAATATGAATTTGTCTTGATTTATCTTCAAGTACTGCCGTGGAACGAGGGGAATCAGAGACAGATACCATCCCTTTAACTTTTCGGATTTGCTGGGTTTTGTTGTCAGGAACATCAACCTAATTTATAGTGCAGTGGATCGATCATATGACAAACCAGCGGGTAGTCCAAGTATATTTTACATCTCTCATCCCATCCCTTCTCTTTTCTTTCTCTCTGGGTTTTAATCTACAACAACTCAGTTTTCTACAGAGGTTCTCATCTACAGAATCTTTGATTGCTAAAATCACAACGGCACACTTTTGCAATTGACCAAGTTAACAGCTTCGGAGATCCACTCAACTACAACAACTTTCGAAACCTCTTATCGATTAATCGATTAGCATCTTTGCTATTTTTTTGATTTCATATCGCAGCTCTTCGAGCATACTCTACTACACTCCCAAGTGCCAAATCATACGCAGATGTTGAATCAATATGTCAACCTTATCCATATCTCCTCTTGGCGCTCTAAATCCAAACGAAATAAACCGATCATATCAAGTAATTACCGCGCCATTGCCAATCCAGAACTCAAAACCTTTGATCTGGTCCACAGGACTTGAGAGTCCCGACAATTATGGCAATGGCGTGAAAAAAGCCCACGTACTCATTGTGGGTGCCGGAATTTCCGGTTTACGGGCAGCGTCGGTTCTACAGCGACATGGAGTTGGTGTTACAATCTTGGAAGGCCGGCCGGATCGCATCGGTGGTCGAATCCACACCAGTCGAAAATCTCCAAACGGAAAGCCTCGAGACATTGGTAAATACACCTGACCTAATAGGCAGAACAATATCTTCCGTTGTGGGTGGTTGAGACTTACGGTCTTGACCACACAATGTGGGTTGTTTATCCTTTCCCCCGGCAAAAGTGTGCTTACTATATATACAGGTGCTGCATGGATGCATGAAACTTCGCAGAATAAATTGGTCCAGCTGATCAGAAAACTTGATATCGAGTACTATTATGATGACGGTACGCCTTTATACTTTACCAAGGAAGGAAGGGCAGGATCACAATTCAAGGCGAAGAAAGTAGCTGATGAATTCGCGGACTATTGTGAGCACTACTTTGAAACTCATCCGCATGCTCCTGATCGCTCTGTGAAAGAGTTCATTCATGAATTCGTAGAGAATCACCCTTTGATCACTAACACTGAACGCAAATGGGCTCCACAAGCCATTCGTGAGGTTGAACTTGTAAGATGTCTTAGTGCTCCAACCCCTCATCGAAGCTAACTCGATAATTTTAGTGGATCGGTACATCAATCGAAGATGCTTCTTCTAAATACTTGAGCTACTTCGTAACTGAAAGAAATTTATACATGAAGGGTGGATATGATAAGATTGTCAATTGGCTCGCGAAACCAATTCTCAAGGATCCTGAGACCATCAAAATGGGCGAAGTTGTCGAGAATATTCAATGGGGTGACCAGGACAACTCAGTAGTAGTTGAAACTTTGAAAGGCGACAAAAAATCTATTTTCAAGGCCGACGCCATTGTTGTTACTGCGCCTCTTGGTTGTTTGAGAAACAAGATGATTAACTTCGAGCCTGCTCTTCCTGAAGACATTCAGGAGGGTATTGATAACTTTTCTTATGGAGCTCTTGGAAAGGTTTTCGTGGAGTTTGACGAGGTGTTCTGGCCAAAGGACAATGATCAATTTATCTACTACCCTTCCCCTCTTCCGGAGGGTGCTCCGGTTGATGAGTAAGCATACCCTTCGCTCTTTATCCCAATTACTAATACTGATATCAAATAGATCTTCGATCTTGTCCTATGCTACTGTAACATCTAATTGCTGGATCATGTCCGGCACCAAAGAGCTCTGCGTTCAAATCGCCGAACCTCTTACCCAACGAATCGAATCGATGACGTCAACCAAGGAAATTTACGCTTTCTTCGAGCCTCTCTTCAAGCTCATGCGTACGGAACCATATAAGGATCTTCCAGATTTACTCAACCTCGAGACCACCCACTGGACCCAGGACCCTCTCGCAGGATTCGGATCCTATTCCGTTGAGAAGACGGGTGACGAATCCGATCTCCTTATCGAAGCCCTCGAAAACCACAGTCGAAGTCGCCTTCAATTCGCCGGTGAACACTGCACCATTGTCGGAAACGGCTGTGTGCACGGAGCATTCGAGACCGGAGAGGTTGCCGCAAGAAACCTCCTGGAGACATTAGGCGTGGTATATGATGGAAATGATACCACTGCTCGAAATGTGTCTCTTTGAGCGTGCGCCTTTCTTGTGTCTAAGAGGTGAGATGAGATGAGCTGATGACTTGAACTTGCTACGTATCCTTAAATGGCTCTCGTGAGACTTGTTAGTTTTTGATTTTTGTGTTTGATTTATTCTGCTTTTAGTTATATCATTACCCCTACAGTCACTACAGTTGCTACCGCTGTTCTGCTTTTAGTTATATCATTATTCCTACAATCATTACAATTGCTACCACTGTTATATTTGCTATTCCTTATCTCAATTAAGATATAGATATACCTTGCGATTCGTATTGTTCCACTTTGCCACCGTTATGTGTGAGTTTTGGCACGTTTACTTCAAATCTGGAGACGGGACTGTAAGGAAGCTAGTATTTGCTTCTTTCTATCCAACCATTCGCTGGGTATCTATATCTATCATTTAACACTGATACATAACACACTTAAGTCTTCGATCACCACGGATTTCAACTTCAATCTTAGCTCATTACTAATGGTCATTATCAGATGAGTTTCCTAATTTACAATTTTGCATTAGAAAATGATAAAACCTCGGAAATCAATGTAGCCACTCTTTTTTGTGGCAAATCGGGTACTAATCCTTCGTGAATTAATAGAGAATTTCAGCATTCATTTCAATTTACATCAATGGCATTAATGCGAGTAAATATATCAGTAGGGGCCTGATCTCGTTTATTGCACCGTCATATGGAATTCTCCATATTGTGCATCGACATAGCTTCTGCACATCTGATGGGAACTCCACATCGGCGTTTAATGGCTGCACTCCAAACTTCGCCGATAAATTTTTTTCATATCCTCTATACCATAATCGACCATTTGGCGTGCATATATATCTCAATATCTATGCACATATTAACACGAGAGAGAAATTTTCTGGAATGGCGGTGTGGATGTGTTGTGGCTATGTAAGATCTTAGATGACACATAACAAGTAATTAACATACTAAGAAAATAATGGGAAAGTAAATTGCTACGTAAATGAATGAAGAACGAGTGTATCTAGGGTAGAAAATAGAAATTAGAAATTAGAAATAGAAATAGGGGAATACATCGAGATAGTCATGGTGAGTACTTTTTGAGATGTGGCGGGGTTATACGATATTATGCTGAGTGTTACGTGACGATTGTTATCCCACTAGTGGCTCACGTGCACTAGCCCTGTATATAAAGACCTTCTTACTTAGAATCTTCTTAGTTCTTTAGTTTTAGATTCTAAGTGATTGAATTGACTCCGTTTACGACTTTTCCGTCACACTGAGGGAAGTTGTTAATGTGGTCTTATATGATGCTTTAAGCTTATTTTTTATTATATTATTTATTAGTTTCATAATTTTATTGTAGAATTTTATATGATATATGTTTATAGGAAATTATAAGGAGAAATTTGAAATTTATACTTATAGTATTATTAGTAATTTTTATAAGAGGAAAATAATAGTAGTATTCAAGGGGGTAGATGTCTAACGGGTATAAAAGGTATTTATTTTCTTTTTAATAGTATCTCACTTATCTCTAGAACTAAAAGTTACTAGGAGTATAGGAGGCATGTGCATTGATGTGGTTTTCGACATTCGTTGAGTTGGGAGATATAACAACGGCTTGGTTATTTAGAGAATCAAGATGTATATTTTGCATTTTATTCTTGAATACCTTAAATTCATTCATGCATTCATTCTCATTTCATATCATATACATCATATAACATTATAGTCATCAAACACTCCCACTCCCCAGCAAATATTCTATCCATCAACTAAGGCAAACTCAAAAACAACTTCAACAACTTAGGGTAATTTGGCGTGCCCAATCCAGTTGCTGGATCCCATCCCTTTACCGCTGCGAAACCCTCGGTTCCACAGCCTACATTCGTGCCATTAACAATATCATTAAGAGCTCCAGGGTTCTTGTAAAGTGTCGGATTTACAAATCCGATCGGTCCTTTTCCGACCGCGAATCTCTCTTCATTAATCAATGTGAACACCGATGCGAAGAGAGGAGATGCGAGCGATGAGCCATACCAATGTTCATCGACCCCATTAAGGTATGCGCGAAATTCGGCACCGTTGGCGGAGATATCGGGATAACCTCGTCCGATGCGGTTGTAAAGTCCCTTGGTTGTGTTGACGTTGACTTCGAGTTCGGAGTAATATGGATAGCTGAGTTTGGCAGTCTCGAAATACGTCTCGACGGCGGATTTTTGGTAGGAAGGGATGGGAAAATAGTTGGAGAAACCCCCTGAGCTGGTGAAGTTGGAAGCCGTTCCACCGAGATCGACGTGCATGACTGATTCGGCATCTTTGACAGTTTGGTCGGCGTAAAGCATGGTTCCACCTACTGAGGTAATGTAGGGGCAGTTACCCGGGTATTGAGGGTTAAAGATTTTACCTTCAGGACCGAGACAACCGTTCGCATCGCCATCTCCGGGGAATGAAGCGACTCCGTAATCACCGGATGCGGTAAGGATTGAGTGACCTTGAAGACCAAGTTTCATGAATTCATTGCATTGACGTTTTGTGTAGGCGATAGGGAGATCGGATTCAGCTTGACCATAGGATGCGGAGATGACCTTGGTAGGTTTGTAGACTCCGCATTGGCGTGTTCCATTCCATCCACCGGGTTGTGGGTCGGGATACACGGGATCAATTGATGGGTTATCTCCGGTCTCGCCATATGCTTTAAAGTTGCAGTAAGACTGAAAATGGTTAGCAATGTCTCATTTTAGATGTTGATCAACTTACTCCATCAAGTGCATCAAGGAAAGTGTTGAACAAGTTAGTGGTTGCAATCTCTTCTGGCTCATAAATTTGGTCGTCGACTTGATAAAGAGTGACGGTCTGAGGATAAAGAAGAGCAAACGCCATATCAATATCGATATTAGATTCACCTCCATTGAGAGAACTGTATGGAGGAACGGAGAAATTTGCACCATCGATGAGTGCGGGAATAGGGTAGGTTCCTTGTGGGACCCAAGGAGCGTGATGAGCATAGAAGAGATCAAGATCCGACTTTGCAAAGTAATCTCCTTGCTCGTATAGTCCCAGAGAGTTACCTGATGCATTTAATGTAGCGGTGGGAATCTTGTACATGGCCTTGATACAAGTAGGTGTCATATTTGAACCGCAACCTTGCAGATCGCTGGAAAGGCCGGCGGCTGCAGATGGGGTCCACTCGTAGTTTTTTGAAGGAGCGTTTCCCTTGGTAAGACGGTTCCTTCGCTTGGAAAGGTAAGATGTGGATCGCTTGGTCTTTACACTTCTTTTCTTGACGGGTGCAAGCTTGACACCGGGTGTGATGTAGTCAATATGTGGTACGAGATGCTCTGGAAGATGATATCTTAGAGTTTTGTTAGTAAAAATAAGTAATCAAATCAGGATGGACAATCGTACTCATCACATCCAACCCGTACACTCGAACTATATTTATGCTCATGTTCATGAAACTTGGCTTGGAGTAAACGCTCAGCCTCTTCGACTGAAGCATCAAATGCCAACCACCCTTTGTTTTCGTAATGAGAGATCCGAGAATGATGGATACCAGACGAAGTAAGCCAGTCTTTAACCGACTTAAGGGTTTCTTCGGGAGGAGCGAATTTCTCGTGGACTTCCTTTGACGACCAATATTTACCATACTTTGGAGACTCTGGATCCGAACTGAGTATAATTAGCTTCAATGGGTTCAGACAAATGTATCTGATCAAAGCACATCAGAGCCACTCACAGCTCCATAAGGTATTCGTAACCATTGTCAAGATTGGTTTGAGTCAAACCAATTCTCATTGGCACAACTGCACTTCCTTCAATTCGAGAACCCTTTACCCAATCCGATGGTGCTGCATTTCGCTTTTCATGCACCACATATTTGGTCGATGAAGGGGCAGCATTTGCAATTGCTGCAATGGCAAGACAGACAACAGATACTGGCACCAACATTTTGAAGCAAAGGCACACGGAACAGACGAATAAAGAACATCATCATGAAGGAGCAGGAATTGGACCTTTTAAACAATTTGTTGATTGACCACTTGGTCATATTTCTTAAACTCAACTAATCAATCGTACATGATAACATGCGGTACTTCCTGCAACTTCCCAGTCAGAATGATAGCGATGGATATCGTATATTGCCCGAATATCTAATCAGGAAGGTAGTAATGCGGGGAGAAAATGGGACCACTATCTTTGTACCATGTTTGAGCATATGATTGGTGGAGGTATTGTTTGTACCTGAAATCATTAGAAACGCTAATCTTTTAAAAAGCTTGTTTACCGCTTGATATTGGATGATATTTTGAAGGATGCGGATAGAGACAGACTATTAGAGAGACGGTAAAGTAAGTAGCTAGTTCAATTGAGAATACTGAAAATGGGGTCTGCGTCACCCCATCGACCATACAGAGTAGTTGATTCTTGCAGATAATTGGTAATTTAACAGCTGAACTTCATTCAATTGGTTTCCAATGCAATGGGTCCGTATCTCTAATCATCCTCTATTGGATGATTTATGTACCTTATCCCGTAAAGCATATCGGGTAGCTATCTCAGGCCGATGATACCGGGAAATCCATGGATATATATAAGGGTCATCATACGGACTAATTAATCGTTTACTCGAGTGTCTGAAACTATTTTACTACTACAGAGTTCTGCAGGTTAATTAAGTGTAAAAATATTTCAGAGTAAAGGTTAACGTAATTTATCACCGAATGGGCCATATCACCGAGTGGGCCACTTTCACCTCAATTCACACTCTTCATATTCAACACGCGTTTTATCAACCATTTATTATGCAATCTACAAATAAAGAAGCACGTTTACTCTTAGCTATCGAAGCTTTTCAAAAAGATAAAAAACTAAGCATTCGGAAGGCTGCTCAACTATATAATATACCTCGCACAACGATCAGCCACAGAATGGATGGTTTAACTCCACGTACAGAAACTCGAGCGAATTGCTATAAGATTACACAATTGGAAGAGAAAGTGATTGTTGAATACATACTTGATATGGATCGAAGAGGATTTCCACCTAAAATCAAGGGTGTAGAAGATATGGCGAATTATATTCTTGAATCAAGAAATGCGAAGAAAGTTGGAAAGCTCTGGGCTCATCGATTCGTAAAGCATCATACAGAATTAAAGATATGTTTTAGTCGTGTTTATGATTTTCAAAGAGCTCTCTACGAAGACCCTAAGCTTCTTGAGGAGTGGTTTCAATTGGTATCGAATATACAAGCAAAATATGGTATTCTGGATTGCGATTTCTATAATTTCGACGAAACAGGCTTTATGATGGGGATTATAAGTGCTGCAATGGTTGTAACTGATGCTGAACGACGAGGCAGAGGTAAAGCAGTACAACCAGGCAATCGAGAATGGGCTACAGCAATTATATGTGGTAATAGGGAGGGTGAAACTATACCTCCATTTCTGGTAGTTCAAGGACAAATCCATCTTTCCAATTGGTACACCGAAACCGATTTTCCTGCGGATTGGGCTATCAAACCTACTTCCAATGGATAAACGAATAATGAGACAGGATTAGAATAGTTAAAGCATTTCGATAAATATACGATTCATCGAAGAAAGGGCAAATATCGAATGTTAGTATTAGATGGACACGAAAGTCATGAATCAATATCTTTTCAATTATATTGCAAGGCAAATGATATTATATGTATAAGATTACTATCGCATTCAAGTCATTTAACTCAACCACTTGATGTTGGATGTTTTAGTGTCCTAAAACGTTTGTATGGTTGTCAAATTGATGGATTTATCAAGGCATATATCAATCATATCTTCAAGGTTGAATTCTTTATAGCTTTTAAAGCTGCATATCAAGAATCAATTACAGTTCAGAATATGAAAGCTGGGTTTCGAGGAACTGGATTAATACCATTTAATCCCGAAGCTGTACTCTCAAAATTAGATATTCGAATTCATACACCTACTCCTCCTCCTTTCGATTTGGATCTTTGGATCTCTCAAACCCCTCACAATCCAACTGAAGCTCTTTCTCAATCAACTTTAGTAAAATCTCGAATATCTCGTCATCAATCAAGCTCTCCTACACCTATATTCAAAACTGTACTAGCTTTAACTAAAGGCATAGAAAGATTGGCACATGAAAATACACTTTTAAGTGCAGAAAACCGTACACTTCGGAAGGCAAATAAAGCATTAAGCAAACATCGACATGCAAAAAAAACTCAATTACGGCAAGGAGGAGTACTTACTAGACAAGAAGCTATGGATATATTATCTCAGCAAGAGGTTGATATTCAGATTCAACGCGACGAGCGTCAAAATGGGGGGAATTCTAATGGGGAAGCATCTTCTAGTAGATGCTGTAGTAAGTGTGGAAAGCCAGGTCATAATTCAAGAACTTGTCAAATCAATATAATAGATCCTAGATTATTAGATTCCTAATAGTTTCAATCAATTGATTCAATTGTTGTTGAATAATATATACTTGAAAGTGTAAATTGAGGTGAAAGTGGCCCACTCGGTGATATGGCCCACTCGGTGATAAATTACGTTATTTATTACTTGCATGATTTTTTGTCGTATTACATAATCATTTAGATGATCAGGAAAGAAAATAACAAAGGACTCTAAAACATTGTGGGCATTAGTTCACCCCGAATAACACCTTCTTATTCCCTCTGATATACACACCTATCATACTTGCCCAGTACTGAAATCCTATCACCAATGACAATATTGAGGATATTATTGAGGCTAAGGGCCACATATTGCTGCAATCACAAGATCCAACATGGTTTTCTTTAATAACATTCCAGCTCCATCCTTTGTCGATAATGCAATTTCTTTCACTTATCTTCAAGCTAGTAAGTTGGAACATATATTTATATAGTAGTTTCGAGAAGAAATAAGTAACTCTTCCTAAATCTTCACATCTTCTTCACTTATTCAACACGGAAAATGCCTGTAACTACAAGATCTCGGTCTAAAAAAGTTTCACCACCCATTCCACATGATGCGAAACCTCATCCTGCTGTCAATTCTTCCAGAAACAAGAGCCATCTCAAAAGCAATAATTCAAATGACTCCTCGATGAATCTTAATGTTTCCCCAAAACCACCCCCTCAGCCAAAACAAGAGCCCAAAAGGCGTCGCCCATTGCCGAAAATGAAATCAAAAAAAACATTTCCCAAAAGTCAGGATCTTGGAAAAGACGAACCAAACCAAACAAGCACAACCCTTTCCCCGCTTTCCACCTTCACTCACAACTTCTGCAAACATTGCGGTTGCCCAGATGGGATTTTTACCTCCATCGCTCATAGTTGTCTTCAGTGTGGACACCCGTTTGGAGATCACCATGAAATGGACAATCCTTGGCGTCCATATTCTATTTACAAGTATCTTTGTGAGAGATCTGGTCTTATTGACTCAATTTTGCAGCGAGCAAGGAATTCGCAGGTAGTCGTTATTCGTTCTATTCCTGGAGTAGGCAAAACTATACTCCTTAAACTCCTGGGCTATCATATACTACAAAATTGTCCTGATCTAGAGCCGATATTCATTGAATGGAAGACAAGAAAAGAACGCAACGATCTTGAATATGACAAATATTTGCAACAGGAAACAGAAATATGGAAAGCAAAAAACACTGAATTTCGTCCTCACAACCAAGAAGCTACCAAAATATTTCTAATCGACGAAGGTGAAAATTCATACGAGGACGCTTCTTTCTGGAATGCACAGCTCAAAAATACGAACCTTCTCACACAACCAAAATACATAATTGCCTCCCGTCTTGGTATCTCCAGTCTTCCTGTTTTTCAAGAATCAGACTCTATAGCCCAGATGACTCGTAAAAATTCTTTTTTGTACCTAGAACTGCGTCCGTCGGCTAATGATAAACAACATCTACTTTTTAAACCAGTCGACACACACACTATGATCATAAAGTGGGCTACAGCACATAACATTGAGCTTGAAAGTGGTGTCTCCGAATACCTTCATGCCGTTACTGATGGTCATGTGGGTATACTTGACACTATCTTGGAGATATTCAGGGTCAGTTTTCCTAATCCAAGTTTTCATTTCATACGCACCTCCCTAACATACAGATTTGTGTTTACTTATAACTTATTCTACTATAGTTCATTGGGAAGATGAACCATCAACCTCCAGTTACGCTTGACTTTTGCTATACCGTCATTCACGAGGACAATGAACTCCTCCTAAAGATGTTGAGTGGACCGGACAGGGGATTTTGGACACCTGGTGAAGAGGCTTTAGTAAGACAATATCTGATTGATTCTTCTTCTTACTACGATCTTCTATTCTCGAATGTTGTAGAAGCATTACGCAAAGTGGCAACATTACTCCATGGCTATACCGTACCAGCCCCTTACTTCGACCGGACATTGACTTTCTGTCACAAGGCCGGTTTACTGCATACGGAACAAAGACAACCTGGAAGTGAGGAAATCACATACTTTTTTGCTTCCCCAATACATCGAAAGTATGTATCTCTTATTTAGTTATCTATCTACCTTCCGGTTATATTGACTGTAGATTACAGAATCGCATGTCGTCACCTTTTTGCAGCTTCGGAACCAGATACTATTCTGGATGAAATCCCTCTTCAGCAAACATGCTTCAATGCGATTGAACGGTTTAATTTGTCTAGTTTGAAGGAACATTTCAAGATAACTTTTAAATGGAAGAGGCTTTTAAAGACAGCAATCCAGGACGAGATCTACCGCTGCCTCAATCGAGAGCTTCATAATATAGAAATTATTTCCGAATATCCTTATCTTACAAATGAACGACTCGATTTCTATATCTCTAAAAAGAAATGGGGCATTGAAATACTTCAATGTTCGGATAAAGAAGCAATGAATGAATATATAAGCCAATTTCGTATCGAAGGCAAATATCATGGATGGAGTGTCATGGATGATTTTATTATTCTTATGTTTGGGGGGAGAGATTCATTCCAGCCACAAGATATTAAAGGTAATGCCATTTTTTAACTTTGAGATCATATCTAATTCTGATATCATTCTCTTCATCTTTAGATGTCGACGTACACTCTCACATTATTCAAATCGCTATTGATTTTGAGAAATATACTGCGGGAGTATATACATATGACAACAAACTACTAGTAACCCTGGACTTGGGCCGAGAAAGACAGCGATCCCGTTCCGTGGGGCCTAATACTAATCAGGAGAGTGGGGATGCTTATGTGGTTCGAACTCTTTTCTAAACGAGCCTGGGAAAGCCAAGCACACTCACCTGGAAGCGGCTCATGCAAGGTTGACTCAAAAAATTGAAGGGAAGAAGTCCTGAGTGAGAAATCAAAAGAGGTGGATATTGTTTTTTTATTGTTGGATTGATGACGGCGTCTTTGAGTCAACAATTTTATCACGTTGCCTTATGAATTTTAAGATATATCTCTCTAACTTCAAAATGGCCCAGTGTCTTCTGTGTTCTATTAAATATTTCTCTTAAACATCATGAAGATTCTCGCTTATGACCAAGGCTCGCAGCTTTGATGTAGGTGCAATACAACTCAGATGCCCTAACAGCTGGGATGATGTGTATGTTGTTTACTTTCTGAATAATTCTTTGCGTTTCATAGATTAGTAGGGGAGAACTAAGTTCGGGGTGAAATCTTGGCAGTGCTGAAGGTGGGATTAGTAGAAGGTGCGAAGTGAAAATAATAGTTGCGGGAAGAACCATGGATGTAAGATTACATTAACGCTGTTGTTTACTTTCAACAATATTTGAAGGAATCACCTATCACAGGCTGTAATTTATACTTTACTGCAAGTAAAGATCTTAGCAAGGGCAATCGTACTCTCTAAGATAAACTCTCCATACTTTATCAACAGGCTTATATCTTTATCACTTCCTCGTATGTCATACAAATCATTCTTATGGCTATTCATCCCTATATATACTGGATACGGATTCTCTTCTTACACATTATCTACAAGCACATCTTAACTAAACCTAAGCATACATCATTAGACTCACAAAAATCACAACACAAAAAAGCATGACCGCTGTAACTTCAACCTCATCTACCCAAAAAGCCCTCAATACTTTCTGGAAGAATAAACTCACATCCGATGAAATAATCACCCAGTGTATGTTTTGTTCCAATAACAAGTTGACATGACTGATAACATTTAGCACCCAATGTTCTCCCCAAACATATATACAAACGACTTGCCGGGCAACAAAAATCCAAGGACAATATCTCTGGTTGTAGCGTCAACACCTCCTACGATGCTGCTGTAAAAGAATGCCAAGCTAAAGTTGCGGCCATTGTCGCAGAATGCAGACGCAATAATATTAAATACACCGATAATGATTTTGATCTCGATGACATGGATTATTGTCTAAAGCCTCTCACAGTTACCGTACCAGGCACATTGAATGGAGAAGAGCATACACAGACTGGCCCTCCAAAGAAAACAAACAATGTGAAGACGGTCATTACACGAACCGGAATCGTGAAGCTGACTGCGGCCGAAGTACGAGGGCCTGCTTGTGCAAAAAGAGTTGGTGATATCTTCGAAAATCCCAAGTTTTTCATTGAGCATGAGGCTCATGTACAAGATATACGCCAAGGTTCAGAGGGAGATTGTTGGTTCATTTCTTCTTTGGCATGTCTTACCATAGACGAGGCATTTCCACGACTCATTAATAAACTTTGTCCGGAAAAGGCACGTAATGAGGAAATTGGAGTATACGGATTCGTTTTCTATCGTGATGGAGAATGGGTCTCAGAAATCATTGATGACAAACTATACCTTACCAATCCTGATTATGATGATTGCGACGATGATAGAAGATCTGTCTGGGATCGTTCCCATGGAAGACTAGACCCTGAATTTTCGCGTACAGAATATAAGAAGGCTTTTCAAACAGGTTCGAACGCTTTGTTTTTTGGATCTTGCGCCGATCCCAACGAGACTTGGTTACCGTTGATTGAGAAGGCTTTTGCAAAAGTGCATGGCGACTTCGATTCAATTAATGGTGGTTGGCCTGGGTGAGCTCTCCTTCATTGTTGCACACAATCAATGTAGTGGATCCTAATTCAGCACTAGTGAGGGCGTCGAAGATCTAACTGGAGGTGTTACTACCAAATTGATTTCCTCTGATATTCTAGATAAAGATAATTTCTGGACTCAAGGTCTATTAAAAGTAGGCAATGAATTCATATTCAATGCCGGCACAAGGAATTATACCCATCCTGATCTAGAAGAACTAGGAAGGCAAGGTATTGAGGATGACCACGCTTACTCTGTTCTTCGAGCGGTAGAATACCAAGGAAATCGTCTTTGTCTCCTGAAAAATCCTTGGGGGGAAACGGAATGGAATGGCCCATGGTCTGATGGTTCTAAAGAATGGACTAGGGAAGCACTTGATGCACTCAATCATAAGTTCGGTAACGAAGGTATTTTCTGGATGCCGTATGAGGATTTCCTTAGTAGATATGATGAAATCTGGAGAACGAGACTCTTTCATTGTGATTGGCTTTGCTGGAATGTTGCACAGCACTGGACTACTGTTAATGTACCTTGGTCTGGAGAGTAAGTAGCTATTCATTCCATTTCGTCCCTTTTTTAAGAGTACAGGTATCTTCATACTAACTCTTCAGTTATAACGAAACATTCTTTCACTTTACCATCTTCGAGCCAACCACAACCGTGGTTGTCCTCTCCCAACTTGACAACCGCTACTTTGGTGGCTTTGCTGGGCAATATACTTACTCCCTCTCTTTCTATCTACACTCCTCAGGACAAAAATCTCATATCGTCCGCGGCTACTCAAGTGGTGATCGTTCCGCAACTACTGAAATCTTCCTCGAAGCAGGTACTTATGAAGTGTTTCTTCAAATCACTGGATATCGTGATGATACACTTCCGAAGGTGGAAGATGTCGTCAAGCAAAATTGGCTCAGTAGAAGAGATAAATTGATTCAAATCGGTTTGAAGCATGATATGGCTTATGCTAAGGGTACGATTGATGAAAATTTCTCAAAGAAAAATGAGAGAATGTCTCTCGCTACATCTGCTATTCTTACCCCACCTATAACTCCCCCCGTTACGCCATCCACTCCTTCTTCCGAAAATGCGCCAGAAATGGATAAACATGCATGGAATGCTTCCTGCATTATCGGCCTCAAAGTTTATACGTATCAAACGATAGCAACGATTGGGCTAGGAAAAGCAACTGATACAGATGAGGTTGAAACGATTGAAAATGCAGACGAGAAAGGACAGGCTATTCGTAAGATACTTTCTACACTAGATGACACGTTCTCGAGTAACTTACATAAGATGAAGATTAGGACGAAAAAGAAAAGTTTAAAGGTAAAGTGGAAATTTCATGGTAGAAATTGGAAGGAGGAGACTGGATTGTGTGATGAGAAAAAAGGGGGGAAGAGGGAGAGGAAGGAGAAGAAGAGGGAACGGAAAAGGGAAAGAAAGGAAGAGAAGAGCAGGGAGAAGAGAAAGAGGAAAAGGAAGTTGTAGATTGATAGACTTGGGATGAGGTTTAAGGTTTAATAGTAAACATCAATGTCTCTATACATGGAATGCGGCTGAAGTTTGAAAGCAGCATTGCTTTTTCGATCCAGGCAGGATCACAGAAGATCCGTCTTTTTACTTAATTTTCCGTGATCTAGAATATATACTAAAGTCTGGCAAATACCTAGCTCTGAACATATTTGGATTAATATCTTTTTTTTTCCTACGGATCCGCAGATTTTTGAAGGGGATTTGACATCATGTAATTTCATAAATCATGCCATTTAATAACAACTTAAAGAGAGCTTTTCACCACTAACAATTATCAAATTCCTTTTGGGGCAAGTCCCGATTGGCTGTTCTACCTTGGTCAGGCTTTTTTATTTTCTTAATGATGATTAAGATTTATTATATCGGAACTGGTATCCACGAAATCAGAGTATAAATGGAATATCAAAGGAAGGTAATAATTATCAATATAAATATCTAATCTTATACCCAAGGAAATCATCTACTATAAATACTACAAAATTAGAACTTCAAAATCCCGATCTTTATATTATGAAATAGTAACTTCTAATTTTGATTTTGCAAAGATTAATATGATAGAGTGATTTTTTCCTTTGAGGTTGCAGTTTTGTTAGATATTTCGAAAAAAAAAAAAAAAAAAAAAAAAAAGAGATGAATGAATATAAAATTTTAGTTTTAGTAGTATATGCAGTTGATAAGACTTACTTTTGTCTAGATTTAGATGAATCAATAGAGATTGCTTGAAGAACATCCAGATGTAAATGAACTTTGCTACTTGATCAATTTCAAAAATCCCCTCATACCAATGTAAGTTATCAACTCAACCTCCACAAATCCACATATCTTAACCCTAATAACAGTACAATAACTAGGTATATACCAATCTTTCTTTCAAATCTCTAATTAACAATCTCAAAATATCTCAACAAAACATACCATCTCTAAACTCCCTTACATCTTTTCCGCCGCCGGATCCAAATATCTCAATGCACTGCCCGTCAAATACAGACTACCTGTTACCAAACACTCCATAGCATGATTTTGGTATCCAATTCTTGTAGCTAGATCAATTGCAGCTGTATTATTAGGTTCTAGGAGGATACTAGAGTTAGGTGAGAGATTTTGCCATGTTTGGGCGTAGGAACGCATGGCTGAGGTATCGGAGTCTGTTATTTTTGAGGCTGTGGGTAGGTAATTAGTTTAGTTGGACATGAAATAGGGAGGAATGGTCAAGGATAAGGAAAGATACTTACAATCATCCCAATCGGTCGTAAAGATTACATGTTTAATTTTACATCTATGTCTCTCCAACGCTTTTACCAAACTCTCGACGACCTTTTCCCCATCCCCTCTCGTCCGGTGAGCAAAAACTACTACTTTTGGATTTCCCGGCTCCTGACAACTCAAAATCGTCTCTTTAATTCTACGAAGCGCATATGAGAAAGGAGATAGTGTAGCTTCTTCACATACACTCAGCGCAAACCATTCGGCCGCTTTAGGAACAGTTTGAGGATGATGCGCACCATCTAGAAACCAGGAGTTCTGTCCTAGTTCCAGTTTGTGGAAACGGCCTGGCCAGAAAAATCTATCTAGACCAATGGAAATGTCTTCAGAGGAAAGAGTTGGGTATTTTTCATCGCATGTGGAGATGAGATATGCATCTGTGAGTGCAAGTGCCAATGAGCATCCGTATCTCTTGATGTCTGTTTTGAGCGCATGTGCAGTGATTGGAAGACGATGGTCTTCGGTCACAAAGTTCAAAGAGACTGCTTTCTCGTTCGCACGTTCTTCGAGAACTTTTCTTACGTCAGGGTTTTGGGGGATAGAAAACGCAGGAGCGTTGGTTTTCATGATACCTCCTGCATGCCAAGCGAGATCTGTTGAAGAAGGATCACCTGCATCGATGTAATCTACGTGAATCTGAGCGATTCCCACGGCTGTAGGTTTGACAAAATTCGTGGCATCATTGTCTCCTCCGCTATGAGTTTCCATGATAGCCACATCAACATCTTCGCAAATAAATGCATAAACAGCAACCAGTAGTCTCAATTGCATATAATCCGGCATCATTGTCTCGGAGAACTTGCTAGAAAGAATTTCCCACACCTCGAAGAAATATCTAGCAAATTTATCCTCTGATATTGGTTTGGAATTGATCTTGATTGGTTCTCGGATGTTTGGGGAGTAGGGGTTGGTGTATAACCCAATTTTCCTCAATACACCTGTTCGGGAAGCATAGGACGAGAGAAAGGATTTTACGAACATACATGTGGATTCTTTGCCTTTTGTTCCCGTAACATGGATGACGTGGAACTCTTTGTGCTAGAGACACGATTAGAGTATTTTCTAAAGCGGAGGATATTGCTTACTGTGTACCCAAGAGCATCAAGCCACTCATTCATACTTTCATTTTCAGGTTTTTTTGGGATACCTCCTGATGTGCTCAGCCTGTTTTTTGTTCTCTCACTGGAAGAATCCTCTCCACCACTACTACCACATGTCGTTTTCTTCAGCAACTGAGAAGCTCTACTACGTCTGCTAATCTTGACGCGATATTTTCTACTTTCAAGTAGTGTAACAGCATTCTAATCGATTTTTAGTAGATGGTGTAAGGAAAATGGGAGGAAACTTACTCGATAAGATCGCTCCATTTTGTCCTAATTCGTTACAACAGGTTCAGTTGTAACAATCAAAAATGAAGTAAAAAGCCAAGCTGCGAGCGGGCTGAAAAAGTAATGTTTATCGCAAGCCATGACGTTGATTAAGGTCTTGTTGGGACTGACCATACATTTCATATTTGGAAGCAAAGAAACACTAACGGTTGGTCATTATTACATATATCACGACATTTCAGGCCCTGAGGATTCAACATTGGTCGTATATGGTCTTTCCAACGGTGCGGCGAAGTGACACAAAACCCGTGTATGGTTAACGCCATAGGGAAATTGGCGCCTAGAAGTTATAGGATTGTTGTTGGGAGACGCCCGGAATACAATTGAGGTCCATTTTCAGGTGAACCTGTGTCGGGGCAGATCTGGGCTTGCCTCATTGCCACTTGGTGAAGACCGAATAATGAAAGAAGGCAGTTATTAGTTACTATTAGTCGCAATAGAATATACGTTGATGGACGGATTAAGTATTCATCAAGTTGATTTGAAATGTCTGAGATTTCTGCATCCATATCCCTCTTAGCCCTATAAGCTTTCGCATACGCGCTAGCATGGTAGGCAGTTTTAGTGTGCGATTTGAGATTAGTAAGCAGATCGTGCGTGACTTCACTTCACGCAATTTCTCATGCTCAACATCATAAAATTCAAGAAACATAAGTCTTACATGATGAGGAACAGATCGGCATACCATCAAAAACGTATATTATGAATTACCATCGGTTCGAAATACCATTCCAGATGATTTACTATCATGTTAAGATTCACGGACCATAGTCTAATTGTGGGTAGCCTCACTGTTAATCGATCGCTCTCTCTGCATCTAAAGCGTACGAAATATTACGGAAAAGTTATTGGAAAAGGTCTATATTCCGTCTAATTGATCTCATAGGAGTTAAGATTGACGTAGGTGAAGGAGTACAATTAAAAAAAGAGGAAAGGCTCAGCGAAAAGGAAATGGCACGGCATTATTCAGCAATTCGAAGACGGAGATGATTCTTATTCCACAAGATTTCAATCTGAAGATGAGAATGGGGTTTTAACAGCTTCGGAATACTTCAATATCAGTCCGAGTAGCCACATTCTAGGTCTAGGGTTTTGAGGTGATTGTCAAAACCCGTTCCGGACCATTCTTCCCTGGCTTTCCAACTGTTATTCACGATTACCTTGTATCTATCACTTTCACTCGCAAAGCATCGGACACGGGACAGATGAGCTATTTCAGATCGGATTATGGTTATGAAACATCAACAACATGGCTTTTGTTGTCTAAGATGGAAGGGCTACACAAAGTTCTGGTTCGTGTTGATGTAGTATTCAGCTTGTGTTACTCAAGTATCCAACTTGTACTTGGAATATGGGAAATTAGAATGCCATCAAACCCCACAATACTGCCTTTTGTTACACGCCGATCGAAGTTGTGGGATTAAACCGTTGAAACATGGCATATTGTACACGTATTGGGAGCACCAATGACATTCCATGTCGAAAAATAGAAGGGTTTCACATATCGTACAAAAAACGACAACATTGAGGCATTTTAGACTTGAAACTAAAGAATCATACAAAATTTTATGATCTGTTCTTAATTCCCATTGATAAAATCTAGTTGAGAGATAACTTCCTCTGGTCATTTGTATCTCAAATGTTGAAGTGAAGTGCTACAGAAGTCCTCCACGTCACCTTCGACCAGCAAATTCGCTATAATGAAGACTTTGATAGTCCGAAAGGTCCTCTTTTTGGGAAGCTCCGGCATCAACTACATCCCGAAGACAAAACAAGCCCCTCAGCTTAAAACCGCTTTATACGAAAAACCACCCAGACGTCACCGAAACACGTAAAAAAGCATCACGATGTTCACCAGACCATGTAGTACCCAGTGACTACCCAAATCTAGGCAAACGAGCCATCGAGATTCCGACAAACACGCTCTTTCTTTTATTGTTGCAAGTTGCGGTTCTTTCTCCCCTGCTCAGCCAACTTTCCAGCCAAAATGGAAACCTCACTCTCGGCCAACGAGTGTGCTCTCCTGATAGCTTCCTCTAACACTTCATCCAAGTCCTCTAATCCACGTTTGATTCTTGCCTGGATAATGTTCATTGTACCAGCCTTACGCGCCAAAGAATTATAATACAATTGATCTGGTGTAAGATCTACACCCACGTATTCTAAAGTCGTGGGTGATATAACTGTAGGTAATTCAGCTACCGGAGTCACACACGATTCCTGATTTCCCTTACGGATCGTCCATACAATGCGAGCAGGTCCTTGCGACAGCGGCTGCACGACACGCGTGTCAGGAATAGGTACTACAGTCGGTGTGAAACAACCATCTTTAATCTTCAACGCGATAATTTTTTTCGGTACCCACGGCTTCACCGGAGGCGCATCATCGGGCAATTTTGATCGCTTCGAAGCGGGACCAGAAGCAGTCACCGGCGCAAGTTCAATCTCTCGAGCTTGTCGAATGCGACTCAAAACGCCTTTACATATTTGTGCATCGTTAGTCCGAATGTTCGTGTGGGTTTTTAATTCATTTTTCAATTGCCACTCTAGAAACTCGAAGCTTTGACCAGTAGCATTCAATTCGTCGAATCGCTCTTGTGTCAACCGATGGATTCTCGCGAAACGTGCTGGTGCGCGTGCTAGGTTTTTGGTGTTAGACCCCCTAGTTCTTCCTGGTTTAGAAAGTGCTTTGCCAGACATCGTGTATGGTAACACTACTGTTTGTAGATTATCAGTATAACTAAACTGATGTTTAGGGATATGCAGTTCTTGAGATATTCGATCTGACTTCAACGATCGAACGATGGATATTTTAATATCCTGCCGGTATCTGTATCGATGTGCAAATTCGTGCCCGGCAAGAACCAGATATCTCTAGAATAATAAGCAAGTGCTAAAGAGAGAATGTTGCAAGAAATAAATGTATCTTGTAGTGGTATGCTTGGAAGTTGCGTTATTTCTATTTCTCCTGTCGTTGAGGTTATTCTGTTGCGAAAGATATGGGGAGAACCAAATCTCAGAGGATGTGTTGAAACCTTTTAAACCATCGAGATGCTTTACAAACATCTTTAACCGTATTTTTCAACGGTATTCTCGAAACCGTATCCTCAAAACCATATTATTCAACCATGTCCGCGAAACCGTATCCTGGAAACCGTATCCTTCAACCACATTCTCCAACCATAATATCCCTATTATAACGCACAATCAAAGATTCGCGAATAACTCTAGATAAATAAAGTGAATACCGTATCAGCGATATAGGGAAAATTCACTTTTGCTTTATGGTACGCGAATTTTGAATGGACTATGCTATTTGGAGTAGAAGAGGTATTCTAAATCATCAACTAGCATTTTCTCGTTAGTATATGAAAATACTTTACATGTGAATAATTGAAAGCTCTTCTGCTTTGAACAGAATGTTTTCGATATCTGAGGAGTTTGTAACTATGTTAGGGGCTGATAAGTTAATGAGCGGATGAGCTTCCAATCTGGAAAGAGGTTTCTATTCTCCTGCTTGAAATGTTGAAGGTTTTTACTTGCAGCCATGTTTGATATCTATACAGATGAAAAATTCCAATAGAAGGAGCTCGTGTTTACTCGATACTATACGTCTGAAGATGCAACTCATCATCTTTTGAATACTATGAATATACGAGTATTGTCTGAATAATATTAATAACAATAATCATCACCAATTACAGTCGTATCAGCATCGATTATTGATATAAACCGTGGCTGTGAGATGTTTATACATGTATAGTATAATATTATTGTATAGATTCTATAATCTCATCGAAGACCTCTTGAATCGACGGATATCCTGGATCTAAATTTCTGCCAGAATCGCTCACGAAATTCCCATAAACCGTCCCTGATCAACCCAGTATATACTACCCATTTGCAAACCAATTAGTGATATTATATCCCCATAATCCTTACCAAAAACCGAACTCCGTATTCCAATCCGAATCGCAACCCCAACCCCACAACCCACAACTCACAACACATCCGCCTCACCCCAATACCAAGTATCATCACCCACCCTCTCACCCTCACCTTCCCTCACCGAAAACCCATTCCCTAAATACGCAAACCTATTAACCTCCCCTCTCCCACTTCCACCTTCCCCTCCCCCTCCTTCTCTCCCCCCACTCCTCCACTCAAAATCCTCCCACCTAGGCCCCTCCAACATATGAAAAAAATGCGCCTGACTCCCCGGATGCAGCGCCAAAACCGATCCGTCACTCCTCCCATCCCGATACCAACTTCTCACACCCTTATCCATCCAAACCGTTCTCGGCATAAAACTCTCTATGAACTCCGCATATTCTTTTACTGCTTGCGGCAAGGGTCTAAAGGAAGAAATATTTTCTTTTTGGCATTTTTGTATGAATTTTAGAGCGAAGGCGCTGAGTTGTTCGGTGATGATGGGGATGGCGCCGTGGGCTAGGGGACCGTTGGGGCCGAGGAATGCTGGGGTTTTGTGTTAGGTTTTTGGGGAAGTTGATGATTACGGGGGGTTGCTGGTGCAGGGAGGGAGGGTGCTTACTGATGTAATTCGGCATACCGGAGATCATACACGACATATATGCCTGAGATTGATTATTTGTCCAAAGACCCTGTAAATTTACATGTTCGCCAATAATTGGAAAATGCGGAATAAACGAACAGTTGAAACCTGTAGCGCAAACTATAGCGTCGACTTCGATCAATTTACCATTTGTCAGTTTGATGCCGTTGGGTTGCACTTCTTGAATGCTGGAGGTGATGACGTCGACATTTGGTTGTGTTAAAGCCTTTAGATAGCCGATGCCGGGAGTTACTCGTCGACATCCGACGGGAAAGTAGGGTATTAGTGCTTCAAGGAGGTGTTTGTCGTAGTTGAGGGCTTCGGCCATGTACAGTGAGATGACGCGTTTGGCTTCTAGTGCTTCGAGACTGCCTCGTAGGGTCTTTTACTTATATTAGACAGTAGTTGAGACTTGACATAGAAGTCTACTCACAGTTTTAAATCGCTTATTAGACAAAGCTTCAATAGCTTTTAGAAACTTTGTGTATTTTTTCGGGTCTTCCCGAAATTTCTGGATTTGTTTCTCTGAGAACTTATGCGCAGTGTCGAGTTCGTACTCTTCCATAATATGTGAAACTGCCTAGCTATTTGGAGAAATCCAAGTCTTCGTTCTCACAAAGTGGGAAAGTTTTGCAACCTCTAAACAATGATTAGCCATTGAACCAAAACATTGTATCATCTGTATTAGGAAAGTCTAACCTTGCTGTAAAACTGGAACAATCTGGACACCAGAGGCACCGTTTCCAATGACGGCCACTCTTTTGTCCTTGAGATCTATATCCTTCTGCCACTTAGCAGTATGTACAAGATCCCCTTTGAAAGAATGTAAACCCTTGATATCTGGCCATTTCCAATTACTGTCATCCATTAATCCTGTCTGTAAAATACACAGAATGCAAACTTACTTGAACATACCACCAGAATTGAGCAAAAAATGACATCGGTCCTCGAAAACTACACCAGTGACCTCATTCTTAATACTCAAGACCCATTCTGCACACCCCTCATTCCATTCCGCACGGATAATTCTATGGGACAATCTAATACGATCTTTCAGCCCATACTTGCTACAAACATCGAGTAAATAATTCTGTATCTCCACACCCGGTGCAAACAGCGAGCTCCAAGCTGGATTCGGAGTATGAGAGAATTGATAATTATGAGACGGATCATCCGAAGCACATCCAGGGTAGCAGTTTTCAAACCACGTACCACCGATCTCTGGATTTTTGTCATAGACAACATGTTCGATATTGGTGCCATGTCTTTTTAAGGCTCGAGCCATGTTGATACCACTAACTCCTGCTCCAATGCTGATGACTTTCACCGGCCTCATGGTTCCCAACGGGTGTTCCTCTGTGGTACTGTCACATGTTACATTTTGTGAAACTTCAGGCCGGAAATGAGTTTGGGGAGGCCTTGGTTTGGTAACGGCATGGGTTGTCAGACTACGTCTGGAATGTCCAACAACGTGTTGCTTGTTATGCATGCCGGGAGTGTAGTGCCGAAGCGAGGTTGTTACGCATTGAATCGGCGATCGGAGGATATGATTCTGTCGTACAAGCATCGTAAACTTTGACATATTTGATGGTAATTAGAAAAATAGCATAGTGAGTAGCTAGATGGTGCAATAAAGCATGATTTTGTATACAAATAATTTATAAACTTCCTCAGCTCCCAAGAAGCAAAGGCATGCACTACTGGCAAAACCAGGTAATATGCCTAGTAAGCAATTCCTTCACATTCAAAAGTCTACAAGTGGATGTAAAGTCGGTCCGGAGCCAATACGAGTTATAAATTAAATCTTGTTATTTGGGCTTCTGCCTTGCCCTATCAAGAAGCCGAGCAATTGGATGAAGGATTTGAGACATTGAGGTGATTTATCGAGAAGAAATGTCTATGTAGCGGCCAGTGCTCGGAAACAGCCCCAAAAACATGGGAGCAGGAACCTCTGGGGAATGCGCTTTGTGGGCTTTAGTGGGGAAGATAAGGCTAAATTTAATGATGGTAAAGTGGTGTAAAGTGGGCGATTCCCAAGAAAATCAACCAGGGTTTAAATCGTCTGACAATGGGGGCCATGCATCGACCACAATGCGAACGGTTTTTACTCCACAAAGTGTCTGATGTTGTCTGATGTAATATGATGTAAGTTACCAGCGCCTATTTTGACATGGGAACATGGATCTCGATGAGAGTGTTACAAGGGTTGTTTGATCTCAGCATGCGGGATAATTGACATCAACTAGTAACTATGTCAACTGGTTGGCTGTCCTACTACAACCCTAGCAAAAACCCCGCCTCTAATTTGCTTAAAGTGGTGTAGTACCATCCTAATCATGGTACCACTAGTGGATGCAGAGAGATGTTTGGGAGAATGGAAAAGCTACTAAGAAGCCGCCTGTTAAGTATCAAACATTAAAGCATATATAATCTGGATAGATGCAGTCGGCGTGGTAATTTGACCAATTTATTTCTGATTCAAGTCTGGGAACTATTGTCATCTTGAATTCACTATTCGGAGATAACCAAAATAATTATGGCTTCAGTAGTTAGTTCAAGGTTGGACTTCAACCAGGCTGCACGTAACGATGTTTTACAAAGCATGATGGGTGTCAAAATTTTCGACCTCTTTGCGAGCCTTGTCGCGACAGCTAGTCAACGGATTTCAGATACCGCATACCTAAACTCATACAACTCATGTGGTAACAAACTTCCTGAAAGTTCGGATGTTGTTATTGTTGGTGGAGGAATACACGCCTTGATATATGCCATTCATGCAAAAAGTCTGGAACTCCTGGAACATGGAAGTAAGTCTATCTGCCATCCGCATCTAGGTGTGCAAATTCAGCTAGCACAGAAGTTTTACAAAAGTGGTTTCCTATAAGCAAATTTCTGCCAGCTGGACAGAAAACCGCGAAGATCGAAAATCACTCGTCGATCAAAACTACTTTTCATGCACACACTTGCTGACTTGCATGCAGAAGAGAATACTATGACCATGACTATCCTAGAAAAGTCAGCCAGCCCTACATACAAAATCGGAGAATCAACATTAACCGTATTCGGACTTTGGCTTAAGACGGTTGGCATCGAAAGTCCAATGCTTTCACGACTCTTTGGACCAAAAGATGGCTTAGCCTTTTTCTACTTTTCCTCCGAAGGTGATCCAGAAAATTACACGCAATTTGTCGCCAATGGACCACCTGCAGACTTTGTGCCCACGCTTCAAATCGAAAGAAAGATCAGCGAGTTGATGCTTACTCTCTATGCGCAGCGCCTAGGAATTACGGTTCTTCATGGGAAGGAAGTCGTTCTCGAGAAGCAATCCGCAGTAGTAAAGGAGGATGATGGAATGTCTATTCATGTACGAGACTCAGAGACGATGGCGGAAGAATCGGTGAATTCTCGACTAGTAATTGATGCCACTGGTCGTTTTCATCGATTCATCTCGAAAGAAACACGTATTGAGCGTGTAGAGGGGTTCAACACAAATGCGTACTGGGCGTACTTTGAACAATTAGGTGATGAGTCTGATATTCCTTTGAGACATTACGAAAGTGTCAATACAAATCATATATGTCTTCCTGAAGGGTATGCTTTAATCTTCCTGATAAATAGCACAAGCTAATCAATTATTCAGATGGGCTTGGGTCATTAGACTTCCTTCATGGGAGGGTAGTTCTATCCCTAACCTTACTGCCATGATAAACCATCTGCTAGATCTTAATGCTGCCAAGGCACCAGCAGACTCGTATCCTTCAGTCCCCGAATTGGTTGAAAGATTTCAAGTCAAGTTTCGCTGGGTCGTTAGCATCGGATTTGCTCTTCGCTCCGACGTTGTCTATCCAGAGAACATTTCAAGCTATGGAAACAGCGAAGCAGAACAAAGATTTAACTGGATCGTATCCCGATACCAAAAAGTATCCCAGTTGATGGAGAAACACAAGCTTATTGAAAATCTCTATGGTCCAGGAACGACATGGTTTGTCCGCAAAAATATTGCTTTCCGTGCGCCACGAGTTACTGGAAAAGATTGGTTGGCCATTGGTGATGCGACAGGATTCACCAATCCGCTATACTCTCCCGGAATCAATGCAAATATGAGCACCAGTATCTATGCTGCTGAAATGACGAAAAAGTATCTCTTAGCCAAGAATTCAACTGCCAAGAAAGATCTATTTCAAAAATATGAGGACTTTTGCAGAGACCGTGTCCCAAACAATCAACGAATGAACTTGTTCAACTATGTATGTATGCGATCCCCCGAGCTTGGTCCGCTGGGACCTATCTGGCAGTACTTATGTGGGACTGGAAACGAGAAATTTCGGAACGCGAAGAACTTAAACCTGCAGAACGTACATGAGCTTTTGACAACTTGGGATTGGGGATCGAATCAAGGGGAATATATGAATTTCAGCAAACTGGTCATCAAGATGCTTGATGGACCACCGGACGCTAAGCTGACGCGGAAGACCATTGATGAGGTGAAGATACTTTCCGCGGAGCGCCTGAAATCAGCCATGGCTTCTGGTAAATACAAGGGAAGATGGGCAGGAGTATTGCGCTGGTATGATGATGATCTCAACTTCGTGGCGGATAAAGTTGACAGAGATGTATTGGCGCGAAGATGCCATACATGTGGAGAGTGGAAGATGTTGAGACCAGACTGTAGGAAGTGCGTGTATTGTGGCTGGGAGCATAAGGTTGAGGAAAGTACGAAGGTTCTATATCGAAGTAGAGAATAATCAGAGAAATTAAACGGAAAATTGTAGACTGCGAGAAACATTCAAGAGTGATGAATGGGAGGCTATTCCGGACCTACCAACCTTGGAGGAGCTAGATCAATGCGTACTGCAATGAACTATCCTCAACAAAGCTTTTAGATCTAATAACTTGAGCCGCTATATGGTTCTTGGGGGCGGTTTTTTTTGGACATCTACCTAGTTCTAATGTCTGGGAAGAACTTAGGTGGGGAAAGGCTTGGACATGCTGTTATAAGATCTAAACATGAAATATCAGAATGGAAACATGCAAATAGTCCAGCGGAGTTTCTGATTGGTGCCTATAACTTGGGAAGAAAGCGAAATGCATGACCTTCTCCGGACCCAAGACATTTGCCGCACTTGACATATTCATATGATCACATGCAGTCAAAAGCTCTCAAATATCCAGAGTCTATCAGACATTCAAAGGCTTCCAGATTGTGCAAACGCGCTTCCAAACTATTGGACATCCTTTAACACCACCCAACTAGGCCGCGTCAGCTAGGTAAAGCCCCCAACACGGAGCTTTTTCCCATGATGTTCTAGGACTGGATCCTTCTAAGCCTGAGGCTAGCCGATAGAATTGGAATTAATAAATCTGAAATTTACCCATGTTATTCAAAGCTTGGAATAAATTCTAACATGGTACTTGCACTGATACTCTCCGTGCAAAAAAAAAAGAAATTTAGATTGTACCGTACAAAATCAGCTCACGATTGATGTGATGTGCTTACAAGCGCTAACAAGCTGAAAGCTACTACCAACCTAGCCTAGTGTTCTCTCGCTGACCCCTGAATATTGAGCCCACTTCTCAATTTGGGCTCTCAGCCGGTCTGCAAGGTATCTTCCACTAGGTAAGATATAGGTATGGTACACGAGATCCATGTGGAGTGCAGGTAACGTTCTCCTCTCCTCTTTCCAGTACTTTACCGTTCCAAACAAAAAAATAGATGAATTCCATAATACTACCCATAACTGCTATTCGAGTCCGTGCATTGTGCGGAATGATCCAAAATTGAATTATCCCACACACCTGGTAGAGGAATTGGTGACAGCTGTACACCTAGATCAAATAGCTTCAAGAGACTCAGGAAGATATAAATGGAAGTGCCATATTAAAGAGAACGGCAGCAACAGACCATCTCGAGCTTGAAGTACCCAAGTACCCGGGTGATTTAAGAACGTGAAAACAAACATCAACCGCATTTGACTAACAAGAGAAAAGCAACTTCCATTCTCATGTAAGATCTTACCAATAAGACACTTAGGCTCTAGATCATTGTCATCCACATGCAAAATGCCATAAGCTCGTATTTCAAGATCAAGATCTCGATCAAAAAGAAAGAAAGAAAAGAAAAAACCACTCACCAACACACAGAAATCATCTGCCACACACCCAGCGCCCTTTATTCTATATTCTTTCCGCGCTTAGGAAATAATGATATCAACTCGAGAGAAGTTCTCCCTAAACCACATTCCCAAGCCATAATGCAGGCAGTCTTGAGGTATCACGCAGTACGTTGCAATAATGCTGAATGCTAGATATTAAGGATCGGTTATGCAGAAGTAATGAGGCGCATTCCTCATGTAATCTTACCTAGTATGATTATGATTGGTTATGGAAAGATCTCGTGACCTTTTATATTTTTGTTGCATATCTATACATTTGGAATTATCTAGAATAATTTTCGGATAACTAACTTCTGATGTTTGAAATTGCTCTATAGGGAGGGGAAAAGTTAAGGAAATATAAAATCTACTTTACATCAGATATTTTTATAAGAGCTTTTTAGACATAGAAATACTACATACTTACTAGTTCTTTCATTGGTTTCAATGATCCAGGTGAACCACTCGCGTAGAGCCAATTATCTGCTTTTAATTTCTAATAATTTACAGTATTATACATGATTACTCTCAGCCGAGTCTAAAATCTATCCAGTACTCTATATATACATATGCAACGCCCCTTGTTCTAACCATCTAATAACCATTTTTAGGAGTTTCTTTTTTGTTCTTACAAACGCCATCAAAATCACTATATCGCTCTAAACCTCTATTGACCATCTCTACAAACTGATCGAACTTGCAACTTGCTCCGGGCCCTCCTTGACACTCAGGAATTGGTCTCGGGGCCGTGTTAGCAATAATCCTCACGAATTCTTCCACATCTTCTTCATCGCTAGCATCGCCTTTCAAACCCTTACATGTGAGTTTTTCGATCCCTACGTGGCCTAAAAATGGTATAAGTTCAGACATTCTCCAGGATCTAGACCAATTGATACGGTCTGTTGGAAATTCTTCAGCGAATGCATTAGAAGAATTGAAGAGTCCAAGTGCGGTGGCTATGAAAGGAGGGACTTCGCGATGAGTAAATGACAAGAAGAATCTTTGACCATCATCATCAGGGATTTCATCATTGGCAGAGTCGGAATGTTGAGGTGCGTGGAATTTAGAAAACAATTGTGCTGTGGTATTCAACCATGGAAATCCAAGATATATCGAAAGAGGATTACCATGGCCGACCATACGTGAATACTTCATATCCCACGCATATTCATAAGACATCCATTCGTCATCCGTAAACACATCACAGATCTTGGACACTTTCCCCGTGATGGCAGATTCATACCCGCACATCTGTTGCAAACCCATTATGTCATAACTTTCGAGTTCGACTGGTGAGTACTGCTGAAGTCTCGCGATGACCGGTGGTGCATATTTTGCGAGAAAAGTTTGTTGTTCTTCGTTTCCAGGCTTTTTGGTGAATGCATCACAGGCTTTGTGGGGAACTTGGGAATGGAAAGACGATCGATTTGTTCCAATCTCGACAATTTCGACATCTTGCGGGAATACTTTGCTAAATGCCCTGGCCGTATCTTGTGTCCTTGATTTCTTGTCGGCATAGATTCGTTTCGTTGTGGGAACCAAGTCGGGGTATCTTGATAGTAAATGTTTGGCAACTTTCTTCGAGTCTTTAATTCCTTGAGGAGTAATTTGTTCCATTTGTTTCTCCGGGTCATCAATGGGAGTTTGCCATTTCTCGAAGAATGCAAGTGGACCTGTCCATCCTTTCCTCTTCTTCCCAGAAGTCTTTGTGTATGTGCTGTCTAATTTCTTTAAGAATGGTTCGATGTAAGTTTCGTAATCATCATCGTTTGCATAGATTGCCGCATGTCTTACAAGGTAAGACGCAGCTGTAACTTCGCAGAGACGAGGTGCTCTATGATTCAATCCTACACCAACTGCATCAAAATATGGACTTATACCAGGGAGATGAAGTAGAGGGTCGAATTTGTAGTCCTGGCTATGAGAATTTGCGGAATAATCTTGAGAGACCCGAAGTGGGATTTGAGATGATGAAACGACGGGAATGGCTATTAAGACCAAAGCCCATCCATATTGAAGCATTTCGGAAGTCAATTGATTGGAGGAATGCAAAAATATATTGATAATTTTCAATATCTTTCAATATTCTTTGCGTTCTTTCTTACGATTATCATTTACATTTTTATTTTTATGGATGTGAGAATCTGGAAGCATGACATCATTGATTGGTTGTTCCCCTTGCTCACTTCCAAGGTTCAGAAATGTGGCTGACTTGTGGCTCGGTCTCGGGAAAGCTCATACCGTTAGTTCGGTTATATAATTCTAAACTTATGTCACAACAACAAAATATACAGAATTTTTACATTTAACACAAACATAATAGATGGGTTGACAACGATGGCACTTCAAATATCACTCCGACTCCGAAGAGCTTGCACACTAAAATTACAAAGGCAAAGGATGATTGGACCACGTTTGTTGAGCAGATTTGCTGGCTACTCCGCATTCCTCAACACTCAAAAGGAGAGAAGACTTCCTCTACTTTATTTGGATAGAGAAAGGGGATTTTTTATCAATAAATTTTATGCGTGAAGGAAATCCACTCTGAGTTATCATTGAATACCAGCTTTATCGTGCCCTCTCAATTCTGAGCATCCAGCAATGGCCTCTACGTCGCAGATCACTATACTTGCAACCACTATCTTCGAATCGACTGCAATTTTAAATGAGTATTTCCTATCCAAAAATCTACCCATGCCATCATTCGACATCTCTGGCCCTCCACAAATACTCATTCCATTTCATGAGAAGCGGGTTGCAGCAGCATATGCAGAGGTTCTGAGAGCAACCATGGAGCTCCACCACCTCATATTAGGGCCTACAGCAATGTTGATGAGCACATCGGTGTGTGGAAATTCACAGTCTATCCCAGCTATACTCTGAGCTGAAAGCAACTAGGCAATGGATAGTGTAAGCTTACAATTCATATATGCATATGACATGGCCAACACTTTCCCAATAGATGGGGAAGCCACGTTTGAGCAGATATCTGAAAAATGTGGCTTGAATTTGATTGATACTCGAAGAGTTCTGGGCTATGCAATGACAAACCATATTTTCAAAGAGGTCCGGCCTGGAGTAGTAGCTCATACTGCGGCGTCCAAACTTCTGGCCACCGATCCTATGTTGACGGACTATGTTGGAATTGTCGTTGAGGAACGATTTCAGGCTGCTGCACATGTAATGCTTCATGTCCAATTGATACCCAGAGCTCCCCCGCTGATCATGATATAGACGGTCGAGGCAGTACAGAAATTTGGATGTGCTAAAGAACCGAACCAGACAGTGAGGACATTATAGCTTTTCTACCTTTAGATCCTAGCATATTTCAAAATACTTCTTAAAGATATTTTCCGTGCTGTGAATTATACTCACATTTTTAATACCTTAGGGATACAGCATCGGTCATCGAACCACGAAAGGTTTTTACGAAGATTTGGAGGCTCATCCATCTCGAAGTAAGCGTTTCGCCAACGCAATGAGCGCCTTTACCTCCAGAACCGAGGTTTCCTACTTGTTTGAAAGCTACGACTGGAGGGGTCTTGAGTCCGCGACCATAGTTGATGTTGGCGGTGGATACGGTCCTATCAGCATCAGCCTAGCGACTAACTTTTCCGCTTTAAATTTCATTGTGCAGGATTTAGCTGCTGCAATTGCAGATGGGCCTGCATATGTGCCAGCCGATATTTCAGATCGTATATCTTTCATGACTTATGATATGTTGACTCCACAGACTATCCGGAACATCGATGTGATATTCTTCCGTGCTGTGTTCCATAACTGGACAGATCATTATTGTGTCAAAATCTTGAGGAATCAGATACCGGCATTGAAGAAAGGATCAAGGTTACTCATCGTAGAACCGTTACTGGTGGAATCCGGGGAACTTCCATGGCATGAGGAGAGAAGATTGCGGTGAGTTTATTTACACACTTTGAAGATGAGATACTGATGGAAAATTATTGAAGTACGATGAATTTGAACATGCTTTCATATTTTGGCTCTCATGAGAAATCTATGGAAGATTGGAGAGAGATTTTTCGAGAGGCGGATGAGCGGTTTGAAGTTAAGAATGCTGTCAAGTTGGGGGATTCTTTGACTTCTATCCTGGAGGTCTTGTGGAAGGGGGAATAATTTTTATGGTTTTGCCCATAGGAATCCTGGTGGTAGGCAGTGCTGCAAACTCGTATCATTTGTCCAACGCCATTACTTTTGCGTGCCAATGTTTTTAAAGCCCGCAAAGTCGAGTAATATCAATTTTACTGTCTACCCAAGCCACAAGAAGGGTCATATACATGATAGTGACAAGAATGGAGTGATATTGCAATCTGAGAGAAGTGTGGGCTGAAATCGGAAGATGGGGAGAAAGAATCTAAAGAGGTTGAAACGGTTAAAGAATATTTTGCAAGTGGAAGTTTGTTGTATTGATATTTGAGGGATGTTGAAGTATATATATGGGTTTTTAGATCATAGACGGTGGATTAATTAATGATTGGTGTTGTGGGTATAGATGAGGTTATGTATGTCTCGATCAGGGAAATGTTCATAATGCTTGTGATTCAGTGCGATTTAACTTTAAGTTCAATTTGACTACCCATTGGAGAGATCGAAAATAATAGTCGAAGTAAGGATGGAAGAGCTGGGAAGAAAGAGGTTTGTTTGGGTCACTATGTATATCGAATTTATATGAAGTCTGCAATCTCACTCTGTAAGGTATCGGCCGAAGACATGTGAATACGGTGGCCTACTAATGGCTTTGCGCTATATTTTTTTACCGGTCGACGTAATATCTCATTCCACTCCACATCCTTAGCTTGCTGTGGAATTCGACCGTCATCAAGGGACATCTAAATTATATCATTTCTCCTCTTATGCAACATCCTAAAATCACCAACTCTGTGCTTCTCTAATTGCCATTCTTCCGTTCATATGAAAGTATCAAAACGATGCCTCAACAAATTTCATATCGTCCCATTTCGGACTCTCCTAACGCGACATATCAACTCATATTCTTCATCACAGGCAATCCAGGATTAATAGGCTACTAGTATTTATGATATCCCGGATATATGTTCTTTAGTTAACTCCTTGAAGCTCATCTTTTCTTTCTATCCTCAATGAACTCCTCTCTTCCTCATCCATGAAGGATTCGAATACATTCCATATCTTTGGTCAATCCTTAGCTGGTTTTGAGACTGATGATGTTCCCTCGGATTCTACCAATCAAAGTCCATATTCGTTGGAGCAACAGATAGATCTTGTTCATGGTTGTCTACTAGAGCAAATGAGTGGTTCGTCAGTACCATATAAAAATGTGATCTTGATTGGACATTCAGTGAGTTGTCCAAATCCCATGAAATATATCTCTAATATCGCAGGTCGGGTCATATATTCTTCTAGAAACCCTTACCAAACTTATCGCACCTTCCACCATCCCTTCGATATCTGCAATTTTATCAGGAATCCTTCTCTTCCCAACTGTTACGCATATCTCCCGCTCTCCTTCAGGAACCAAACTCACGCCGTTAATGTCAATTCCAAACTTTCCAGTCTTGGCATCATCCACTGCTAAAATGCTTCTCTATTGTGCTCCGAACGTGGTTCTAGATTTCCTAGTAAAGACAATTACCGGAATGCCAGAGGAGGCAGCAAAAGTCACCATAAGCTTTTTGAGAAGTAAAAATGGTATATGGCAAGCTTTGTATGTTCACATGCTTTCAAATGGTAAAAGTACTGATTAGTTGTTCAGACACCTTGCACGTGATGAAATGAACACTATAACAGAAGACAAATGGGATTCAGAAATATGGGGTGTTGAGCATTCTGAATCGTCACAGTCTAACGTTTCTCCTCCCAAACTAATCTTTTACTTTGGTGAAAATGTAAGTTTTAGCATTTTTTACTTGAAAGAACAACTGTGGATACATACTAAGAGATAACAGGATCACTGGGTAGCATCTCATACTCGCGATGCGCTCATTGCTGCACGAGCTTCACCTATGCCAACGCCAGCCTATTCTACTTCTTCGTTTTCTATCAAGGAAACTAATAAGCCTATCATGATGATTGATAAAGAAGGCATTGATCATGGATTTTGTATCAGTGAGTATTTGATTATTTCCTTTTTGGATTTTACCATATGATGTAAAAAATAACGCAGTGTGCTGATATAAACATAGACCACAGTGAAACTATGGCGGCAAAAGTAAAGGACTGGATCAAGGAAATAGTTAAAGGTACATAATGAAATGTACTATACTCTTTACACGAACAATGGCCGTAGGATTAACACTAATTGAGCTTCTACACAACAGCTGAGTAACTCGAGAAAAGGCATGGTACATTTTCCTTGATACGATGTCATCGTATCTGTTCACTTTAAAATGCTATCGTGATGCGGATGCTCGCATGAACTTCACCCTGAGAATATATATAAGCCTCTTCTCGGTAATACTGTACATATTAATAGTGATTTCCTTTTTTCCTTAAATAGAACAAGAGAAGTCCCAGATCTATTTCACTATTTTGCCCTTTTCCATTTAAGTCACAGTGCTACCGTCAATAGAAATCACAAGATAAATAAATTATCCAGCTCAATTCGCAGTTTTATTGTAGGACCTTCATAATAGATCTATGGTCAATCAGAACATGCATTTATTACTCTCGTTCATGTTATGAAGTCACTATATGGGCAAACTCGTTCGGTCACCAGAAGAAGCAGAAATATCCAGTGACGTGCAGCTTTTCTATCCGGTGACGTACATCCTGTCTTGTTTATTTGCCGGCAGATAACCGCTAAATATCAAATCCCAGGTATTTTCATACCTGATTCAAAAAATTGCGTCGATTCTGTGGTTTCTATTACCTCCGAAACCAAAAATGTTGTAAGACTTACCATCTAACATTTTCGCCTTCCCATGAATAATGCTCTATGAATTGAAGTCTTAAATTTCACTCCATTTCCTGACATCAAAATTAGCGCTAATTAATTAAATCACTCCCTCTCAATCCATGAATAACCTTACTATATATACCATACTATACCATGCAAAATACAACGCAAACAACCACTCAAAACATCTTCCTATCATTAAACACTAAACAGGACTAATCACAGCATGAAAACAAAAAAATTCTGGGTAATCAAAGACAAAAGCGAAGCATAGAGAAGCTGTGCGTGCTGGAGCTTCAGCTAATTCGTCCTCAAAGCAAGAACTTCCAGTTTCTATATTTAAGGACACTGGGATTTATGAAGGAAGAAAGGAAGTAATGGATGGAGTTTGAGTCGGATGTGATATCAGTGTTGTGCGGGATCATCTCTATTTTGAATTGCCTTTTTTGGTTTTTTTTCCCTCGAGACGCATAGTCGACCAATCTTACTATTTCAAATTTGATGATATAGACTCAGGGACGAGCATCAAGTTTTTTATTTCATATAGGTGAAGTAGTCAGGAAAATCCGCGGAAATATTCCCATACTTATAATTGACCAGCTAAAGTTATATATACTCAATAACAGCCAGCCTACCCCCGAAATCGAAAATCTTTCGCTTATTGTAAGTGTGTGAACGAAGTGAATGACTTCAATTCAATTACTACTGTAATAAAGAACTAAGCGAACGCGAAAGAGACTAGCTCTTTTAGTAAGTCTATATAAGACTTACTACTTTCAATATGTAGCTAGCTCTTTAGACAGAATACAATTAGACATACAGGACCTACGTAATCCGTGGGTGCTACGTCTTCCGTATCCTTCTCGTACCAACAGTAAGACTTATATTATAATCCCTCTAATTCGAACCTAATCAACAGAAAGATAATAGATATCATTACTAGTTTTTCACAAAGAATAAGTCATCACAAATCAGATATTTCTGATATATATATATAAAATATATACTCTCTCAGCTGGGGCATATTCGAGAATTGAAGATTAAATCCGTCCCTGATATAGCTCTGTTGATGATGAATGAATGAATGAATAAATAAATACTCGATTGTATTTTCAAATCGTACAAAACTTAAACTTACCGACGAACGGCCCAACGACCTGGGTTTTGAGATAGCCGATTTAAAGAATATGTAATATTGTACCTAGTATGCAGATTCCAACGAAGCCACTTGAACAATACCTAACACCAAGAACAGTGAGAAATAAACCCTCACAAACAATAAACCTTTGCAGTCATTCGAAAAAACTAATTGGACGAGGTTTCCACATAGATCCAGAACTGTCACAAGTATATATATCTCAACATTAATCCTGAGGGTTTTCTACTCAATAAAATATATGATATATACATACACCTACACAAAGATATAAAATCCCAATATGATGAGCTCCAACAAGCATCCCAGTATACCAAACCTATACGGCCACTTTCCCAATTAGGAGTAATGTGATATGTTTGCTAGTGGAATATTTTATCTGGTATATGGTGGTCAGGATACTGATTTAAGAGGATACCCGGTAATGAAACTACTACCTTCCCATGATTGATGCGGTGACGAGTTTATAACAAACACTCCGAAGTTCGATATATTTACATGTAACTCGTGCTTTCTAGTGGCTTTACTCAATACAGCTGGTTAGCAAGCAGAGACGCTTGGAGGAGTGAAAAAGAGGGTCATGATTCAGATAACATTTAAAAGATTCGTAAAGAAATTAAGTACGCTCAAGTACTCCCTTGTTCCGCTGTAATCCGCGAGCTTCCCTAATATCCCATTTTTGTATATTCAATCCGCCTGCACATCCAATCCCATAATATAAATCCGTGCTTCCTACAAACAATTTACTCCAAAACAACCAATCCCATATTTACCAACCCCCTCCCCTAATCCTCCCTCCATTTTCCCACCCCCGCATCAGCCTATGTAATCAAACCCCATTCCTAACACCTCCTTGCGGAAATTCCCCCTCCTCCTTTTTCACCACCACCTTCTTCCCATCCTGAAATTTAAATTCTCCCTTCCCCTGGGTCGCCGGCACAAATCCATATAGCCATCTCGCAACAACCCATGAGCTAATAGCCCATACCCATATAATAATACCCAAACCACAAGTAAAGAAGAGTGTTGGGATGAGAAGGATAGTAGCGATTCCGATCCAGAAGAGAGAGAAGAGGATGGCGGATATGAAGGAGAAGGCGAGGACGGAGAGGGTGAAGGTTGTGAAGAGGAGGAGGGGTGGGAGGGAAATTGTTAGGGTGGTGAGGAGGAAGGTCTGCGGGGTGTGGTTAGTTATTGTGAGTGAGGAGATTAGGTGTTGAGAGTGGGATGGGTGGTATGGATATGAGTAGAGGTAGGAGGGATAAGAGGTAATTGTAATTGTACGTAGTGTACAAACGAATGGAGAGCCCAGAACGAGTGGATTAAACCAGCGGATCCACCGCAATCAACCAAAACAGCACGACTACTTTCCGATAGAACAGATATCCCATTCAAAATAAAGAGGAAGAGAGATACATACAGCAATAAGCGGCTGATCCTGAAAGAACTCCGAAACATTCCCATAGAACCTCGATCTCGTCTCCGGACTCACAACGCGATCAACCATTCTCTGTACGCGTGAAATTGTACCTGCGACTATCATTTTCGTGATATTTACGTACTAATTTATTGTTAAATGTATGTAGAAGATGTCTTTGGACTTTGTTGTTATGTATAGGGATGGGAATATTGGATGTGGTTGCGAGCTGAGTTGTGGTAGAGGTTCGGCTGGTGAGGAATGAGAGATGACGTAATCATGACGTGGGGGAGCTTTATACATACTAATTAGGTATTCATCCACACCACTTCCTATTCAAAGGACCACTAGTGGACTAATAGCTTATTTTATTACCAGTGGTTGATTTACGCAGAGGTAGTACTTCGCGGGAAACTTATAAATTGCTGAATTATTGAGGTAGTTACCTTAACTTTGCAGTCTTAATTTCTTATGTTACTATTTGATATGATGATCACCATATCCGTACTTCATTACAACCTACTTCATTGACATCATATCTGAAAAGGACACTTGAAGATTCATTCTTCTTCTTATCCCCATTCTCCCCCAACCACTCTCCGCAATCAACAATATTAATCACAATTCTCACGATCCGCTTCATCCATTTTATAAAATATCAATATACCTAGTACTTTGTTCTTTCATACAATACAAACTCGGATTTACATCTACATCTGTATCGTCATTCTATTCCTATTTACATTCTCATTTACTCAAAGGCTCTAAACATAACACATCCATCCAATATCTTCTATAAATTGTATTAACCAAAGTATGTTAGTGATTCTTTATCAGTTATCCCCGATTACTACATAAAAATACTTGCTTTATCGATTTCCCCCCTTCCCCGCATCCTCACAGTGACTCTCCGTCTGGCACACCATCATCTCCCTATTCGATACAGCCATAATAAGTAAAATATACAATGGATTAGTATACCGAAAACCTCCAATTCCTAATCCAAAACATATCGACCAGTGCCACTTTCCTCCGAACCAAGCGCTACTAATATTTAAATCTGCCTATGCTACTTTACAATAAATTTTCTCATCCAGAAGTACCATATTATTTGTAAGAATACGTGAATTGGGACTTAGAGCAGGTATTACAATTTTCACAGTGATGATTGCCAAGCGTGCAAAATATTCGCAAGTATCTAGTAGGATCTCGCTTTTATTATTCTGCAGGGTATTGTACAAATATAATTTTAACCAACTCCATTTCGAAACAGCTCTAAATAAGTAGCTAAATTGACGTGAACCATATCTTGTGATTTTCTATACTTTGTATCCAAATGTACAATGATTGTCCAGCAAGCTATTAAACTCCAAGCCCCAAATTCGAGAAAAAAGTAATGTACAAAATAACTAAGAAAATCAAGACGCGCTCAAAAACATCATTTTTATCCGCCCGCCCGCAGGCTCCATGATCATCGTCCTGAAGTAAAACAATCTATCCAAAATAGAACAGAATACACTCAACAAAACACTTTGATGAAAGCCCTAGGAAATCATCTTACAAAAAAGCCCAACTAGTAAAACCATCCATCACAGAAAAAGATTCAGCAAAAATCCATCCAACACACTAATTAAGTTAGTCATCCTAATATCTCCCATACCTCCCATACCCATAACCCGAATATCCATAATTTCAAGAGGCGGTCGACCTGCCAAAATAACCACCATAAGCATATCGACTACTGGACTATTTGGTGACTTTATTACTAGACGATTTCGCCGTAGACGAATGTTTACTTGACTTCTTAACTTCAGTCGGAGGAGCTTTGTAGTTATCACCTGCTTTCTCAGCCTTTTTCCTCGCTAAATCTCTAACATAGCGTTCTTTTTCATATTTAGCTTTAGTGATGATAGATTTCCTTTCCTCGATAGATTTTTTAGACCAAGCTGTTTGCAAAGACGTAGGAGTAGAATAGGCGTTATTGAAGGGATCAACATTCAATCCTATATCAATGATCCAGTATTCGCGTTTCTTGGCATATCCCACGGCGTCATTCTTGAACTCCCTGTCTTTTTCCTGGGTAAAGCTATATGTGTATTCGAAGTCTAACCATGAATCAACAACTGGATTACTGTCTTCTTTGATGATCTTCGCTGTCTCGAGAACTTTATTCCGTTCAATCTCAGTCATTGCACTCCAGGCTATCTCCATACCCTGCATATTACCCTCGGATAATTCCAAGGTTTTGTAGCAGAAAGGGATAATATCGAGACCAAGTTGTCGGAGCCATTAGCGACGTTTATCAAGATATGCTCCGTATGTAGTGAAGGCACTCGCGGGGTAAATCTCATAGGTTTGCTCCAAAGTCTCCCATGATGGGCTTGGTGGATCGAGCATGGCATTAATGCACTTTGCTTTAGCTTCGATCGCTCTTCGCTCTACGCGTGGTTTTTCATCATAGAGATTGTTTAATGCATGTCTTTCCAGTAAAGTCTGCGACAGAGGTAAATATCGGGGATCGTCCAAACCTAATTCTTTGAGCCAACTAAGTCTTTCCGGTATGAGATCATGATAAGCCAATGTTTTTCTTTGAGGAATATTGAAGTATCTTTGCTCTAGTTCGTCGAAGGATAGAGGCACCGGTCCAATAAGTTTGATTGGAACTTGTGTTCGTAGGACGAAGGGAGCTAATCGAGTAGGTACCTCACGCTTTTGAATATGGCTGTTTCAATCGAATTGCTTTCTTCTCAATATCTCGACGAATTTCAGGAGACTTTAAAGCCCAGTGGACTTCAAACTTGTCTCTTTGCAGTGGACCAACATAAACAAAATTGAATGGGCTAATGTCGATACCCAACTTTGCCAACCACTGCCTGCGTGCAAGCTTTTCTTGGTCAGTCTGGGGATCTTGGCCGCTTGTATAATACATCTGCTCCATCTGATAATACGATAGATAGGGAGAATTGGCTGAAGACTTTGAAGGTCGTCCTGTTTTGATGTTTGTAGACGATGATGAGGCTGAAGTGAGTGGTTGAGGTGTCGCTTGGGAAGTGCTGAAATCTGGCAAGGAAGAATCGAAAGGACTATCTAACATTCTCCTTTCCGACTTGATTTGGACTTTAAGATTGCCTGGTGTATGGGTCTTTAAGGATGATGGTGGTAATTTCTAGTTGTTCTGAAGAGTTGTTAATGGCTGACGTTGAATGGGTGTTGCCGATGCATAAGGATCTTGTGTCATCTTAGGATAGCCTTGATAGGAGCTTGAAGACGGTGGCGTTCTGCCACAGTTTTGAGTCGAGGCAGACATATGGTATTGACTACGTACACTAGGATGAGATTGTGCACGTGGTTGAGAATTGGTGAAGGAGGATTGAGACATTGGCAAATCGTAATTGGTATCCAAGTCAATATTGTCATCATCGCTAAAATCATTCTCATTGAATTGAACAGCATCGAGTTTGGTATGTGGAGAAGATTGTGAAGCATTGTATGTTGTCGGCGTGGGTTGTGGATTCTGGCTCTGTGATGAGAGGTAGTTGTTCTCCTGTTTGATCATCATATGGCCAGCGGATGTAGGAGTAAAGCCAGGTATGTTTTTGAGTGTATCCAAAGCATCATACAAATTATGATGCTTTGCGTTACTGATTGTATTTTCTGATTGCAGTGGAGGGCTAAAGAGATGTTAGTATCTAACCACAATCAATAGAATCCAACAAGCGTGGTTTGTGCCCAGGTGCATTCTTCCTGTCGCATGGAACTCCCGAAATCGTCAACAGCAGAAGACAGCGACATGCCTTTTAAAACTCTGGGGCTATTAACAGTACTTACGCGGTAGAATGTATTTCCTGCTTAACTTCTCCATTGATCACCTCCTCAATAGAAACGTGAAGAGCATCCGACTGTGTCAAACGTTTCACTAAAGTAGCTTTCAAGCCATTAGTTGGAAGTTGACGAGCCAGTAGAAGCTTTTTTCAAATTTACCACTCGATATTTTGCGTAGTCAACCATCATGTCGACGCTCCAGTGATGGTAGAAGTGTACCCTTGGTAATATTTCTGAAGGTGTATTGATTGTTCGTACTTCCCGCGGTTGATTGTTTTGAAGTTTGGGATGAATTGGACGTCGTGGCGGAGTAAACAAGTAAGAAACCATATGTGGGTGTTTTTGGCCAATGACAACCTCATTTGAATAATCACTAGCGAAGTCGTTGAATGTAAAGCGGCAGCCACTATACTAATATAATCCCTTGTGAGAGGTTAACAATAATCTATTACCTACCACTAGGTAGTGAATATTAGTCCCTCCAATTGTTTAATCTTTAAACCGATGATGTTGTCCTTACAAGCAAGTTTACCTACCTAAGTAGTAGTATTGCGCAGCACTTCTTGATTGGATCAATAAAACGTATGTTTGATGTTTATAAATTTCCGCCGCCTGCCCCCTCCGTCTTCTATCCACCCAAAAACACCGCTCTATTAAAATAAAAAACCATCTATCTCTTCCCATCCACCTTCACCTCCATCTGCATCCCCCCTCAACCCCCGCGCAACCTTTTCCCAACAAAGCCCCTTTCAAAAAACAAAAAACCACGCCCAACCTACTCCCTACTTCCAATCACCCCTTCTCCCTCCCCCCCCCAATCGACCCAAACAACCATAAACACAAGAAACTAAGTACATCCAGCAATCCAACAAGCAAAAAGTAATTATTACACAGAATCGAATAAAATAGAACAAGTTATCACAATATTGATTTTTTTAGCAGTGAATTAATTGCTCTTGCTCCTAGAGAGAGAAGTTTATTGATGGGTTTGATGAGTTTTGATATAATATTATCATTTCCGGTTTTTGTGGATATTATAGAGATAGATAGGTATCTAATGATTATAATACCTACTAGGTCTTCATATTAAGGGATTTGAATAATTGGGATTTCTGGGCGAGGGACTTATATCTGAAACTATTCTGTAGAGTTTTAAAAAGTCCTTACTATTAATTATACAAAGAATGATCTCTTATCTGAAGTGAGATACATTGTTGATACGATTATGAAAGAATAGTGGTATAGTGTAGCAAAGAAGAAATAGAGTGATGATTTTCTATCGCTATTCGTCCATCATTTATTATCCATCATGAATGATCAACTCATTCATTCATCCATCCATTCATCTACATAGTAATGTATTCCACGCACCAATATACATCTATCATCTCCTCTTCTCCCCCAAATTCAAAGTTTAAACTCAAAATCTATAAACTTATGTCCATATAATATCATGCCATGAAGCACAACATGACATAATAATCCTCCAAACGCCATCGCCATGCTAAAAAGAAAGAGCCAATGATATATATGCTCCCGTGCCACAACGTGAAAATATAAAAACTAAAGACTCCAATGAGGTATATATGCGTAACGCTCATCAGATCTGCAACCATTAAAATGCATTACAAAAATTCAAAATCATCCCCCATATCCGTCTTCATATCAAGCATCTCTTTTCTTCAGATTCCACTACATCTCTCTCCTATTACTTTCTGCCCAAACTCTGCAAGTTGACTAACTCGGAGTATCTACCACCTTTATGTATAAGCTCAGAGTGTGTGCCACTCTCCACGACTCTACCTTGATCGAAAACATAGATACAATCTGCCTTTTGAATAGTACTCAATCTATGAGCGACTGCAATTGTAGTTCTTCCCTTTGCTGCTTTATCCAATGCTGCTTGGACGACATGTTCACTCTCGGAATCCAATGCACTAGTAGCCTCATCCAACAAGAGGATCTTTGGATCACGGAGTAAAGCACGAGCGATAGCGATTCTTTGTTTCTGTCCACCAGACAACATGCTTCCTTTTGAACCGACGATTGTGGAAAATCCTTCAGGAAGCGACATAATGAAATCGTAGATATTAGCCTCGCGACATGCGAACTCGATTTCCGAATCAGGAACATCCTCACGATCAGCTCCGAGAAGCATGTTCTCACGGATGGTACCTTGGTAGAGAGTTGGTTCTTGAGATACGAGCGCGATGTGCGAGCGGTAATCACTGATGTTCAAAGAAGAAATCTCTTTACCATCGACATAGATACCACCAACGAGAGGATCATAGAAACGTTCAAGAAGAGCGATGGTCGTAGATTTACCGCAACCGGATGCACCGACGAGAGCAATGTATTGTCCAGGCTTGACTTGGAGGTCGAGGCCGCGAAGTACGGGCTGTTCTGGACGAGTGGGGTAGCGGAAATGAACGTCACGGAACTCGACATATCCTTCCATAGACTCCATGCGCTCTCCATCTTCGGACCAAGAGTCGATAGCAGGTTTGCGATCAAAGAGAATCTTGAGCTCTTGGGCGGCTTGTTTGGCCTTACCCATATCCGCTATAATATGTTAGTAAGAAGATTTAGATAATTGATCGAAGGACTACTTACGTGCAAAAGAAAAGATAGTTCCAGCGGATTGAGCACCGAAAATGACAGCCGAGAAACAAACGAAGAATTGGAACATGGTGTACTCCTTGGAAGCGATGCGTTGACCACCATACCAGAATCCAAGTGCGACGCAAAGGAACACCAAAGATTGAGACGCGGCATAAAGTAATGACGACTTCAAGATGGATCTCAAACTCTTTTGTTCTTGGTCTTTGAGGGATTGGGTATAATGAGCAAGGACATCTTGCTCTCTGGTCAAGGATGCAACGGTTCGAATAGCACCAGTAGCTTCACAAGCATAACTAGCACTCTTCTCATATGCTTTTTTCGCTCTTTGCTGAAATCTCGCAAGAAGCCAGAATCGAAAGAAACCACAAGCAAGCAAAATCGGAATGGTGGCGATACAGACAAGAGCCAACTTCCAGGCAATGGCGAGAGAAAGAACGCATGCTGCGATGAGCGTAGTAATAACTGTCAAAAGCGTACCCAAGGTAACTCCAGATAATCCTGCAACATGGGTAGTTTCGGTACTCAAGAATGATGTGAGAGCACCCGCAGTATGTTCATCCCTGTCGAAATATTGAATATCCTGACGAAGCATTGTACGGAAAGCACGATCACGGACTCGGTGAATGAGCCTTTCTGAGCAGAAAGCAAAGGCAATACCCTGGGCACAAAATGCAAGGAATTGGACAATCGCCAACATAAGATACATCAAAGACCAGAAATCGACATCATGTCTAATCTTATGGAAGTTGGCAGGAACGACAGGAAGTGAAAGTGAAATGATTTCCTTGGCGAAGAAAACGGCTTGAGTTGGATTACCTCCACCACAAATAACCGAAAAGAACAACCCAACCAACATCAATTTCCATTCAGTTTTGTTGAATGAAGCAATCAACTTGATCAATGTCCATAATGAATCATGTTGTTCTGATGACGATGTCTTGCCTTGAAGTGCGAGAGATGATTGTGACTTTTCCGTTGTTGTGCGATTCAATTTGTTGACAATATTCTTATCATCTGGATCCTCGTTGTATTCAATTCCTCCGACCTTATTGGACATTTTGCGTACAAGTTCATCGTCTTTGGCGTCGATCTCTGACTGTTCTTCAGCGGTCATTTCCTTGGTTTCAGCGATCTTTTGTGCTTCAATCAATCTATAGTAAGCACCTTGTTTAGCAAGCAGGTCGTTGTGAGTTCCTTGTTCAACGATGCGACCCTCAGTCATGACAACGATGTTATCCGCATCCTTGATAGTGGACAGTCGATGAGCAATTGTGATGGTAGTTCGTCCTTCAGCAGCAACCTCAAGAGCGGCTTGTACGACACCCTCGGATTTTGTGTCAAGAGCAGATGTAGCTTCATCGAGTAGGAGAATCTTTGGATCGCTAACCATGGCTCTTGCAATTGCGATACGTTGCTTTTGACCACCGGATAGTAAGCTGGCTCTTTCACCAACGTTCGTTTCGTAGCCTTCAGGTAAAGCAGAAACAAAGTCATGTGCATTGGCCATCTTGGCAGCCTCGATAACTAATTCTCTCTGACGTTCTTCTGTCTCATTTTCGAATTTAGTTCCAATGAGTCCGTGGCGAATATTTTCGAATATAGAAGTTCCAAACAATGTAGGCTCTTGGCTCACCAAGGAAATTTGTTGTCGTAGCCATCGCAAATTCAAGGTACTAACATCATGCCCATCAATCAAAACCTGACCGCCGACTGGATCGTAGAATCTCTCCACCAAGCCAACTATAGTACTCTTCCCGGATCCAGATGCACCCACAAGAGCTGTCATTTTGCCGGCTGGAATAACCAAACTGACATCGTTCATGATTGTGACCTCAGGTCTGGATGGATAGATGTGCTTGATGTTTCTTAATTCGACAGTTCCCTCGACGTGATCGAGCTTGATACCTTCTGTAGAGGTTGGATCCAAGGGTGAAACACGATCGATTGTGTTGAAGATCTTTGCCGCGGCAGAAATAGCAGTTGTGAAAGCCTGAGCGTTGGGAGCAACATTTCCAAAAGCAAAAGCTCCGATCATGATGGACATCAAGATTGTGAGAATGTGAGAAAGCGTCATGGATCCATCAACGAGGAACCTAGAACCCATCCAGAATGCTAGACCATAATTAAGATAGATGACCAAAAACATGCCTCCTACCATGATAGCTAATGTAAATTTGGTCCTGTATCCGTATTTCTCTGCCTCTGCAAGATGTTTGTCATATTGACGAGCGAGCTTATCTTGAGTACCAAAGGCAGTGGCATTCCTGATAGATGAAATGACTTCTTCCGCGATAGATCCTCCAATGGCATAAGATTGAAGGGACTGTTTGCTGTACTTGACAATCCATCTGGAACCTCCTCCCATGATAACAGTGATAGCCGCAACGGTAGATGTGAGAATAAGCGTCAGTTTCCATGACTTGATGAAGCCAATCACAAAAGCGGTAAAGAATGTAGCCAATGCATTAAGTGTCAAGCCGACCTTTTCGGAGATACCATCTTGAACCAAGTTGGTATCAGCTGTGATTCTGGTAGTAATTTCTCCTGATCCTAGCTTATCGTAGAAACCAATATTCATGCGCAAGCAAGCAGCCAAGTATTGTGCTCTAATCTTTCCACTGATATGTTCTCCAACATAAATAAATCCGACTGTAGAGATGTAAATGGTGACGAACTCGGCGATGCCAAGGTAGATAAAGTAGAGAACCATGTGATTGATGGTATGATTAAAATGCTCCTTGCTACTCGATCCTGCAAAGTAATCTGCAAATGTTCCCGCCAATTGACCGAAGATAACCGTCATCAAAGGTAATGCAGCCCCCGCCGCAATACTGCAGATGGCACTGATAACCATAATAATGATATCATTTGTAGTCGAGAAGCGATATAAATTTCCAACTCCGGATGAAATATCTGGCAACACCACTTGTCGTTTTAATATTTCCGCCTCATGAGGAGGTAAATGTGCGTAAATATCTTCATCCTTATTTGCCACCTTCACAACATTCGAGTCTAATTTCGACAAATTCTTTTCCTTAGTTGGCGACACGGTCGTTGTCCCTTCCCCGTTCTTTTGTTCTTGTCTGGAATCGCGTTCAGTTAAAGACGAGCCTCCATTGCTGGATGGACGGCTCTCAGGCTCCGCTGTCTCAACCTTCTCTGATAGTTCGCCAGCCATGATTGGCGGCCTCGATAAGAATTGAGGAGTCGTAAAAGTGGGCAATGTCGGCAAGAAATCGGTAGAAACTGAGTTGGAGATGTAGGTATATTATGGTGTTGTATGTATGTTATGGTGTTGTGCTTCTGGCAGTTCTTCTTTCGTACTGTCAGTAAACAGAGTGCGAATTAATGGCGTACGGTGTTTTGAGCTGTTGTATCGGGAAGACTCGATAGAGTTTGATAATTAAAGTATGGACGTGTTTGTCTGTAGACAATTATTATGAGGATGTTTAGTAAATAATCACGTAAGGTACATTAAAATGAGGATCAGAAAAGAAAGAGATAAATAGATTACTTATTTATTTATTTATTTATCCTAAGAAACGGAGAACTTGACATAATTCCAAACGGGTGTCACAAGTTCCGAGATGCGGATTGTTTGAATTTCCCGATGGACTTTGATGACTAACTAGCTCGACCACAAGGATCATAAGCTACCTGGTAAGTCTACGTAACCGTAAATAGCTAGTACGTAAACTATCCAGTATCTATTGTGTCGCTTCCGTTAGCCATTAGTCTGATCTAGCAGTTCTCCGGTTAATATCAAATCGCATCTATGGAGCATTTGGGTGCTGGAGTACTTGGTATGTATTTCGTAGGTACTACTCCCTCCTAGCTACCAATGCCAGTATTAAGTTATTAGTGGAAGGTTGAAGAAAGGTCATTGAAATCTTTACATCTTTCACCTCACCAATGATAAAATTCTGATTCTCACATCTTATCATATCTGATCATCCATCTCCCCTTCGCCACCATTTTGTTCCATTCACGCCACTTTATTTTTTTTAACTACTAGATATGTATGTTCCTCTTTCCCTGTATTCCTCGTATATCGAGCGTATCTCTTCCCTTGTAAAAAGAAAAACAAGGTTCTTCGGATTGCTCAGATCAAAAGCTTAGCTTGACCTGTGCTCAATAATAATTTTTGCTAAAGGGAGAATCTGAGCCAGCTAAACTTGACAGCGAAAAGATACGGATGCATTCATGATTATGTCCTTCTAATAGGAAAAAGTCTTGACTTGCAATACTATTGGTGGATTGAAATCACCTGGAATATCAAAGAAGAAATTCCCACCACCTCCTGATTTCTCCTCCCTTACAGCTCTATATCCGTTGCTGATCCCTAATCGGATATCCACTTCTATCAACGTACTCCATTCCTCAAATGGCTTTTTATGGAAACACAAATTTTACCCACAACTGCAGATGCTCTGTATAACAACATCTTAACACGATAGGGAGAGACGTGCTTACCTACTTCCTCCCCATGCAGTCGGTATGACTCAAAATGGTTCTAAATGATCCAGATCGTTAAGGACACATTCTTTTGCAGCAAATGCGAGAGAGGGATTAGCTCATTCCTGCTATCACACCGAATATACCCGACTTTGCAAGATGACCACCATATTCATCATTTTCCAAGGCTATCTCACGCGCGAAACCTAATCATCACCGTCTCTATCTCACAGTCGGTCCCAATATCATCAAATCGGCCCTCTCCAATCTATTCCCTTAGTAACCAATCCACTGCGTACTCGTACTGTCCTCCTCGTAGCGAGCTCCCTTTCTAGAATATCAAATCTTAAGACAAACACCCCTGTCTCAATTTCAACAAACCTTACCCCACTAGGTAAATGATTCGTGGAGCCTACGCTAGACTAGATAAGGCATCGGGGGCGGGCAAAGCCCAGCTCCGCTCCTGTGCTTTCGGACATGGACGCGATTGGTGTACCATCAAAACCCCCTTTGTTTGACGAACGGGTGAACGGACTTACGTGCCTCGCTCCCGTGCAAAGTTATGCAAGTCACGGACGGAGTACATAAGGTCATGAGCTGTGTGGAGTGAATAGGAAGTGCACAGATGAATCGTCAAAAGTCTTTCTAGAAGGTATGGTAGAAGTTTCTTTCTTTCCTTCGAGCTATTTACCATCAAGCAACAGCCGACTTTTTAAATAGTGCGCCTGTCAGCTTCTAGCACTGAACTTTTTTGCGTACTTGCGGCTATCATTCTAGATGCTCAATCAATTGAATTCCAAAGTCTTTAGAGCCTTCACCTATTCTTCTTCTCATATACCAGCTCAATGATTCATTACAGGTAGACACGTGACATTCAACATCACCTAGTTGCTAGCTGCAAAAGGACTACTAGACGACCGCTGTCTATTGTCAGAAGAGAGATGGTTGGATGGAGGTTACAATAATCCCTTTTTCGATGTGCAATTCCAGATTCGCATTATAGTGATAGTCTAATCTCGAGATCCAAATGTTTCCACGTACTTCAGATTGAAACGTGTGCATCCAAACCTTTTAACCAACCAAAGTCATCCAAGTCTACTGTATGATAATCTCATTAACGACGAGCGAATTTGGTCAAGTTGTCTAATGTCCTTGCAGTACTATGTTTAAAAGAATGTTAGACTACTTCAAGCTGAGCATATCCATTACTGAAATTCATCTTTTGTTACATTCAGAAGAGTACCAATATACTCACTCATCTTAGTTTCAAGTCAATAGGAAGTGACTAGCCAGAAATCCATGAGGCTAAAGCAAGATATCTCGATCCTATGAATACATAGTACAGATTCGGACTATTTGTTGTCAAATATCTGGAATACATCATATATTCATATCAAATGAATATAAACAATGAAGTACATGTGATCTTATAGCAATCAAATCAATGTACATAGTTTGATAAATCCATTTTTGTTCTCATATTAATCATCCCCCACCCAACCTAGATCTGAGTTTAACTTGTGTCTCGGTTAGCCTTCAATAGGCTAAGCTTGATTCGGTTGACCGCCTAGGCAGTATCAACATGGCTCGAGCACAACCACCAGAAGATAATGGAGATAGGTAACTTCTATACCAAAATCAAATAAATCATTGCTTTCAAAGCTACAATTCCAACCTGCTGCACCCTTTGTATCTTCAGAGCCACTGGATTTTACCAACCAGCCCTTACCAATTTTCATCGCGAAAGAATCCTCGACCTCGAGGAATTCGACTTCGGAGACATCAAAATGGCGGGTGGAAAGAAATCTGGAAGGACGTTGATGCGGGAAGAAGGTTTGGAACGAACAGACAATGGATTGAAGCAAACAAGCTGGCCAGAAGCCGTCCCAATTAATCAGAAGAATTATTATACGTATGTATCTTACCTCTTTGGTCTGGCCATATCGCATACCTTTTTGCAAACGCTTACCTTTTCATAACCTACAACTTTCACCAACTAACAATTCGCAGAGAGTTCGGAAAGCGCGACGATCAATTGCTTGCATCACGTCTACAGAACGAAGCAAATCAAGAAAAACTCATACGCGATGCCAAAAATAAAGACAGAGCTCTTGCGCGCACAGGAACCGCTGACGTACCACTACCTATGGATGAAGACGAATCGGAGGATACAGATGTTACGGATGAATTGGCCGCTTCAAAGACGATCGTTATCCACCCTGGAAGTCAAAATTTGCGCATAGGTTTAGCCAGTGATGCCCTTCCAAAGACAGTCATAATGGCAATCGCCGAAAAATTCCCCATCACAGAATCTCAAGAATACGAACCTCGTCCAAAGCGACAGAATCCTGAGCTTCCTCCAGAGCAGCAATTTGGAGAAGAATGGTCAAAGAAATATAATAAACAGTGTGCCGATCTGAAGGTAGATATGCGTGCAAATAGGCGCAAAGTATTACCCAACTCAAAAGAGTTGGTTGTTAATTACAATCGACGTATTGAACCAGAAAAGATTCCAGAACACAATGATCCACTTCGTATGGAATGGACGGATATTGCAAAAGGATCTATAAAAGCTGTTACAGGCCCCGATGCACAGCGCATAGCAGACAACTCCGAACCACCATATAAACTTTTCTGGCCTATGCAATCTGGTTTGTTCCATGAGGATGATTATTACATCCGCGAAGCGATGTTCAATGATTTCGAGACAATCATTGAGCAGGCCATAAAAAGAGACCTTGGTCTTAAGAGAACCAGTGAATGGACACAATACAGCTGTATAATGGTGGTGCCGGATCTCTATGACAAGAAATACCTGGAGCAAATGTTAGATATGTGTCTTAGGGGCTTTGAGTTCAAACAAGTCGCCTTCATTCAAGAAAGTCATGCCGCTACATTTGGAGCTGGTTATACAAGTGCTTGTGTAGTTGATGTTGGGGCACAAAAAACATCAATTTGCTGTGTTGAGGATGGTATGTGCATAGAGGATTCTCGCGTTAACCTCAAATATGGAGGATATGATGTTACTGAAACATTCATCAAAATGATGCTCTATGATCACTTTCCGTATGCCGACATAAATCTTAAGCGACGATACGACTTTCTTCTCGCAGAGGAACTGAAGATCAAATACTGCACTATGAATCAGGCTGAGATATCCGTTCAACTTTACAATTTTCACCTTCGCGCACCAAATCAACCTACTCACAAATATGGCTTTAAAACATATGATGAGGTTATCCTTGCTCCTATGGGCTTTTACGATCCTTCAGTCTTTGATAATAGTGATAAATTGAAGGGTCGTCGCAAGCTCCTGGATCGATCATACAATGCTTATGATGTCGACACTCCGGATGATCCCACATCTTCAGCTCAGCTTGCAATCCTGGCAGCTATCAAACCCTCTATTGCAACAAATGCAAATGGATACAATCCTAACACATCCAACGGGATGGCTGACATGTCTTTCTCTACACCTCAAAAAGAGAAGCCGAACCCTTTCAACTTACTCCGTATGGACACAGACAATCCTGTACATTCTAGCGTGACTTCCGCTGCCGCGTCACCTGCTCCAGAAGGTGCAAATACTCCTGTCCCTGTTCCGTTTGTCTTTGGAGGTAACGGAACAACCGCCGGCTCTCCCGGTCCCACAAACGGCATGAATGGTAGTCACAGTGGTAATACACCTATACCCCCAGCAGGTATGTTTGTCGATATTCATGCCCGTACTGCTAAGGATCTCGCTATTGAACGCGACTCCGTTTTGCCGGTCGCTCCCTTAGACACTGCTATCATAACGTCTATCACCCACGCAGCCAAGCATGATGATAAAAAAGCTCGTGATTTCTATGGTGGCATCATGTTAATCGGTGGAGGTGCGAAAACTCCTGGATTTGGACCTTTCCTTGAAGATAAACTCAGGAAGAAGAGACCAGATCTCGCAGAAAGGATTTTGGTGGGAACTAGTCCTAGGGAAATGGATGGTCAGGTGGTGGTTTGGAAGGGAGCAAGTGTTTTTGCTAGAATGAAGATGCATGAGAGTTGGATCGGACAAAAAGAATTTGAAATGTTGGGTGCCAGGGTATTAAGCCAAAAGATTCTTTGGCATTACTAAGTTCTAATTTCTTCTTCAAATCACGGAGACTTTCGTGGGATAATTGGCTAGACAGAAAGAATGTAAGGAATGAGATAAAAAGGGAAGGAGTGGAGATTGTGATCATGATGAAATAATGGATGGATGGACGGAATGAATGAGCATGGCGTTTTAAGGCAATCGGGCTATCTAGGCGTTGATGGATTGTAAAATTATCAAAGTCATTTGAATGGATGGGTAGAAGGATGGAGTTTTATTATTAAAAGATATCCTGGAGAGCAAATTTAAACAGCTTCTCATTGACTGGCATTTAAAAAAGGAGACGGATGGATTTGTTATATCTAGCTAGTATAGGTACTAAGCAGATGATGCAATATGAGAATAGATTTGAAATTTTTTGGGGTTCTTTTGGATGGGGTATGAAGATGTGAGGGTAAGTAGGGTAGA